GGAGAGCCTTGAGGCCGCGCCTGCGCAGAGGACAGCTGTTCCATTTTCACGATTTTTGCAAATTGGAGGCAATTCCAAAAGGGCAAAGCCGCTCTTGGAGCTGGCATTCCGGGGACGTGAGGTAGAAACGAGCCAACGGAGCCAATGCCTCATGTGAAAAGCTGCAGAGGCGGAACCAGTGTGCAGCCGGGAGTTCAAATCCCAGCTTTGCACACGCAGTTGCTGGCTGGTGCTGCATAAGCTAGCTTTACCTCTGCCTCATCTCCTCAGAAACAGCCAGATCACACCAGCGTCCCTCCGTGCGTCATGTCCACAACGTCGCACAAATAATGAAAGTGCGGAGGAAAAAATAGAATAACAAGAAAATGTAGAAAAATTAATTTTTCCTAGTGGCTAAAGTCCTTTCTTTGCATGCAACGGGATCCCACAGGGGCGCCGGTTCGTGCCCCGGCTGCTCCACTTCCCATCCAGCTCCAGCCTGTGGCCTGGGAAAGCAGTGGAGGACGGCCCACAGCCTTGGGACCCTGCACCCGCGTGGGATTGTATCTTAACTGCTCCACCTGCTAGCCGGCTCCATGCTCATGGCCTAGGACGTGGGAGAGCTGGAAGGAGCTCCTGGCTCCTAACGTTTGCCTGGCCTTGAGCTCACGGTCTCTGCCCCTAAAGGGACTGAGTTATATAAGAGCACAGAGCCTAGGGAGAGGACACAACCCTGAGTCCACTTTGGGGCCCTGCAGTTTTACCTGAGACCTTGGCAAGGTCCCCCACCCCTCCCCCTAAGTTCCTGAAGCTAAAGATAGCCAGTCCTTACCTGCCAGAGGCCGCTGGCCAGAGGGTGAGCCCGGAGCAGTTGCGTAAGCGCAGCCTGGAGGGCAGGAATGCTGAGGTCCAGAAAGGCCAGAAGCCAGGTCACCTCTCACCCTGCCTGCTCCACTTTCCCAAGGCCAGGGACCAAGGCAGGGCGGAACAAAGCCACAAGGGTTGATGGGGAACTGATACACGGTAACCCCTCCAGGTTAATGGGGCCCCATGCAGCAGCCTAGTGGCTGAAGTTCTTGTCTTGCACACACCAGCATCCCATATGAGCACTGGTTTGTGTCCCAGTGACCCTGCTTCCCACCTAGCTCCCTGCCTGTGGCCTGTGAGAGCAGTGGAGGACGGCCCACAGCCTTGGGACCCTGCACCCGCGTGGGAGACCCGGAGGAGGGTCCTGGCTTCGAATCTGCTCAGCTCTGGCCACTGCGGCCACTTGGGGAGTGAACTAGTGCATGGAAGATCGTTGTCTCTCCTCCTCTTTTTTATAAATCTGCCTTCCCAATAAAAATAAATAAATCTTTTTGGGAAAAAAAAAATCTGGTTAGTTTTCCCAGACATTAAAAAGTTGCCTCATCAGCAACCCCCGTGGTTGTCATGAACTCTAGTCGGGAGCAGCCACAGGACTTGCGCGCAGGCAGGCTCACCCGGCCTCGCTCATGGCAGCCGAACGGGGAAGCCGCGAGCTGTGCGGAGCGGGTGTGCAGGTGGGGGTGTGGCAGAGCCTTCCAGCAGATTCGAAACTAGGAAATGCAGACAGCTGCTCCTGCAGGGATGCACCTAGGAGACGGGCTGAGCTACTTAAGTCGGAATCGAAGGGAAAAGACTGGCTTTTATGTGGAAGACATACACACACCCAGGAGCACAGAACCCTCCGTCCAGGTCTCATGTGGGGGACAGCGACCCAAGCCCTTGAGCCATCATCTACTGCTCCGCAGGCACGGCAGCAGGAAGCAGCACTACAAGTGGAGTCGTCGGAATTCGAACCTAGCACTTCCACATAGCAATGGAGGTGTTCTGCCACTGGCAACTCCGCTACTGTGCCTGGCCCCCCTCCCCCAGGACACACACCGTGCCACCACAGCCCTAGAGCCGTCACACCCAGAGAGAAGTGTGGTGGGTGCCAGCAGCTGGGGGCACAGAGGGTTTGGCTCAGTGCCCAAGGGGCAGGGTTCTTCATTTTGCAAGGCTCAAAAGATGGACAGCGGCTGATGTTTGCACAACAGTGCAAACAGAGTTAGCATGCCACTGGCCTGGAGAGCCACGAGTGACTGAGATGGCAAGTTTTACTGTTTGTTTTACCAAAAATAAAATACACTTTAAAAAAAAAAACTGTAGAAACTGGGTGGTGGAGTTGGGGGTCAGCTGGAAGACACAGCTAAGAAGCACGCTGCTCCTGGCAGCGGCCTTTGTGGGAAACAATTTTTTCTGGTTTCCTAAAAGTGCCTTCTTGGCTGAGCTGCCTCTCTGGGCAACAGACCAGCACACCAAGCCCTCCACTGACACACACACTCTGACTGTGGGATTTGCTAAAAACCTAGGGGAGCCACCAGCTACCTCCAGACTGAATAGTCCAGCGGAGGGGAAAAAACGGTGGCCAGGCAGGGATGGGCTGAGGGCTGCAGGAACCCAGAATCCTCTACTTCAACATCAGCAACAGGGCCCGGTGGCGTGGCCTAGTAGCTAAAGCCCTCACCTTGAATGCACTGGGATCCCATATGGGCACTGGTTCTAGTCCCAGGGCCCCACTTCCTGTCCAGCTCCCTGCCTGTGGCCTGGGAAAGCAGTGGGGGACGGCCCAAAGCCTTGGGACCTGCACCCGCGTGGGAGACCCGGAAGAAGCTCCTGGCTTTGGATCAGCTCAGCTCTGCCCATTGCAGCCACGTGGGGAGTGAACCAGCAGATGGAAGATCTTCCTCTCTGTCTCTCCTGCTCTCTGTATATCTGACTTTCCAATAAAAATACATCTTTAAAAAAAATCCAGTTTCAAAACCATAAGCCTAAAACATAGTGCATCGGCTTTATTACATTCCATTTACCTTCTTTAAAAAAATTACAAAAAAAGGAATACTTCATCGCGTGTTAATACTGCCTGCATCAACGTACCGTGATCAGAAAGTGGAAAGAAGGTACAGGGGTACACGTGAGGTGGGGCAGGAGCAAGCCCGCAGGCACGGACAGAGGCTGGCAGGAAAGCCAGGGACTGACCGGAGGGGCCTCCAGGCACACGCGCAGGGGCTGACAGTACATGCAACTGCTGACTGTAGGGGTGCCACTGTCAGGACCCCAACTTTCCTGCTGGTTCCTGTCACACAGTGGCAGCTGTCTGCAACCAGGCTGGATTTTGTACTGTTCACACACACACACACACACACACACACACACACACACACACACACACAAACACGATCTAACTCTCCATCCATCCAACCACCCGTGATTCCAACTCACTTGTCCACCTATCCATCCATCCATCCCTCCATCCACCCATCCATCCATCCATCCCTCCATCCACCCATCCATCCATCCACCCATCTACCCATCCACCCATCCACCCATCCACCCACCCATCCACCCATCCACCCACCCATCCACCCACCCATCCACCCATCCACCCACCCATCCACCCACCCACCCATCCACCCACCCATCCACCCATCCATCTACCCACACACCCACCCACCCATCCATCCACTTGTCTGTCACCATTGTTCTGTTTGGCCACCCAAGTCCTTTCTAAACATCACAGCCAGCCCGAGAACAGCCACCTTGCCCGGGCACCTACTTTCTCAGCAGGAAGCTGACAGTTTGACTATCTGTGAGCTGGGGCTGGGTGGGCGGGTGGGTGAGGGGGCCTTCTCCGGCTTGCAGATTGAACTGAGAACGGGACAAAAAAATCCAACATCGCAGAGGCCCTCAAAAAAAAAAAAGTATCTGAGAAAATGGAGTCCAAAGATGAGCTTATCTTGGGGCAAGAAAGGAAAAAGATGCATTTCCTGTAGATTTTCCACAGGGAAATTGTATGCTCAGGTTTCAAACTCTTTTTTGGCATCCATGTTAACTTCCCTAACTCCACTTTCTAGAATCTTCATGAAGGATGTCGGTATTTGGCGGGGGGCACGTGGAAGAACCCGGAAACCCCTCTCCCAGTTCTTGTCCCCCAAGGAAACAGAACCGGCCAGCAGGCTGTGACTCGGGACCACGCTGGCCACGACGGAAAGTTCTGGGGCCTCCGGAGAACGCCCCACCTGGGCCCTTCGGCAGGCTGCAGCAGGCCGGGTCGCACGCAGCTCCAGAAAGTCTCGCGGTTGTTAAAAAATAATAATAATAAAAATAATTTTTTAAAAAGCCAAACAAAACCCAGCTGGCCTGTTGATTTTTTTTCCCCCAGCAAAGCCCTGTTCCTTTAAGCCTGTGCCAGGAGGCCGAGTCCTAATTGAACACACATGGGTTTTCTGGAGTGTTCTCTGTCCTCTTGGCAATGGACACACGCCCTGTTTGCTTTGATGAGAGGAACGGATTCTACAACGCCAGGGAGCTGAGTGGGGGCCCCGTGACCGTGACCGCCCAAGCTGCTTCGACTCCCTCCGCGGGCTGGAGGATTTTCGAGGAAGGCTCACGGACGCCAGGGCCTCCCCTGGCACGGGAGGCAGGAAGCTGCCCGGCAGTTTCCCCTGGAGGTGAATCGGTTGGCAACAGGCCACGGAGGCTGGGGGTGGAGAGCATACAGGACGCCCTTGAACGTGAGTGAGGACAGAGGCAGCTGTCAAGGACAGACCCTGCTTTGTGGGGCACCCTGGGGTGGGGTGGCAGTCTCCCAAACAGGACCATTCACCAACCAGCGATTGGGCAAGCCCCAAGGCGCCAGGCCCCTGGAGCCCGAGGGACAGACGCCCATCCCACAGAGCTTGAAATGGGACCGTGTCAACGCCCACACATCCCCTGACAGTGACAAAACCACACAAGGTGCCCCCTCCCCTGCTCTGCCCATAATTGCCGGCTGGTGGTTCCCCACCATTCTCACAAAACCCACGGCCTGGCCTGGGCCACTGGCGGCGCCAGCATCTACAACGATTCCGCGTGGGTCTGCACTGCGGTGGCTTTGAACCTGGCCACGCTGGAGCCCGGAGCGTGGAGTCCCACAGCCACCAGCGGCCTCTGCCTGCCGCTTGGGGCCGAGCGGGGCGGGGGCGGGCAGTGGGCATGGGGTGGCCGGGAAGGGGACAAGGACGGGTCGGCTGCCGCTCCTCCTCCGGGTGGCAGCGTCTCTGGCTTCTCCGTCGGCTGGCTATTCCTCGGCAGACGACGAGGCAGGGCTTTCGTCATCGGACATGGGGGCAAACTAGGAGCGGCAGGGAGGACGGACGGGGCCTCCTCAAGCCTCTGCGGGGCCCACCGGCCCGGGCACCCCTGCCACACCCCGCCACGCGCCTCGGGCCCAGCCCCGGACTCACCGAGCACTTGATATTCATCCTGCAGTACAGCATGGACGCCACCTCGCTGTGGCCCGCGTCCAGGGCCACCATGAGCGCCGTGCTGCCGTCCTGTAAGACACGCGTGGCCGTGAGCCCGGCTCCCGCCGGACGGGCTCCCTCTGGACGGGCGCCTGTCCACCCCGGGGCCGGGCGGGGACTCACGCGGTCCGTGAGCGAGATGTCGCAGCTGGGCACGGCCAGCAGCAGCGCCGCGATGTCCTTGTGGCCGAGCTCGCAGGCGCACATGAGGGCCGTGGAGCCGTCCTCGTCCTGCACGTTGACGTCCGCCTCGCAGGCCAGCAGGGCCCTGACCACGTCCGCCCGCCCGTGGCTCACGGCCAGCATCAGGGCCGTCTGCCCCGCCTGGGTGGGCCAGAAGGGATACGGTCACAGACACAGAGGGCGGGCCGCGCCCCGGAACCTGCCGGAGCGCCCATGGGCCCCATCCCAGAACTGGCGTTCCCTACCATAACGCTGACACACACCCAGTGCAGCTGCCTCTCCCTGAACCTCCATCCCTTCCCACCACGGACCTTCTGCACCTGTCCCGCCTTCCTCCACCCACTCGCTCCTACCCCATCCTCAGGGCTCTGTTCACATTTCTCTTCCCCCTCTGGGGCCAGCTCTGGGGCCAGCGCTGTGGCACAGCCTGCAAAGCCACTGCCTGCAGCGCCAGCATTCCACATGGGCACCGGTTCAAGTCCCAGCTGCCCCACTTCCCATCCAGCTCCCTGCCTGTGGCCTGGGAAAGCAGTGGAGGACGGCTCATGTGTTTGGGCCCCGGCGACACAACCGGGGGACCCGGATGGATGGCTGGAAGTCTCAGCTCCTGGCTTTGAAGCCGGGCCCAGCCCTGGCTGCTGTGGCCGCTTGGGGAGTGAAGTGCAGGCAGAGAGCTCTTTGCCTTTTCAAAGATCAAATCAATAAAAACAGCATCTAACGTTCAAATCCCTCCTCTCCACTTGACCTTGAAGCGATTCTGCCACTAGGAGCCACCAGGGAGTCGGGGGAGGGGCTGCCTGGGTGGGAAGCGGGGGCGGGTCCCCCCGCCGCCCCTCGCCCGCGCCGCCCGCACCTGGCTGGCTTTGGCGTTCACATTGCCCAGCCGGAAGAGCTGCAGGACGGTTTCCATGTCCTCCTGGTTCCGCAGGGCGGCCAGGGCGGTGAGCATGAGAGGGCTGTACCCGGCTCGGTTCTGTTTGTCCACCTGGCACACGCCTGCGAGGGGGCGGGTAAGAAGACGGGCTGGAGCCCTGGAGCCAGGCCGGGCCTCCGCGGCAAGACTAGCAATCTCCAGGGACGAGGGAGGTGGCAATATCTCGACCGTCAGAGCGGGAGGGCGGGCAAGCGGGCTCTGCCCCCAGACCCCGGGCGGGGACTCACCGCTGTCCAGCAGCTGCCGCACCACGGGGAAGTTGGCGTGCGACACGGAGTAGTGCAGTGCCGTGTTGCCGTTGCCGTCGGCGATGTTGACCACGTAGTCCAGCAGGCGCGCCGACATGGCCCTGAAGGTGACCAGATGGCGTCGTACCAGCTCCGGGTGGGCGTCACTGCGGCACGCCAGGCGCAGCCACTCCTGCAGCACCGTGGTGTAGGCCACTTTCTGCACCAAAGGACCAGGGCGTCAGGGTTCGGGGGGATCCCCCACCTCCACCCCCAAACCCGCCAAGAGGAGGCCGGGAGACCCTCCTGGGCTCAGGCTGACCCTGCTGGCCCCGGGCAGGCTCTGGGCTCACCCCCTCCCCGCCACCAGAGGCCCCAGCCTCTGCCCAGGGCAGCAGGGGTGGGCTCGGGGCAGGGGCGGCCCCTGCATACCAGCTCCCGCTCCGTGAGGGCGTTGGCATTGTCCAGGTACTTCTCCAGGGCCAAGCAGGCAGAGACGAGATCCGGACTCAGCTCCATCCTGCCCCGGGGGACACACCGGGTGGGGCTGGTTTTAACCCAGCTCACACGCCCCCCTTTCCCCACTGCGCTGCTGCAGAGAGGGGGCTGGTGGCCTGCCTGAAGGTGCCATCCTTGCCCTCTTGCCCCACAGAGACAGACAGGAGGCGCTGGAGGCGGGGGTGTGGATGGATGGCACCAGAGGCAAGCCACTACTGCACCTCCAGCATGGGAGGGCCTGGGTTCGAATCCCAGTTCTGGGAAACAGCAGACGCTGATGAAGGGAGACCTCGGCCCTGCCTGGTTCACACCCTGGCTGTTAGACACACTGCAGGAGAGACCCAGCAGGTACAAACTCAATCTCTCCCTTCCCCCACCCAACTTTCAGACTGCGGCCGACAGGGGGGCAGCCACCCGCCCGACCAGTGCACCAACCGGATCTGCTCTTCTGCGTTTGGCCCCGAGGCCGTGGGCACGTGCTGGGACTCCCGGGACAGCTGCCATTCCTCCCGAGTGGCCTTGACACCTGCGGTCCCGGCTGGCCGGAGCTGGGGGGCTGCGGCCACGCGTGGGGTGGTCTCCTCCGGGCCCGGGGCCTCATGATCTGTACTTTCATTGTCGGAGTTCTCCGCCGTACTGGAGTCCTCGGAGGAGGATTCGTACCTGGGGGAGCGAGGAGGGGGAGATTACGTGGTTGCACCCCCAAACACCTCCCTCACTGTGTCCCTGCCTGCCACATGAGACATCCCTGGGCTCTGCCTGGCACGTGAACCAGTGTGGGATAGGGAGGTGGGACCTGGGGGGCTCTTACCCGCCATTGACCCCCACAAACTGGAGGCTCCTGCGGTGGGTGGCCGAGTTGGTGGGCTCCTCCTTCCGCTTCATGATGGAGCGCACACCAGCCTGGGGCCCACCTAGGGGATGCCAGGGGGTTGCTGTGAGCCCCCACCTCCTCTCGCCAGCCAGACCTCACCCTGGTCCTCACCCCCCAACCCATGCTGGGGGATCACCACCACCCACCCACAGCCCCCATTCCCTCCGACTCCTGGAAGGCGACAAGTTCGGCGGGCTCCCTGGCAGCGGCATCCTGAGCAAGTCCCTGGCTGGCATTCTTCTCGGCCTGTGCCAAGGAGGCCGCTGTGGACGCAGGAGCCTGGGGTAGACCTGGGGGTGGGTGGGCAGATGGGGGTAGGAAGTGAGGCGTCTACTGGTGGGTCACCAGACAAAACCAACATCGCCGTGTGGGGGGCAGTGGTGAAGCAGCTGTACGGCAGCACTGTGCCCGGGCCAGCTCCCTGCCCAAGCTCACTGGGAGGTGGCAGGGCAAGGCCCAAAGGGTTGGCACCTCTTGGGCACCTGCCGCCTCCATGACAGACCCTGATGGAGCTCCCGGCTTCTGTCTGGCCCAGCCCTGGATGCTGTGGCTCGCTCTGTCTCTCTCTCCACGAAGGGGGAAGTTTCAAGGAAGTAGGGACTCAGAAGCCACGCGGGACTGGCAGGGGGTGCCCCTCAGTGGGCTGGCAGTGGCAGTCATGCCAAGCCAAATCAGCTTCCATGACATACCCCAGGCTCAGGATGGATGCTCCCAGTCCTGCCATCCCCTGCCTTTAGGGGTGTTGGCAAAAAATTCCTGGGCCTGGCAGCGTGGCCTAGTGGCTAACGTCCTCACCTTATACATGCTGGGATCCCATATAAGTGCTGGTTCTAATCCCGGCAGCCCCACTTCCCATCCAGCTCCCTGCCTGTGGCCTGGGAAAGCAGTAGAGGACGGCCCACAGCCTTGGGACCCTGCACCCTGTGGGAGACCCGGAAGAGGCTCCTGGCTTTGGATCAGCTCAGCTTCAGCTGTTGTGGCCGCTTGGAGAGTGAATCATCAGACAGAAGATCTTCCTCTCTGTGTCTCTTCCTCTCTGTATTTCTGACTTTCCAATGAAAATAAAAACAAATCTTTTTAAAAATGCAAAGCTCCACAGCGGGGGCATGGAGGGGGTTGCGGAAAAGCAGTAATGCAGGGAAGCTGGTCTGTGACACGGGACAAAACAGCAGGTGTAACATACGGGACTCGGCCTGGAGTGGGACCAGCACACGGCTCCCGGCGTGGCTTCATTCCAGAGGAAGACAGGGCCTGGCGCGGTGGCCCCGCGGCTGGATGCTCAACACCCAGGTCAGCCCCTGGAATACCCAACTCCCACCCCAGCAGGCCCGGTGGGTCTGACCAATTCCAGCCGGGAGCAGGTGAGAGCCCACCTAAAGCCCTGGGTCCTTGTCACCCCAGGCTGGAGGCCCGGATGGAGCTCCTAGCTCCTGAGCTGGGCTCGGTCTGGCCACAACTGCTTGGGGATTGAATCAGCGGATGGAAAAACCACTTTCTCTTTGTATTTCCAATAAACTGGAATGAGTAATAAGAAGTTTTTTTCCCCAAAACCCTCCCAAAAAAAAGAGGTCATGGTTCAGGGCCGACTCAAGGAACGATGGAGAAGGGGTCCAGGTGGGTCCCCGGGGGCGGGAGGGTTGGGCTCGGCCCCCACCGTCAGCTGGCCCCGTCACGGCCTGGGGACGGGCGTGGCATGGCCCCAGCTGTGTCTGCCCCCTCGACCCCAACGCGTTTTCTCTTTCTATAATTTTTTGAATCATGCCATAAAAATTCTTTCCAGTGTTCGAGCATGTGAAAACATCAAGGCCCTTATTCCCCCGTCACTGTTCTGGAACATTCCCGGGGCGTCTGGAAACTGCTCACAGGAACACACAACAGGAGAGCTGCCCAGGCTTCTGGCTGGTCCCTACGCAGTCTGCAGGGGACGGCAACGCCGCCTGAACAACGCCCACATTCCATCAGAGGGGCAGTGGTTCGAGTCCCAGCTGCTCCACTTTTGTTTTGTTTTTAAAGATTCATTTATTTTTATTGCAAAGTCAGATACACAGAGAGGAGGAGAGACAGAGAGGAAGATCTGTCCGATGATTCACTCCCCAAGCAGCCACAACAGCTGGAGCTGAGCCGACCCAAAGTCAGGAGCCAGGAGCCTCCTCCAGGTCTCCCACGCGGGTGCAGGTCCCAAGGCTTTGGGCCGTCCTCCACTGCTTTCTCATGCCACAGGCAGGGAGCTGGGTGGGAAGTAGAGCTGCCAGGATTAGAACTGGTGCCCATATGGGATCCAGGTGCATTCAAGGCGAGGACTTTAGCAGCTAGGCCACGCTGCCAGGCCCAGCTGCTCCACTTTCAACCTAGCTCCCTGCTAAGGCTCATGGGAAAGCAGTGGAGGAAGACCTGAGTGTTTGGGGGTCCTGACACCCACATGGGAGACCCGGATGGAGCTCCTGGCTCCTGACTTTAGCCCCGGCTGTTAGGATGCTGGGGGTGATCCAGGTAGAAGGCCCCCCCCCGTCACTCTGTCTTTCGGATGAAAACAAATCAAGAAAACTTTGGGGAGCCCACACTGCGGGAGTTGGGGTGCAGACTCCTGGCATTCAGGGCATGGCGACACAAGCCACTAACAGTGACAAAGTCGATGTACTGTCGCCGGCAGGAGCCTGGAACATTCCGAAACATCTCCGAAAAGGAGATGGGGGAAAAATAAGAAACAGAGGGCAATTTTGTTTTTGCAAAGCGCAACACCATTTAAGGGCATCAAGCACGCAGACAGAGCAGCTCTCAAGGACAGCCCCATATCAACCGGCGTCCTGCCGGGTGCCTGCTGCCGGAGTCCGCCCAGGCCCACCCATCGAGCTGGGCCTCAGCCAGACTCCGCCCGGTCTCCCCTGTGGCTGGGCACGAGCCAAGCACATCAGATGCCACCTGCGGCCTCCCGGGGTGTCCCATAGGGAGCTGGGATCACAGAGCTCCACAGGCTAATCCTCCACCTCGCGGTGCCAGCATCCCACAGGGCGGCCCCGCTTCCCACCCAGCAGTGCCAGCATCCCACAGGGCGGCCCCGCTTCCCACCCAGCAGTGCCAGCATCCCACAGGGCGGCCCCGCTTCCCACCCAGCAGTGCCAGCATCCCACAGGGCGGCCCCGCTTCCCGCCCAGCTCCCTGCCTGTGGCCTGGGAAAGCAGTGGAGGACGGCCCACAGCCTTGGGACCCTGCACCCGCGTGGGAGACCCAGAAGAAGCTCCTGGCTCCTGGCTTCAGATCGGCTCAGCTCCAGCCATGGTGGTCTCTTGGGAAGTGAACTAGCAAATGGAAGATCTCTCTCTGACTCTCTTCTCTGTAATTTTTTTAAAGATTTATTTATTTTTTACTGGAAAGGCAGATATATAGAGAGGAGCAGAGACAGGAAGATCCTCCGTCCGCTGGTTCATTCCCCAAGTGTCCGCAGTGCATGAGTCCTTGCTGTGCGTATGTACAGGCCAGCTGTGCCAAGGGGCTTTTCTTCTAATAAAAACCAATAACAACAACAAAAAAACCTAACAATTGAGAAGCAGCCACACCCAGCCGGTTGGGGTTGGGGGCAGGGTGGTGGCCAATTGTGTTCTAGAAGTTTCTCTACTTTGCAAAGCGACTACAAAGAATAGGAATTGTTCTCCTGAGAATACCTCTAAAGGACAGGGACCCCCCGGGCTGGGGCAGAGGGGGGACACGTCCTGGGCCGACCCCTCGGGGTGTCCAGGCCCCTGTCCACCTTCCCTGCTTGGTCCAAACCAACAAAAGCCACAACCAGCCAAGGCATGGAGCTTCCCAGAGCTTGCACTTCGCCTCCTCCTCCAGGGAGTCCTCCGGGCTTGAGGCACCAAGGACTCCATCTCCTTATCACCACAGATGCAGCTTTGCTCATCTCATTTGCCTCACTCGTCACAGTCCTGCCCCGCAACGCTGACCCCAGGGCCTTTGCCCATGCCGTGCCCTCACCCCTCGGTGCCCAGCAAGGACTGACTCTCTTTCCTGTCACCTTTCATGTCTTTGTTCAAAGACGCCCCTGAGCCCAGGGTGACAGTGACAGGAGCCAAGCTCAGGCACCTGCTTGGTGTCAATCGCGCCCTGGGAAATTACAGTTCTCCAAGGGACCCCCTCTGGGGCCAGGACTCCTGACAAGGCAATCGAGGCACCGAGAACTTGAGGCTGCATAGCTCGGACAGGCGGGCCACGAGCCCAGGCCACCACAGAGCCCAGCTGCCCCCGTGCCAGGTCCCTGTGGCTCGAGCAGCCCATGGCCAGCAGACACACAGCGCATGCTCAATGTGGATGCTGCTGCGTTTACAGCGAACGCACATGCTTCTAGGGGCTGTGGCAGCAGCAAGAGGCAACCCAGAGAGACTCCAGGAAGGACTTCCCGGGCCGGCAGAGCCTGTAGGCAGCAGGCCTCACGGCTGCCCTATCCCCACCCCGGCCCCGCGAGGAGGCATGTCTGCAATGGACGTGGCCTCTCAGGAGATCCCGGGAGGCCCTGCTGCACAGGAGCGTAGTTCCATGGAGCCGTGCAGACAGCGGCGAACTGAGGCCTGGGCCCAGGGAGCCGGCCAGAGGGGGACATGGTACCAGAAAACACCCAGGCCACCGACACCGCCCAGGGGTGGGTGCCCACAGGGCAGCCGACTTGGTTCCAGCTCTGATTCCTGACCCAGCTTTTCTAAGCCTCGAACATTCCCACCCCAGACACCATGGGCCGGCCACGGGGAAGGCTCGAGCACTTCCAGGTCGCTGCTACACACACCGGGACGCTGACGGAGGCCCAGAGAGGGACACGGCCTGCCTGGATCACACAGGAAACACAAGTGTGCCCCCAGCCCCCTCCCCGCCACACACATACGGTGCAGCACACTTGGTACCAGCACCTGGGACCCTCAGCCGGTGCTTACTAAGCAACAGCTACGCCCCTAAACCCATGAATCATCACAGCGGCATCCCGGGGGGGGCCTTGGGTGGCGGCGGCCGCACAGCTGTGGTTCTGCACACCCAGCACCCCGGTGTGGCAGTCAGACTCAGCAACACCCCTTCCGCCACCCCCTTTTCCTGGCAGCAGACTCAGCAGTTCCCCAAGGGGAGCTGCCCACCCCGGAACCTTCCCCCCCTCCCCCCCCCCTTTCAGGGCTCCCGGGTGGGGCTCCCCGGCCGGATCCCGAGGCTGGGTGGAGAAGGCAACAGCAGGGACCGGGCACAGGAACCAGCCTCCGACCCTGAGGGCAGCTGGCAAAGGCCAGCCCCTGGAATGTTGACTGGCCTTGTTGGGCACCTCTGCCACTGCCCCATACGCGCCTGGAGCAAAGGAAGCGCCCGGGGCCCGGCAGACCAAGCACCTGGATCCAGCTATGCCTGAAGGCATCATTCTGTTACCTAAATGTCCATAGCCTGAGACTGCGTCCTGCCTGCCACTCACCCAACAGCTGGTGGAGAGGTGGGCGTGTTTCACGCCCCTCAAAGCCAGCAATGTGTGTGCGTGTGTGGGGCGGGGGGTGCGAGGTCACTGGCCTACCTGTGGCTGCCTCGGGGCTCCGCTCTGTAATGCTGATCTTCCTCACGGAGTGTCCGGCGCTGGCAGGTGCAGCGGGCACCGCGCGTGAGACCTCCATGACCTCCTGGCTGCGGAACAGGGCAGGGCCCTCTGGCCCGCTCCGTGCCGTCAGAGCCCGCAGCCCCGCTCCGTAGGGCTCCAAACTTTGGGCTCGCTGGGCCGGGGCCCCCGCGGCGGTGCTGGCCGCCACCTCCACCTCTCGGGGCCCCTCCACCACCCGGACGGTGTCCACCCGGACGGGGCTGTCCGATGGCGGTGGTGGCCAGGCGTGGGGCGGCTGCACCTGCCGAGCCTGGGCCGCCTGGAGCTCCTGAAGCGCCTTCTTGAGCTGTGTCTCCAACACGGCCACCTTGGCCGCCAAGGCCGCCTCGCCATCGGGCACGCCCAGGTCCCGCTCCCGGACCCAGGTGGCGACACTCCGCGTCTCTGGCGCCGCTGCCGCGGGGTCCTCGGGGGTTTCGGGGAGGTCCAGGCAGAGCTCGCCGCGGCTTCGGGGGCCACCTCCTCCCGCCGCCGTGGCGTGGCCCAGGAACTTCTGACTTTTGAGCTGCACCGTGAGCTGTCGCTTTTCTTCTTGGAGCACGGACAGCTTCACCTGCAACACTGGAATCAACTTGACCTGCTCTTCCAGCTGCCGCAGCTTCCTCAACGCGGCCGCCATCTGCTCGCGCACGTGGGCCAGGTGTCCGGCGCTGGGCGCCACGGGCGTGGACAGGCCCGAGCTGCGTGGCGTCGGGGGCAGCAGCCCCACGCCCACCAGGGAGCTGGTGGAGCCGGCCGCGCTGGGGGTCAGGGAGCCCAGGCCGGCGGAGGTCGGGGTGGCCGTGGCCGTGGAGGCCGCCTGGTCCTCCAGGCGGCGACGGGCATCCAGCAGGGTACGCTCCACGCGCGGGTTGAAGCCAGCCCGGGTCTCCAGGGCACCGTACTGCGGATAGAAGCCGCGGCCGCAATAGGAGTAGGCCGAGTGGCGGCTGTCCCCGCTGGCGTTGGAGCAGAGCGACTCGGTGGACGTCCACCAGGAGCCGGGGCCCCGCGGCAGCCAGCCCAGCCGCGGGCGGCGCTGCACGGCCACCCGGCGCAGCGTGTGGCCCTTCTCAATGTCATCCACGTACTTGAGGAAGTCCAGGTCCAGGCGGTACCCGTAGGGCGTCTCCACCGAGTACGGCGGGTCGGATTCCTTGGCGGGGAAGGCTGGCGGGGAGGCTGGGCCGGGGGTCCCTGGGGCAGGTGAGGAAAAGGGGGGTACCTCTGAGCCCTGTGGCCCCTTTCCTAAGCGAGTTCAGTCTTTAGTTTCTGGTCTGGGGGAGGCCAGGACCCCCAACACACTACCCCGGCCTCCCCTCAGACCCCCCAGCACTGGCCCGCACATCTTTAGCCCACACCTTTCCCTAACACGCCTGCCTCCTCTCACACCTAGGCCTGGGCAGTGCCCCCTCCCTGCCCTGCCTCCCACCCCTGCAGCCCTCAGACCCTCTGACCTGCGAAGGGGGCTGGCGCGGGCAGGACCTGGGCCATCCTCTCCTCTGCTGCAGATGCTGCGGGAGTCACGTGGGCGGCTGCAAGTCAGACTGTCTACGGCACTGGCTGGGGGTCTCCTGGGAGGCAGAAGTCAGGGGGGCTGTACCACTGCCCAGCCCCTACCCGGCTCCAGTCCGGGACCTTCTCCCAGGCAGACACACACACACTGGGCTGGGAACAAAGGACTTGAACCTCACTGCCTCGCATCTGTCCAGCCCCTGGATGGGCTCCAGCTGTTCTACGGCCCTGCCCGCCCTGCCTCTCCTCCAGGCCTGCTGGGGGTCCAACAAGCCACGCCCCTTCTATGTCCCCTCCCCTCAGCCCAGCTTCCCCCTAAGACCCCCAAGGTGGCCCCAGGCCAAGCCAAGGGAGACAGAGTGGGGGTACCCCAAGGTGCAGGGATCCCCGGGAAAGACCAGGCCTGTGCAAACTGGAGGGAAAGTGGGGGGGAAGCTGCCGGCGAGGAGTGGAGCCTTGCCCCTTTTATGGAAACAATTTTCTCTAAAAATAAACAGTTTCACTGCCCAGCCACACAGAACTTCCTGTGTCTGTCCACCCCCCAACCCTGCCCCCAGGACGGGCCAGCCGGGATGGAGGGCCAGCCGGGATGGAGGGCCAGCCGGGATGGAGGGCTGGGGCGGAGGCCCCGGAAGCGCTGGGGGTGATGAAGAGGAACTCACCGGGTGACAGTCACCCCCTCCACTCGGCCCAGAGCCCCTGGAGGCCCGCCAGCTCCACTCTCTCACCCTCCCTCCCTCTCTCTCCCTGGCCCCACAGCCAGCTTCAACTTGGCCCCGTCCCCTCGTCCCCTCGTCCCCTCCGACCTTCAAGCTATCCCCTCCCAGCCTTCCCCGGCCAGGGGAGGGCCAGGCGGTGGGTACCTGGGAGGATGGGCCAGGTGGGGCACCTGCCGGACATGAAGGCGGGGCTGGGCTTGTCCTGCGTGCCGTCCTCCTGTGGGCCTGGCTCTCTCTCTCCACGTGTCTCTCTCTCTCTCCACGCGTCTGTCTCTCTCTCTCTCTCCACGTGTCTCTCTCTCTCTCTCTCCACGTGTCTCTCTCTCTCCACGTCTCTCTCAAACACCTGCAACACAGGGTCAGTGCTGTTGGGAAGTTTTGCATGTGCCTGTTAGGCCGGAAGTGGACCAAAATACCATGGGGGTGCAGACTGGCATGGGGCAGAAAGAGGCCCTCGTGGGAGGCGGACGGGGGCGGGAGAGGAGAATTCTTACGGCCAGAGGACCAGCAGGCTGGGACGTTACCACGCGGGGTAGCAGTGACACTGACACTGACAGGCTAAGAGACACTGCTGGGTGGCGGGCCTGGACTTGACCACAAGCCTGGCAGATCCCCAGAACGCTCGGATCTCCCAACTGGACACCCCATACCCATTTCACAGACGTGGAGATCGAGGCCTGGGCGTCCCCAATTACCTCACAGCATCTGATAGCGGACTGGTGACTTTGGGGTGCGGGAGGGGGGAGACAGAGACAGGAGATATTGGGGGGGAGGGTGGTCGTGAACGGGCGGGCAGCAGGCAGCCGCCCCCAACTCCTAACTCCTCCGGGACAGCTCTGGGAGCGGCGGGAGGTCCTCCCCACAGCCCTTCTCCCCGCCCACCAAGCGGGTGGGTGTGTGTTGGGGGGGCGAGGACAGCGCCGCCCCGCGCAGGGAAGGGGGCGGGCCCTGCGGGGTCCCCGGCTAATGGCAAACAGCTGTGGACTCCCCTCGCCGACCCAGCCCCGCAGGCCCAGGCCCAGCCCGGGCCGGACGCTCCGCCGCGCGGGGCCTGGCTGCGCGCTCGGGGAGGGCCCGGGGAAAGCGCGGGGTGGCCATCGGGCACACGGGTGGGGGACAGGGGGGACAGCGGCCGGAAGGGAGACGGCTGGACAAGGGGCGCAGCGCCCACGGGGTGGGAGGGCTGGGGAAGGGTCCCGCTCCGAGGCCGCCGCCAAGTTTGCGCCCGAGGTCGTGCGCTCCGGGAGTGGAAAAAGTTAGTTTGGGTTGCGTTGGCCGGGAGGGTGGGGTGGAGTGGTGGCGGGGGGTCACTGCCCGGGCACCCCGAAACGGACTCGAAGCACCCGCCTTGGCCTCCTTGGGGTCCTACCCGCCTGGCGCGCTCCGGCCACCGCCGCCGTGGTCCCCGCGTCCCGCCGCCCGGGCGTCCTCCCCGCGCCGCCGCCGCCGCCCGGCCACCAGGCTCCACCTCCTCCGGCCGGGCCCGCCCCTCCGCCTCCCCCGGGGGCGGGGAGCACCCCGTCCCTCCGCCCGCGATGGGGTCGCGCCGCGGCGGAGTCGGGGTGCTGCTGGGGGGCGGACAGAAGCAAGCGCACCTGGGGCGCAGGTGCACGCGCGCGCGCGCGCGCGCGCCGTCCGGGTGTCCTCCGTCCCTCCGGCCTCACCCCCGCCGGCCTCCTCCCCCACCCCGGCCTCCGGCTGCAGCTGGGCGGCCTTCGCGGAGGGCGGGGAGGCCCTGGAGGGGCGGGACTGGCCCGGGCCCAGCTCGGGGCGGCGGAGGTCACCCCTCCCCCGCCCGCAGTCCCGGCTGGGAAGCCGCTGCACCTCGCTGGAGGCCTGGCGCACGGAGGTGGCGTGACCACCGCACCACCACCCCTCCCCCGAGGCCGGGACGCCTGCCTGGCCGAGCCCGGACACACCACCACCACCTCTGCCATTCTCCCACAAAGCCTTCTCCAGAGCCGTGCCTCAGTTTCCCCATCTGGAAAATGGGGCTGACTGCGTTATGCTGGGAGGAGAGCGGGCAGCATTAAGATTTACTAACCAGTAATCAGGGACCTCCCCCCACCTCATTAGGAAATATTTTGTTGTTTTTATGTGTTTTTCTTTCTCTCTTTTTTTTTTTTTTTTTGCAGATCTTTCTGGAAGCCGTGCTGCTTCCAGAAGTTCAGTTGCACCCCCGTGTGGAGTAGTCCACGCCCCCCCTCACCCGGTGTGGCCAGCAGAGGACTGCGGGTGCCCCGCCATGGAGTCTGCACCCTGCTCCGGTCCCCGCACACCCCACCCCACCAGATCACACGAGATGCTTATAAAAAACATTTTAAATTAAAAAAATTAGGGGGCATGGGGGAGGAAGTGTCAGTGCAACATGGAGTAGGAGCAGACGGAGGAGCCAGTGCAGCCTGGACAGGGCGCTCCCCGCGCCGGGGGCCCTGGGGTGTGCTCAAGGCGCTGCCTTCCGGAAGCTTCCTCTGTTTAGGGAGTTCCTGGGGGAGGGAAAGAGTGGGCAAAGGCGTGGGGAGTTGTCAGTGAGGCCGTGGGCTCTCCCCAGCCCCATGGAACCTTCTAGATCTCTGCTTCCCCTTCCACGCCCATCCCGATGCAGCCCCTGGCTCCTGCGGGTTCCCTCCAGGCACCCACCCTGTCAGGTGCCAGGGACCTCCCACCACCACCACCACTTTGCCAAGGTGAGGAGGTGGCTGGGGGCGGGAGGAGCCCCCACATCCTGGCGGCAGGTGGCCGTGGGAAGGGTCCCACCCTCTGCCCTGCACCTGGCCCTGGGTCCCAGCAGGGGCACCTGAGGCTGCCGGGGGCCGATGCCAGCAGCTGGGGCGGGCGCTGGCTGAGCAGCGGCTGCAGGGCCTCCCGCAGGCGGCAGTAGTGCCGCTCCAGCTCGCGGTGGTACTCCTTCTGGTCCGGCCCTATTAGGCTTTTATTTTTCCGCAGGGCGTCCTCGCACCTGATGGGGTGGGGGGAGAGGGGAAGCTGTGGGGTGGGCGTGAGGTCACTGGGGGGCAGGAGAGGAAGAGCGAGAGGAGGGAAGGGCGGAAGGGGGAGGGAAGGGGACCCTACTTCTTGCAGAAGTCCTTGAAGCACAGCCGCAGTTTGTTGTGATGTCGGAAAAGTTTGGGGTCTTCGGGGATCTCGGTTAGAAACACCTGTGCCACCTCCAGGGGTCCCTGGTGGGCGAGGGGGCGGAGGGGCCGGGTGAGCGAGCCCACGGGCACCTGCACCCTGCCGTCCCACCCTCCGACGCCCGGCCCTGCCTGGTTCACCGTGGGCCCCACGGAGCCCTGCAGCACCATCTGCAGCATCTTGGCGTCGGGCGGGTCCTGCTCCGTGGCGAAGGCCAGCTCGCACGTCTTCCTCTGCATGTCTTCGATGGCCACCTCCACGGGGGTCAGCACCATCTGGTGGGGACAACGAGCGCTGGGCTGGGGGTCGTCTGGACCCCTGGTGGGAGTGGGAGACGGGTACGGGGGGCCACAGGTACACTGGGTCTGGGGGGCGTCTGCCTGCCTGGGTTGGATGAGGGTGGGGGCATCCCATCTGGGCATGTCTCTTATTTAAAAAAAAAAAAAAACCTTATTGTTTGGGTCCAATGCAATAGCCTAGTGGCATCCCCTTTCAAGCACTAGCATCCCATAGGGGCGCGAGTTCGAGTCCTGGCTGCTCCACTTCCCACCCAGCTCCCTGCCTGTGGCCTGGGAAAGCAGTGGAGGACGGCCCACAGCCTTGGGACCCTGCACCCGCGTGGGAGACCCGGAAGAGGCTCCTGACTCCTGACTTCAGCTCAGCTCAGCAATGGCTGCTGTAGCCACTTGGGGAGTGAACCAGCCGATGGAAGATTATTCTCTCTCCTCTCTGTAGGGTCTGCCTTTCCAACAGAAATAAATTAATCTTAACAACAACAAAATGTATCATTTGAAAGGCAGAGGGGAATCTTGCATCTGCTGGCTCACTCCCTAAATGGCCACAAAGAGCCAGGCCTGGGCAGGAGCCAGGAGCCTCTCCCCCGTCTCCGTCTCCCGGGCTCCGACCTGGGGGATTTTGGGGGGCCATCCAGGCTGCTGTTGGCAGGTGCACAACGGGCAGAATGGATGTGAGGTGGAGCAGCTGGGACTGGAAGTGGCGCTCCCACAGAACGTGGTGGAGGCTGGGGTCTCCCCGTGGGGCCTGGGGTCTCCCCGTGGGGCCTGGGGTCTCCCGTGGGGCCTGGGCTCTCCCCGTGGGGCCTGCGGGTCACCCGGTGGGGCCTGGGCTCTCCCGTGGGGCCTGGGGTCTCCCCGTGGGGCATGGGGGTCTCCCAGTGGGGCCTGGGCTCTCCCGTGGGGCCTGGGCTCTCCCGTGGGGCCTGGGCTCTCCCCGTGGGGCCTGGGCTCTCCCGTGGGGCCTGGGCTCTCCCGTGGGGCCTGGGCTCTCCCGTGGGGCCTGGGGGTCTCCCCGTGGAGCCTGGGGTCTCCCCGTGGGGCATGGGGGTCTCCCCGTGGGGCCTGGGCTCTCCCAGTGGGGCCTGCGGGTCACCCGGTGGGGCCTGGGCTCTCCCCGTGGGGCCTGGGCTCTCCCCGCGCCCGCGCGCCCTGCCCACCTCCTCGCGGTGGCACACGCGGATGCGCGTCTTGATGTAGGGGAAGGCGTGGTCGGTGCTGAGCAGCGTCTTCCGCTTGTGCTGCACCGGCAGCTCGCCGTGCGCGCGGCCGTCGGGCGTGAAGGGCGTGCAGAAGAGGAAGGTGCGCAGCCCGTAGTTGCGGTCGAAGTAGGTCACTCGGTCCTTGAGCTCGTACGCGTCGAAGTGCGGCTCCACGTAGGTGATCTGCATGTAGGCCTGGGGCCGGGGCGGACGCGGGGTCACGGCGCCCCCGGCACGCGCCCAGCACCCCACCCCCTGCGCCTCCCTTGGGGGTCTGGCAGGCCACCGACGACACCCCCACCTTGTGTGGGTCCAGCTTGGATTTGTCCACGGGGTTCGAGTCCTTGATGATGTCCACCACGTCCGGCCCAAACCTCTCGGTGTAGAATTCCTGAGGGGTGTCGGCTGACTCAGGGCTGCCCCTGGCCTCTCTGTAAATGCCCTCCACCCCCTCCACCGGGCAGGGCCTGCCGCCCCCACCCTGCCTTCCCCCCAAGCGTGGGCAGTGCGCGCGTGCCTCCAGCCGGTGCGAGATCTCCGCCAGCTTGGTGATGGAGGGTTCTTTGTACACGAACTCCTGCCCGTCCAGGTCCCCGAAGCGCGCTCCATAGAAGCCCACGCGGAAGTAGGTCCCGAACACGCGCTTGGAGGGGGCTGGGCGCACACAGGGGCGGGGGTGTTGGGGGAGGAAGCATCAGCCTGGGAGACGCCCCACTTGGACTCCTCAAGGCAGGAGGGCCCCGAGGCACAGGTGTGCGCACACACACGCACGCACACACGCACACACACACGCACACATGCACGCACACACACATGCACGCACACACACTCCAGCGCCAGCAAAGGAAGGGAGCTGACCCTACAAGTACTCACCGAGCAGATCCGGGCAAGGTGGGGCCGGAGGAGGCGGAGGGGCAGAGGGCGTGGACAGAGGGTAGGGCATGGGGTTAGGTCAGAGGTCAGAAGCCCCGTCCCCTCTCTCCCTCCCCCCCATCCCCAGGACAGATAATGGAGGGAATGGGGGACCCTGCCCGCCCACACGGCCAACCCCAGCCCAGCCCATCTGCCGGGGTGCTGGGTGCCTGCCATGTTTTGGAAAATTCTCCCCAAACTGGGAGATGCCTAAAAATAGACGTCAAGTAGGAAAGAGGGTGGGGTTCACTCTGGGATGAAAAACAGGGGCGCTGGGGGAAGGGGGGTTGGTGAGGGAGAGAAGGGGAAAGCCGAGGGTGGGGTGGGGGGCAAGAAATAGCCCAGGGAGGACGGGAGACGCCCCCATACCCTCCCACACCTCCCTGTACCCCACCCGGTCGCCAGCAACGACCCTGCGGCCACACTGCAGGGAGGAGGTGTCCCTGGAAGCTCCCAGCCGGCTGACTGGTGCACTGCCACCCGCCCCCACCCAGGCAGATCTGGAGACATTGGGGGAGCAGAGGGAGCCGACCCCGGGGCGCCATCACCCCCTAACGGACCCCACTGCACCTGAGCCCCGCCGCGGGCCTCTAGCTCCCCCTGGTGTTCCTGCACCTCAGCTGACCTGCAGTTATGGGGTGGGCGGGGAGGGTCCAGGACTCACCTCCCAGCCGGAGCTCTGCAAGAAGGGGACACGGTCAGCCAGCCAGGGACTTTGTGGGGAGCAGGGCCAAGGCCTGGAGGTGGGATGGCCCCCCAGCCCCTCACCCATCCTGGAGGTGGGATGGCCCCCTAGCCCCTTACCCTGGAGGTGGGATGGCCCCCTAGCCCCCAACCCTGGAGGTGGGATGCGCCCCTAGCCCCCCACCCAGCCATCCTGGAGGTGGGATGGCCCCCTAGCCCCCCACCCAGCCACCCACACCAACCTGGCACATGATCTTGGTGAACGCGTCCTGCAGCTTGCCGTGCACAGCCGCCAGCTTCTTGTAATCCCGGTGGGCTTCCAGGATGGGGATGAGGTTCTTGTAGACCTCATTTACGGCCTCGTACAGCCCGCCCTGGGGGGAGGGATGGGGGAGGGGAGTGGGGAGGGGAGGGGAGGAATGGGGAGGGGAGGGATGGGGAGGGGAGGGGAGGGGAGTGGGGAGGGGAGTGGGGAGGGGAGGGATGGGGAGGGGAGGGGAGGGGTGGGGAGGGGAGGGGAGGGATGGGAAGGGATGGGGAGGGGAGTGGGGAGGGATGGGGAGGGGAGGGGAGGGGAGGGATGGGGGAGGGGAGTGGAGAGGGATGGGGAGGGATGGGGAGGGGAGGGGAGGGGAGTGGGGAGGGGAGGGGAGGGGAGGGATGGGGAGGGGAGGGGGAGGGAAGGGATGGGGAGGGGAGTGGGGAGGGAGGGGGAGGGGAGGGGAGGGGAGGGGAGGGGAGGGATGGGGAGGGATGGGGAGGGGTGGGGTGAGGAGGGGAGGGGAGGGATGGGGAGGGGAGGGGAGGGGAGGGATGGGGGAGGGGAGTGGGGAGGGATGGGGAGGGGAGGGGAGGGGAGGGGAGGGGAGGGATGGGGAGGGGTGGGGAGGGGTGGGGTGAGGAGGGGAGGGGAGGGATGGGGAGGGGAGGGGAGGGAAGGGATGGGGAGGGGAGTGGGGAGGGATGGGGAGGGGAGGGAGGGGAGGGATGGGGAGGGGAGGGGAGGGATGGGGGAGGGGAGGGAGGGGAGGGATGGGGAGGGAGGGGAGGGATGGGGGAGGGAGTGGGGAGGGATGGGGGAGGAGAGGGAGGGGAGGGATGGGGAGGGGTGAGGTGGGGAGGGGAGGGATGGGGGAGGGGAGTGGGGAGGGATGGGGAGGGGAGGGGAGGGGAGGGATGGGGAGGGGTGAGGTGGGGAGGGGAGGGATGGGGCGGCAGGTGGAGTGTCTTTCAATTTCCCGTCTCTCGGGCAGGATACCTAACCCCACACCTCCTCCAGGAAGCCAGTGGGCGTCACCTTCTGTTTGGTTTATTTGGGCTGGTCCCCCATGAAACACTGTATATTCTCCAGCCATCTGATCAGTTTTTATCTCGTTAGGGAAGAGGCGGGAGAGATGGCGCCGGCCAACAGCCAGGGGCTCAGCTGGGCCCCAGCCAGGAGCGCCACAGCTTTGGGGACGCAGCAGGGGACCCAGGAGCCTGAACATCAGCTGCTGGTTCCCCCAGGTGTGTGCTGGCGCCCACCTGCCTGCGCCCCTCAGCCCAGCCGTGCCCAGCACCGGGCCCAGGGACCACTGCTCCAGGTCTGTGTCCCCTCGCTGGCTGCTACCCTCCAGGGTCACCTCTGTCTTTGAGAAGCCCCCACCAAGCGACAATGACAAAAGCATCGGCGGTGCGGCCAGCACCACCACCAAAGAGGAGAACCTGAGCCGGAATCTGACCCTGAACTTGAGCTCCGAGCTCTCACTACCGCTTTCCAAACATACAATGAACTCAAAGGTAGGTGTGTGTGGGGGGGGTGTGAAACCACAGGGGCACCAGTGTGCCCACGCTGGCCAGCTGGCAACTCCCCGGGGAGAGAGGCGAAGGGCTCAGGCAATCAACCGCCCGCCAGCAAGCGGGGACTGCCCTTTCCCAAGGACTAAAACGCAGGGCCTGGTGCGGTAGCCTAGTGGCTAAACCCTTGCCTTACATGCTCCAGTATCCCATATGGGTTCCCGGTTCGTGTCCCGGCTGCTCCACTTCCCATCCAGCTCCCTGCCTGTGCCCTGGGTCCTTGGCCTTAGCTTGGACCTGCTCGGCTCCTGCGATGTGGTGGCCATTGGGGGCGGGGAGTATGTGGACCCCTGGGTACACAGGCCGTCCTGAAGCGGCTGGGAGGCCGCCCTGGGGCCCACGCCCTGCTGGCCCCGGCTGAGGCCTCACCGTGGTGAAGTGAGCAGCGGCCTGCTCGAGCAGCGCCACCAGCCCCAGCTCCGTGAAGTGCTTCCCCGTGCAGAAGCCCTCCTCGTCCGGCGACAGGATGTCATCGGAGATGGCCGACTCCTCCAGGACGTTGGACGAGATGTTCTAAGGGCGCGGTGGGGGCGGACGGCATCAGGTCCGGCTGGTTCAGGCCGCCTCCCCTCCCGCTCGCTGCCCTCTGCGGCCCCCACTCACCTGGAAGGACACGCAGCCCACGGGCAGGTGGCGGCTGTCCTCCACCAGGGCCAGGTACTCGGCCACCAGCGCGGCCGCGTGCACCATGCACTGGGCCGCCTCCGCGTGGTTACCCAGCTGGGCGTGCTTGCCCGCCATGTTCTGCAGCCAGGTCAGCCGCAGGTCGGGGGAGCCCTGGTAACCCCGGGCGATCCTGGGGCCAGGGGGAGGGGAGGGACTCAGCTGCTGCCCGCCCCCCTCCCCGCAGCCACACTGCCCACCCTCCCCACCTCCCAGCCCGGCCACCTGCTGCTGCACCCCGCCTCCCCTCGCTCGTCAGGGCTGCAGGCATGGCCAGCTGCGCCCGACCTGTACATGAGGTCCATGAGCATGTCGGGGTCCTCCTGGTACGCCTTCATCTTCACCGTGTCCGTCAGGATCATGTGCAGGTTGGACATCAGGTCCTGGACCTGCAGGTGTGGCAGGAAGATGGGCGGGGCATGGCCGGGCAGGGGCGTGGTCAGGGCCAGGCGGGGGCGTGGTCAGGACAGGCGGGGCGTGGTCAGGGCCAGGCGGGCGTGGTCAGGGCCAGGCGGGGGCGTGGTCAGGGCCAGGCGGGGGCGTGGTCAAGGCCAGGCGGGGGCGTGGTCAGGACAGGCGGGGGCGTGGTCAGGCAGGGGGTACAGCCCAGGTGGCGGTCCAGCCCGGCTGCGGCCCCCTGGGCGCCCTCACCTGCTCGGCGAAGGTGCTGTCCCGCAGGCCCGCGTCCTCCTCGGCATAGGTGAGGATGGTCCTGAGCGAGCGTCGCAGGTGCTCTTCGCTGAAGTTCTGGGTCGTCCCCACGAGGGACGAGAGCGACATGGTCACCTGCATCTTGACGCGCGCAAAGTTCTGTGGGGGGTGCGTGGGGCGGGGAGGGGGACAGCGAGCAGGGGCCAGTGGGCCTGGGCGCCCGGACACCCTCTGGCCACCCGTCTGTCCTCGGCCTGCCCCCACCGCGGCCTTCCCCGGCAGCTGACCCCTGCCCACTCACGTTGCCGATTTCGAAGTTCTGGCGCATAAGCAGGTACAGCGAGGCGCTGGCGTGCGCGCGGATGGTGCACACGCGGCTGCCACAGTGGCGCAGCAGCCGCAGGCAGAGGTCGGCGCACAGCTCCGTGTCTTCCTCAAACAGCAGCTCCGGGAACTGCGCCACACGGACACTTGAGGTTCAACCCCTACCCCGTTCCCTCCAGCCCCAATCCACCTGCCAGGGACCGGGATGGGGTCACGGACGCTGGCCGCTCTGCAGCCCTGGGCCTGCCAGCTAGCCTCTCTGATCCTCCCTCCCTCCCACATGCCCCTTCTGGAGCTGCGGCCTCCACCCACCTTGGAGACCAGGGCCCGCTGGGTGGCCAGGCCGTGCTGCAGGAAGAGGGCGCTCTGGGCGCTGCCCAGGCTGTACAGGACTACCTTGAGCACGGCTCCCAGCACGCTCTCCCGAGCCTCGCACAGCATGACCGTCTACGGGTGTGGGAAATGGCCGGTTAAGGGCAGCGAGGGGCGGCGGGGGCAGGGCGGCCAGGGCGGCGGCTGGATCCAGCTGTACCTGCACCACGATCTCCAGCGTGTCCAGCACCACCAGGCTCACCTCGGTCGCCAGGTTTCCGTCCACCAAGGCCTCGTGTTCTACCTCTTCTTTGCTCCTGCTGGGGGGGAAGGCGTGGCCGGCGGGGGCCCCCGGTGTGGTGGTGGTGGAGGGTTGGGGAGGCGAGAGAAGCCACTGAGGCCCCCTCGGGGTCGGGGGTGAAGAAGGGGTCCCTAGCGCAGGGCGCGCCGCCCTGACTCCTGGCCACTCCCGGCCCTCCAGCGCACTCACCTGTCCACGCGGTCGGAGGGCTGCCTCCAGTGCGTGACGCTCTTGCGCCAGCGGACATTGTCCTGGTTGCCAAACGGGCTCCTCTCTGCGGATGCGCACACGCGTGAAGAGGCGGGCGCGCGCGCGGCAGCGTGGGGCACGTGGTGTGTGCGTGCGTGTGTGAGGGGGAAGGTTCCCTGCCAGTGACCGGCGGGGGCGTGGAACCGCGGGGTCTCCACTGCGACCACTGCCTCCCTGCCCGCCCCGCCCCGGGGGCTGCGGGGTCCCTCACCCCGGCTGCGTCGCACCATCTCCTGGCGCGCCCCAATGGTGCCCAGGATGGCCTCCTCCAGCCGCGCCTTCATGTCCAGCGACTTCTTGAATGTCAGGCTGTTAATCCGTTCGAAAACCTTCTTTCCCTGCGTGGCAGGGATGGACACGGAGGGCTGGGTCAGGGTGCGCGGGCATGGCTTTTTTTTTTTAAAGATTTATTTCTTTGAATGGCACAGAGAGGGAGAGTCTCCATCTGCTGGTTCACTCCCCAGACAGCCACCACGGCCAGGATGGGGTCGAGCGAAAACCACCAGGAGCCTCTTCCGGGTCTCCCACGCGGGTGCAGGGTCCCGAGGCTGTGGGCCGTCCTCCACTGCTTTCCCAGGCCACAGGCAGGGAACTGGGTGGGAAGTGGAGCAGCCGGGACTCGAACCGGTTGCACTGGTTTGGGACTCAACCCTCTGTGCCTGCCCCAGGGCACTGGGATCTTTCTGGTGGAAGCAGGGCTAACCCAGCCCCTTCCTGAGCCCCGGGGACCCTGTGCCAGAAGACACGGGTCAGCACCTTCCTTTGGCTGTGACGCATGTGGCTTTGTGGTGGAGCCTGGGCCTTTAAGAAGCGGCCCCTCGTGGAGACCTGGGGATGGTCTTAGGTCTTGGAGCGGCGAGGCCTCAGATGGAACTCTGGGAGGGTTATTTTCATCCCTGGGCCAGGTTCTGGCTTCCACACCTTCTGGCACCAAGGCCTTCACCAGGGCCAAGCTCAGGCTGGGGGTCCGTGCCCTGGAAGCGCAGGGTCATCACCCCACCCCTACACCTCTGCCTGCCGACTCTAAGACAGTAATGTGGAGGATCCATTTCGCAAAGCCAGCACCCCGGGGACCCTGTGGGGCTGCCCAGCCCTCCTCCCCCTGCTCCCAGCTGTGTGCGCGCGCACACGCATGAACCTTGTACTCGAAGGCGGCCAGGCAGAGACACAGCAGGTCGAGCAGCCGCCCCAGCTGGGGCAGGGCCAGGTCGGCGATCCAGCGCTGCAGCAGGGCGGGCTCCGCGTTCTTCAGCACCCACAGCACACAGGCCAGCAGGGTGCGGCTGGACTCGGCAGACAGGGGCCAGCCCGCGCGGGGCGCCTGCGGACACAGGGGGCCGTGTGAACCTGCCTCGCCTTCGTTCGGTGACAGACAGCACTTCCATCTGGCTGCTTCGTGCCGACAGCCAGGGCCGGGCCAGGCTGAAGCCAGGAGCCTGGAGCTTGACTGGGCCTCCCACGTGGCTGCTGGGCACTGCTGCCCCCGAGCAGGAGCAGCTGGGAGTAGAATCGGTGCTCCAGTCCCAAGGATGGCAGCCTAACCTGCTGTGCCGCAGTGCCCTGCCCGCGTTCTTCCCTTTAAAAAATTGTTTGGGGGCCCGGCGCGGTGGCGTACCAGGCTCATCCTCCATCTACAGCGCCAGCATCCCATATCAGCACCGGTTCTAATCCCGGCAGCTCCACTTCCCACCCAGCTCCCTGCCTGTGGCCTGGGAAAGCAGTGGAGGACGGCCCAAAGCCTGGGGACCCTGCACCCGCGTGGGAGACCCGGGAGAGGCTCCAGGCTCCGGGCTTCGAATTGGCTCAGCTCTGGCCGTGGTAGACACTTGGGGAATGAACCAGCAAGTGGAAAATCCCCCCCTCCACCTCCGTAATTCTGACTTTCAAGTAAAATATACATATATATATATTTTAAGAATTGTTGGCTGGGGCAGGCGTCCAGCATAGCATCTTGGCTGCTGCTTGGGACATCCACGCCCCAGACGGGAGGGCCCCAGGTTTGAGTCCCAGCTCCAACACTTCCATCTCATCCTCTCATGATGACTCCGGGCCAAGGCGCCTGAGGATGTCGCTTCTCTCCCCACTGGCGGAGAGGGGGTGGGGCTGAGGGGACCGGTCTACCTAGTAAGGACTCACCGTGGGTGGCCCCTGGGCGATGCTGCTGCGTGCGCCGGGCGCCAGCGGGCCGCCGGCGATGGCCATGGCCACGGAGGGGTTGATGCCCCCTCCGAAGTCCCCCTCACTGTCCGTGTCCGAGTCGAGCATGGAAGCCAGCCTGGAGCGCTGAGCAGGGCCCTCTGCAGGGAGGGAGGGCGGGAGGGTGAGGCTCCGGCCGAGGAGGCTGTGAGTCCTCCCGGAGCACGCCGGTCTCCACATTTGTGCAGAGCTAATGTGTGACACTTGGTGAAGCCCGCCGTGGCTCAGGCCGCACTGGTGCCAGCCGCCGTGACGGGCTGAGCTCTGGACGCCGTGCGCGCGCCCACACACACACACACTCAGCGGGGAGCAGAGCCGCTGGTGGCGTCACCAGAGGACAAGGATGCCCTCGCTGGCGTGCGTTCGCACGTGCTAGCATTTGCTACTAGGCACCGAGGCTGCTCAGTTCAGCCCCACGCGGCTCGATGCGGGAGCCAGACGTTGAAGCCTCCACCGTCTGCTCCCCAAACCTACGATCTTCCGGATCTCCGCATCGGCCTGCCCGGCCTGGCAAGTCCCCGGCGGGCAGAGACGGGCTGGGCTTCGTGCAGTGCACGGATGTCCAAAAAACAGAGAAACTACAGGATAAGCGACGATGCTAGAAAAACGTGAGACGAGGAAGAAACAGAGGCGGTGGGCAGCCGTCTGAACGTTAAAGCGAGCGGAGCAGGAGTTTAAAACTGAACAGGGAGAAGGGCTAACACGGGCCACAAGGTGGAGATGGAACCACAACAAAACAAAACACACAAAAACCTGACACTAGCACCAACACGTACAGTATCTGCGCTTATGGGTGAGAGAAGACACGCTTCGCCCACGTGAACCCACAAGGACGGAGAACTCTCCCAGCGTGAAGCCCAGACAGCAGAAGGGAAACGGCTGGACACACGCACGGCGCAAGCCCAGGGGCCAACATACGTGCGAGTGGAGTCCAGGAGAGAAGAGGAGAAGACGAGCAGGAGGGAAGCAGGGGGAGAAGAGAGAGAATGATGGAGGATTTCCTTCAAGCGCATCAGCCCACTCCTCGTTGGGCAAGTGACAGGTCTGCGGGGTTAGAGCGTGGTCCTGGCTGGAGGACCCCGCCCCGACCCCCATACACACACAGCCCAACCTGAACCTGACCCAACCCCTTAGCTCTGTGCTGCCCGCGGGGACCCACTGACCGGCAAAGTCATGCAGGCGCGGTAAGGTGTCCCGGGCGAGCGACAGCAGCGGCAGGTACAGCTCGGCCACGCGGGCCTTCACGGCGGGGTCCGTGTAGCGGGGGTCCGTGTCGTGGCTGCAGAGCAGGTTGTGTACGGCGCTGATGGCCTTCTTGTGCAGTAACGGTGCCCTGGGGCAGCAGGGGGGCACTCAGGCAGGGGGCACCCGGACCCTGGACGTACCTGCCCGTCACAGGGGGCTGGGAGGGACCCCACCCTGCACCCCAGGACCGGCTCTGGACTCACGCCTCGGCCTCGGGATCGAGGGCCAACGCCAACTCGGTCAGCAGCAGCCCAGCCAGGAAGTGCTGCTGCCGGAACGGCCCGCTCAGCTCGAACATGAGGGTCACCTTGGGGTCCGGGGCCTGGCTGGAGAAGGTGGAGCTCTGTGGGGTGCCAGAGGTCAGGGGTCAGAGATGAGGGGGTCACGGCCGACGCCTCGCCTCCGGAGCTGACGGCGGAGGCTGGCAGCCCTGCGTGTCATCAGAAAGCTGACCCTTGCCTATCTGGGGAGGGCGGGTCAGGGTGAAGGGTCAGCGGTAGCAGCCCACCTGGGAGGCGGTGGAGGACACGGAGGGGGAGGGCGAGGCGGGCGGCGACAGGGGGCAGCAGGGCAGGTTGAGGGTCACGTAGTGCTCATGGCTGCACAGGATACGGGTGAAATCCACGCGCAAGCTCAGCAGCGCTGTGGGGTTCGCAGCGGACTGCAGCCGGGCGGCCACCTGCCGGAGGTGGGGCGAGTCAGGGCTGTGGCAGGCCTGGTCCCCCCCATCCCGCGCTCACCACGCCCACCAGGTCCACCTGCCGCTGGCCACCCACCAGGTCACCAGGTCCACCTGCCGCTGGCCACCCCCACCCCCGGCACCAGTGGCCAAGAGCGCCAGCTGGAGACCACACCTAGCACCCACCTGGTGATCACACACAGTGCCCACAGCCCACAGTCGTGCCCGTCAACAACGTGGCCACGCCCAGCCCTCCAGAGACACACCCGGCACCCCAAAGCCACCATCGCACCTGCTTGTAGTGACTGCGGACCAGGTGGAAGACGAAGCCGCGGTCGGCCAGGGACAGGAGGTCGCTCAGGAAGAAGGCCAGGCTGGCGTTGAGGCGCTCTGCCAGCTCAGTGTCCTGAGGACACAGGGCCGGTCAGGTGAAGCACTGCGTCGGCGGGGCCCCCACCAGACCCCCACCACACCCAGCCAGGCCCCCACCAGACCCCCACCACACCCAGCCAGGCCCCCACCAGAACCCCACCACACCCAGCCAGGCCCCCACCAGACCCCCACCACACCCAGCCGGGCCTCAACCAGGCCCCCACTGCACCCAGCCAGGCCCCCACCAGACCCCCACCACACCCAGCCGGGCCCCCACCAGACCCCCACTGCACCCAGCCGGGCCCCACCAGACCCCCACCACACCCAGCCGGGCCCCAACCAGACCCTCACCACACCCAGCCAGGCCCCCACCAGACCCCCACCACACCCAGCCGGGCCCCCACTGCACCCAGCCAGGCCCCCACCAGACCCCCACCACACCCAGCCAGGCCCCAACCAGACCCCCACCACACCCAGCCAGGCCCCAACCAGGCCCCCACTGCACCCAGCCAGGCCCCTACCACACCCAGCCAGGCCCCAACCGACCCCACCACACCAGCCAGGCCCCCACCAGGCCCCCACTGCACCCAGCCGGGCCCCCACCGGACCCTCACCACACCCAGCCAGGCCCCCACCGGACCCCCACTGCACCCAGCCAGGCCCCAACCAGGCCCCCACTGCACCCAGCCAGGCCCCCACCAGGCCCCCACCACACCCAGCCCGGCCCCACCAGGCCCCCACTGCACCAGCCACGCCCCCACACCCAGCCAGGCCCCCACCAGGCCCCCACTGCACCCAACCAGAGCCCCACCACACCCAGCCAGGCCCCCACCGGACCCCCACCACACCCAGCCAGGCCCCAACCAGGCCCCCACCACACCCAGCCAGGCCCCAACCAGACCCCCACTGCACCCAGCCAGGCCCCCACCAGACCCCCACCACACCCAGCCAGGCCCCAACCAGGCCCCCACTGCACCCAGCCGGGCCCCCAGTAAGCCTGAACTACTCGGCCAGGCCCCCACCGGGGCCACAGCACTGCGCCAGGCCAGACCCCCATGATGGCCAGCCAGCACCCACTAAAGCCAGACACTCCCTGCCCCGGGCCCTAGGGTTCCCTCGACACCCCAAGCAGCATACTGGGGACCAGCAGCTCTGTCTTAGAACCTGCCCACTCTGGGGAGGGCCATCTCCCAGCTTCTACTGCGGCTCCACGGCCCCTGTGATCATACTCGGGAGGCTTGCGGGGCAGAGCGGAGCCTTGGCACTGCAGGGCGAGCCAGGCAAGGGGCTTGGGGGGAGATCGGAGCCTTGGCACTGCAGGGCAAGCCAGGCAGGAGGGGGCAGGAAGGCTGCAGTCTGAACATGCTCAGAGGTCAGGCCCCCCCGGCCCTGGGTCAAGCCACACTTTCCTGGGATCTTTGTGATTCCCCTAAGAGGTGTTCAGCTGGCACCTGCACAGTGCCAGGCCTCTGGGAATGAGCTAGGGGGACGGACAGCAAAGGGAGAAACTTTCCAGAAGCTTCCAGACTGTTCCCTGAAGACGTGGCACAGCTACAGCCCGCATGAGGGCCCTGGAGGCAGGAGGCCAGCGAGGCCCCCAGGCCGGGTCAGCACATCCATGCCTGGTGCCTTCTGGGGAGTCACTGCCCCACCCCCCATCCAGGACACCTCTTGGGAGGCTCCACTCCCTGCCGGGCACCTTCTAGGGGGACCACTCCCTAATCCCCCATCCCCGAGACCCCACTGCAGGGCCCTGGCACGTGCCTCTGGGGGGACCCCCGCAAACTCCTGACCTTGTGTGCCCGTGTGATGATCTCCAGGCCCACCGAGCCCACCAGGGACTTGATGTCATCCAGGAAGCGGCCTGGGAAGCGCAGCTTTCGAGGAGTGTCCAGCCGCTGGCCCAGCAGCAGGTGCAGGGCCATGCTCTTCACCTGGGGAGAAGGCGGGGCCTGAGGACGATGGGTGGGGCCTGAGGGCCCTGTGGGTGTGGCTTATAGCAGGAGGGTGGAGCTTGGGGAGCCCCACCCATGGGAGGGGCTTAAGCTGGAGTGTGGACTGGGTCAGAGGGAGGGGCTGTCACATCCTGCCTGCAAGGTGGTGGGGTGGCAGGTCTGGGTAGGGACGGACGTCTCTAATGGGGCGTAGCCGCTCTTTAGAGAGACACCCTCATTCGTGCCACTCGTTCCTGTGTGGGGGTCTCTGGGGGTCTCCCCGGGGAGGGTGACTCACCATGAGCTTGAAGAAGAACCAGGCATGGTGCAGCACAGCCTCGCGCACTGCACTGCCGCTCACCACCCACTGCAGGGCCAGCTCCTCGTGCAGCAGCTGCGGGCAGGGGCCACGGCCAGTCGGTCACCCGGAACACGCGCCCTACCACCCCTCACCACCACTGTCTGGAGCACAAGCCCGGGGAAGGAAGCCTGGGGTTAGAGTGGCAGGAGTCGGCCAGCCATGCAGGAAGGAGCAGCGTGGGCGGCCGGGGGGCCGTGTGCCCCTTTCCTGGGTTCTGCATGGGAAGGGGACCTGGGCGGGGTAAGAGCCCCGGGACCCCGGCTGGGGGCAGAGCCCCCTCTCCCCACCCGACTACCTTGTGCGCAGTGGGTCTTGGCTGGTTGGCACACGAGGCCAAGGAGGAGGAGGAGGAGCAAGAGGTGGCCTCGAGGTACGAGGAGGCCCGGTCCGTGGCCTAGGATGGGGTGGGGTGAAGAGAATGGACAGTGGGGACAGAGCGGATGATGAGAGAGAGAGGCGCCCACGTGGACGGGGCAGACGCAGCTGCCCGGGCGCAGGTGGCAGAGGGAGGCGACACAGAGACCACAGAGACCACCAGCTTCCCTCGGCTGGCGGCTGGACGCCGGCCGCTGTCACGTTGCGTGCCCAAGCAGCCAGGGGGCCCTGGCGGGACGCTGGCACCAACACCCGTGAGCCCGACTGACCAGTGACCTGTCATTTGAATGTAGCCCCGGTCCTGGGCGTCTGTGACCAGGACAGAAAGTAGGTTGTGACCACAGACGTGGGCTCTGGGTGCCAGCGAGGGCCGCAGTGCGTGTGTGGGGGGGGAATGCCACGGGGCAGCCTGGGCAAGCAAGGACACATCTGTTCCTTAGCATACAGGTGTGGGGTGGTGCGGGTCAGGGAGGGAGGCAGCGGACGGAGACGTGGCAAGGTCACCCCACAGGGGTGTGAATAAATGAAGGGATGAGTGCATGAAGCCAGGATGGGAGACCCGGCAGGACAGAGCGGGTGCTGTGGGGCACAGGTCAGTGCAGACAGAGACAGGAGGGGAGAGCTCACGGCCCCTTGAGGTGCTGATGGGGCCTCTGTTGCCCCATCTGGGAAATGGGTGTGAGTGGGCGTGCTGGTCAGGGAGAGGCAGTGCAGTCTAGCCTCCAGGGCCTGGACCATGCCCATCGACCATGCCAGGGCCCTCCTCCGGGTTCTAGTACCCTGGTGAGGGGTCCATGTCTGAAAACCCAGCGGGCGGGTTTGTCTCAAGGCTCAGCCGGTAGCACACCCAGGACTCGAACCTGGGTCTGTGGGGCTGTGGAGCCCAGGGGACCCAGGAGAGATCCCCTCCCCCAAACATACAGGGCAATTAAAGGGAGGTGTGAGGGTGGGTGGGGCCAGGCCATGCTGGGCAGTGATGTTATAGGTGATGAGATTTGCATCTCATTGGCATTCTATTTGCATTCCACCCTGGTGACCCCCCAGCTGGTTAACAAGAACCCCAAGTTTCTTTCCCACAGACAGGAGGGAGCTGCCGCCTCCTGTGGGCAGTCCCCCTAGGTTAGTGGGTGGTGCTCGGGGAGAGGGTTGTCATGCCATGGTGGTGTCACACGCGTGCGGGGACTGGGAGTGGCGGGGCACCTGTCTGGGCTCAGCCCCGCAGTAAGGGGGCGCCCGCCGCAGCACGGCCTTGTTGCCGCCCGGAGCGTAGGCGGAATTCACCCAGGAGTGGGAGCGGTCGACGCCCTGGAGACAGGACGGGGTGGGTAGGTATCCCCAGGGGGTGAGGAGGCCACGAGAGCCATCAGGGATGGGTGCCGCCCGCCAGCCCGCAGGGACATGAGTCCGTGTCAGAGCCCACGTGCCTGCCCGCAGGAGCGTGCCTGTGTGGCCACGTCACTGTGGCCCGGAAAGGGTGCGTATGCCCACCTGTGTTCGTGTGTAGAGCGACAAGCGTGTGTGTGTGTGTGCGCACACGCGTGTGCGGCCATGTCAGCATGGAGCGCTTACCCTGCATGCACTGTGCATGCGTGCACGCCTGCGTGGGTCACGGGTGCTCACCACGCACACACGCATCCGGTCCTGAGCCCACCCTGTGCCGCCAGGCCAAGTTCCTCACGCCCCAGCCCTTCCGCACGTCCCGGGGAGCGACTCAGTGGGGACGGAGGGGTCAGCCCCAAGCCCGACTTCCCGCCTTCCCCCTTGGAAGGCCGCGGCAGCCCGGCCCCCCGCGGCCCACATCGCGGCTCCTACCTTGCTGGCCAGGATGCGGGAGACCTCGTCGTCCAGCGAGCCTGGGGGCCCGGCCAGGTCGGGGTTACTGTTGCTGATGCTCTTGGAGCGGGCCAGGTAGAGGCTGGCCGGGCGGCCGGAGCCCCGGGCCAGCGTGGTGGCCTGCACGGCTCCTGGGGAGCGAGGGTGGAGGGTCAGCTGCCTTTTCCCAGCGGGCTACCCTGGCTGCATCTTCCCCGAGATGACTGTGCTAGTGGCTGCTGCGCTGGACACTTGTCCCCATGACACGTGGGGGAACAGCCGGTCAGCATTGCCTCTACTTGAACTGAAGGGGTCAAGTTGGTTGGTAAGGAGTTAGCGAGGGGACAGGGCAACTTGGCTAAAGTTTCTGCTCTACGGACGCGTGCCGACTGGCTGAGTCACCTGCCAGTCAAGCGGCCAGCGCCCACTCCCTGGGGTGAAAGAACCTCCCTTCCAAGTGAGCCCCCTTTTTTCTGTCTCCCACTCACCGCCCGGAAGGCTGGGCTCGGTGCCAGGGAGACGGAAGGCATAGTGGACGTAAGCGGCCAGCAGCGGGCAGTGGCCGTGGGCGTCCTGCGCCGACTCCAGGCTCCGGTGGACCAGGCTGACCACGTGGGCCATGGCTTCGAAGACCCCACGGCCCAGGTTCACTGCCGGGCAGAGCCGGGGGTCAAGGCCTCACACCTGCTCCACCCCCACTTTCCGGAGGAAGAGCAGGTGTTGTCCGAGGGAGGTCACGGGGTCATAGAACTTTAGGGTCAGAGGGGGTTGGGAGGGGTGGCCATCTTCCAAAATGGAGGAACTAACACACAGAACACAGCGTGTTTGGCTCAGGCTGTTGTGGGGGTTGGGCGGGGTGCACTCACCCATCTGGCCGCCGATGATGGGGGGCTGCACGACCAGGCGCATGAGCTTGTCTAGGACGTGGTGGGAGAAAGCCACCAGGGGCTCGGGGCTGGCGAGGCGCAGGGCGGCCAGGCTGGCCCGCAGCTCCTGCTCCACCGTGCCCTCGCTCAGCACGGCGTCCTTGAGCCGGAACGGGAAGGCCCCTTCCTCCAGGACGTGGACCAGGGTGAAGAATTTGTCCAGGTGGGGGTCCTGGGCGAGGCGGGTGTGGGCGTGGAGTCAGGAGCAGCTCCCCACCTCCCCATAAAGTCCCAGGGTGACTGGAGTCACGTCCACGGTCAGCCAGAGGGCAGCCCTCCCTCGCTGGCCAGCAGGGCAGGTTGCCCAACCCCGGACGTGTGTGTGTGTGTGTGTGCGCGCGTGATGGGGAGAGCAGAGGTCCCGCCCCGTACCTGGGGATGTACGGAGGACACGGCTGTGAGCTCCACGCTGAACACGCCCTTGTGACCGTCCACCCAGCGCATGCCCGGGAGTGCCACCTGTGAGAGGCAGCCATGGGGTGGGGGGGCTGGGCACCTTCCGGCCACCCCTCCCCTCCTCCCATCACCATGGGATCAGGCCACCACGGGCCATTGCGACACTGTAGGCTCAGCACGGCCCAGCCTGGCGGGACAGCAGGACGCCCTGCCCCCCGCTTCCCCCCAGCCCAGTGGCAGGGGACTGAACCCCTGCCACTGTTGGGGGAAGGAGCGGTCAGCGGAGAAGGGGATGCTTGGGGGGGGCAGACAGTGAGGAGTGGGAAAACCGAGTGAGAGATAACTCGGGGTGCCCGGGACGGGGGAAGGCAACAGGTGCCAACGGGGCAAGAGTTGAGGGGGTGGGGTAACGGGCCGGCCCCAGTCCCTAGGGTATGGCAAGGGGGGACGAGAATGACGGGGGCAGGCAGGGACGGACAGCAGTGTAGAGGGGACAGAAAGAAGCACACAGGCCCAGGACGAGGGACCAGGGGGTGCGGGGAGCACGTACCTCGGGCGTGAGCACAGAGTAGCTGGGCGGGGGCTGGTCCACGGCCACGGGCAGGCAGAGGGGGCCGGTCCGCAGGCGCCCATGCTGCAGCAGGGGTACCCACTGCGGAGGGGTGAGGCTGGGTCAGCGCTGGCTGGGTAGGTGGACGGGGGGACGGGCGGGCAGGCAGGCAAGCGGGTGGGTGGACAGGCAGGGGCTGTGGGCGCGGGGCGGCTCACGGTAAAACCTATGGGCGTCTCCAGCGCCATGCCGGGCCGCGGCTGGCAGCTGACGTGGTAAAAAGTGAACAGCAGATGGTGGTTCTCCGCGACGCAGGCCGGGAGCCGCAGCTTAAACTCCTCGTAAAACTCGGGGGACCTGGAGGGGGCAGCGCACGTGCGTGGGGGGTATCCTCCTCCCGTATCCTTCGTGCTGGTGTGGGTGGCGGGGAGCCCCCAGCCTCCCTCAGTGCCTCGTCTCCCCTTACACACGCGTGAGCAGGAGCTCGGGCAAGAGCTTCCGACATCACACTCATTTTGGGGCAAAAGAATCTGGACCCCCGTGCATGGCCGAGCAGCCTCTTAACGCCTGCTGCATTTTCTCAAGGCCGCGTAATGCCAGGGCTTCCCAAAACAAGAGAACATCTGCTGCCGAATGTTCGCCAAAGCCAGGGCTGGGGGTTCGCCATCCGGGTCCCCCACGTGGATGGCAAGGGGCGCACGGACGTGGCCGGCCCCCTGCCCACTGCTTCCCAGGGCGCGTATGAGCCCAATGCTGGGACTGGAAGTGGAGCCGCAACTTGGATCTCAGATAGGACAGGGGTGGGAGCCCCGGGGGGCGTGTTCGCTGCCATGCCAGACACCTGCCCCAGTCCCAACTTAACCCTCCGATCTTCCGGCGCGCTCTGCCAACCCCTCGCCTGCGGCCCCCTCCCCTGCCGCCCCCTCGCCTGCGGCCCCCTCGTGCACTGGGACCTGCCGCCCGGCCACCCCGTACTTGTTGTGGTACACCACGGCGGTGAAGGCCTCCCGCGTGAACTCACTGCAGCTGGACTTGCCGAAGATGACCTGGGTCGGGGCGCGGGCGAACCCGCGGACATTGAGTGCGTGCGCCCCAGGCCCGGCCCCCACCCCACCCCACGCCCGGAGAGGGAGGCAGAGGGGCGCATTCATCACCCACCGGCAGGGCCTGGCTGGGGTCCTCGCCCGCCATGTACTGCAGCCGCACGGCGAGGTTGCGCACGGAGCCCTGGCGGCTGCTGAAGTTGAGGCTGTGCGGGTATACGTACAGGAGGTTCCTGTGGGCGGCGGGGACAGCGCGGGACACTCAGGTGGCACCCACTGCATGCTGAGCTCCGGCTCTCCTGAGAGGCAGTGGGTTCCCCCTTCCCCCCATCACACCCACTCCCCAGGGAGGGTGACAGAGGGCCCCACGCAGGGTCATCCAAGGGCGAGCAAGGGGCCATGTCTTGGACCCCAGCACCCCCTCGGCACCGAGCAAGCCCTGTGCCTGCAGCTCAGGGGCAGGGTCGCTCAGCAGCCTCACTGTCAACCCCGTAGGGGGTGGGGACCGCAGGGGAGGCCTGGGAGCCCCTGTCCCTTCCTCCCCGCCCCCCACCACCAGGCAGGGCTGGCTCCACGCTGCAGCCAGCACGATCCAAGCGTGGCCTGCCCACCAGCATTGATGCAAGCCCTCGCCACGACCAGGCCCTTGCGTAACTCGGGGCGGCTGCTTGGCCACTGACCGACCGAGGGGGGTTAGCCGCCCGCTGTGGCCATAAAAGCCGTAGCAGCGGCACCGCGGGAGGCTGCGTGCATCCAACCTCAGCCATGATCGCGCCCGCTCTGTGCCTGCTCTGGGCCCTGGCAGCGCTGGCCCGCCCGACACCCCCAATCCCCACGGGCGGCCCGGAGGAGCCAGCCCAGGGTGAGGAGCTGACCCTCCTCTTCCACGGGGCCCTGCAGCTGGGCCAGGCCCTCAACAGCGTCTACAAGTCTACGGACACGCAGCTGACGGAGGCCGGGCGGAACCTGGGGCTCTACGGCCACACACTGCAGCTGCTGCGGGGGGATGTGAGTCGGGGCTGGGCAGCAGCCCGGGAACTCCGTGCCAGCCTGAAGGAGATGCAGGTGAGCGCGGCTCCAGGGGTGCACGTGGGATCCTGCCTTCTGCCCCTCCACGGGGTAGCACACTGCCCAGGGGGCACCCTGGGTCATAAACGCAAACTGCATCTCTCTTCCGAGCAGACCGAGGGGGTCGCCCTGCAGCTACAGGCAGAAGCCACGGCCCAGGAGCTGGCGGAGCTGGCCCAGGCCCAGCGGTCACTTAGGGACAGCGTCCAGCGGCTGGAGGGGAAGCTGCGGGGTGCCTGGCTGGGTCAGGCCCAATACCAGGAACTTGAGGCCTTGAAGGTAAGAGGGAGTGAACCCCTGTGTGGGGCCCCAGCCCCTGTCTGTACCCCCAGGCTCCCCACTGGGACGTCACAGCCCATGACTGGTACCTCCTGGGACAGACGGGGACCCATCGCACAGAAAACACTTAGCATGGCAGTGGCGCAAACATGAGGCGCTCAATACATGCTGACGGACCCCCTGGGATATCTGGCAATGCCCTGAAGGCTCCATGCCTGCCCCAGCACCCCTAGGCCCCTTGCACTGTGGCTCTCTGCCCTGGGGTCACGCATCCCACCCATGTCTCTAACTTCCCCCAGGTCTGTCCCATTCCCATTTGTTCAGATGGGAAAATTGAGGGCAGAAAGTGTGGTGGGGGCAAGGTAGGGGGTGCCTGGCCAGGCCCTGTGGACATCAAAGGCAGACCCGAGGTCGGGGTGGGGCAGAGGACGGCAGAGCCAGGACCGTAGCTTCACATGGCCGCCCCGCCCTGACCCCCTGCCCAGGTGCACGCCGACAAGCAGAGTCACATGGTGTGGGCCCTGGCCGGCCACTTGCAACGGCAACGGCGACAGATGGCAGCACAGCAGCGCTCGCTGCGGCAGATCCAGCAGAGGTGAGCTGCCTGGGGCCGGGCAGGGGTGCCGGGTGGACCTGGGGACCACTGGGTCCCAGGGTGAACCCTCCTCTCTGGGGGCCTTGGCTGAACCCCATTCTCTCCCCGCAGGCTGCCCACAGCGGCGCTGCCAGCCTGAGCTGGCCGGCCATCCATGCTGGGAAGAGGATCTGTGTACACAGCAGGTGGCGCTCAAGCACTTGGCAAGGCCGTGCGCGGCGTGGGGGTGCAGGAAGCTCTCCTGGCACGCCAGGCAGGCGGGCACCCAGCCGGCCAGCAGCAGTGGCTGGGGGTCAGGGCGCCCCGCTTCCAGCCGGTGCAGAGAGAGGAGGAGATTAACAGGAGGGAAGGGGCAGAGCCTGGGACGCGTCCCCTCCCACCCCACCCGCAGACAATAAAGTCGCAGTGTCCCCGCGGGGTGTGGACCTGTAGCAGGTGTGTGGGGCGTACACCTCCTTTGCCGGGAACTCCAGGATCTCCTTGGTGGGCCGGCCCCGGGGGTCCGGGTAGGGCTTGACGTGCAGCAGCTCCGGGGACAGGCAGAACGGTGGGTTCTCAGGCGCCGGGGAGATGTCGATCTTGAGCTGGGCTGCGAGGGAAGGGGTGCGCGCGCCCCTGCTGGGACCATCCCACAACAGCCCCTGGCAGCTCCCTTGCCCCACACTCGCCCCTGCTCCTCACTTGGGGACCCCCTGCCACCCCACCTCCGACAGATCCTTGCTGGGGGAGTGACTGTGTGAGTCTGACCACCCTTTCTGCCCCACGGGCTGGGTCGCACCTGTCACGGGCCGCAGGCGTCTCAGCAGGGAAGACGGGCGTCGCATGTCGGCCAGGAACTTGAAGAGGTCCTCGTCGCTGAGCCGCTCAGCCTCCTGTGTGGGTTGGGATCGGCACCCCCAGCCCCCTCAGCGTGAGCAGGAGCCAGGAGGCTGGGGGTCCCCAGCACACACACACAGCTCCGTGCCCCCCATGCCTCACCGTGAGCAGGAGCCAGGAGGCTGGGGGTCCCCGGCACACACACACACACACACACACACACACACACACACACACAGCTCCGTGCACCCATGCCTCACCGTGAGCAGCAGCCAGGAGGCTGGGGGTCCCTGGCACACACACACACACACACACCCCTCCACGCCCCCCATGCCTGCCCGCCTAGCACCTGCTTGAAGAAGTTGGTGACGGTGAGCGTGGCTGGCCGGAAGCCTGAGAAGCTGCAGGCGTCGTCTGCGCCCGTGGCGCGCTCCTGCGGGGCCCGGCGGCGGCGGTCGGTCCAGGCCGGGCGGCGCTCTGGTCGGGACAGGCGGTAGACATGGGGGACATTAGGGGGACTGGCGCATGGTGTCGCTCCAAGGGAGAGAGGGAGGGAGGCCGGCTAGAAAGGGGGCGCGTCTCCCCTCCCCGCGCCTCACCGCCCTCCGAGTCCGAGTCGCGGTCGGACTGGCCCGCGCTGTTGACGATGTTGGCGAGGTGCACGGCCGTCCACGCGAAGGGCATACGGTAGCGACCCAGGCGCGTGCAGAACTGCTCGGCCGCCAGGCGCAGCTTCTCCAGCTTCTCCTTGTTCTGTGGGCGAGTGACAAGCACCCTGCACTTGGTGTCGGGAGTGGGGACGTCGGGGGGCTCCTGCGCCCCCCGTGCACCTGCCCTCCCTCGCGTGCTCCTGCGCCCCCAGCCATCCTGCTCTGCCTGCTCACCTTGGCTGCGTCCGCCTCCTTCATCACCATGTAGGGCTCGCAGCACTCGCTGATGTCTCCCTGCTGGAGGACTTTCTCTAGCTGCAGGCCAGAAGGGCGCTGTGAGGCCACACCCCTCTCGCACGCCCCCCCAGCGCCCCGACCGCGGCCTCCTGGCTCCTCTCCTGGCCTTCTAGCACCTCCATGGCCCCCACCGGCCACCCCAGGGACCAATGATCAGCCCTCAGCTTGGCCCCACCCACACAGCGCCCACCCGGCTCTTCCAGACACACCCCCGTACCTCCAAAAGGAGGCCCACCTCAAGACACCCTCCCCTGGTGGCACAGGACTCCAACCAGGACCTGCCAAGGGGACCCGTCCTGGACAGGCCCCTTAGCTGCCGTGCCTCAGTCTCCCCATCTGTAATACCACCCTGACGGCCCTTCTGCCCTCCGTGAGGGTTTGGGGAGTCCGTTTCCTCCTCACTCCTCTGTCTCGAGGTCCCCTGGCTCGGCCCTGCCCCCACCCTTGCCTGGTCCCAGCACCTTGATGACCAGGAAGATGTCTGGTGACGGGTGGCTCACGGAGAAGATGGCAGAGCGGGCCAGCGTGGAGATGGCCGGGTGCGTGCCGTGCGCCCGCAGCAGCCCCTTCATGGAGTCCGAGTTCAGGTCGAAGTGGAAGTTTTCTGAGATCTGGGGGGGAGGGCCGGGGGAGGGGGAGGGCACACAGCTGGGGTCACAGATGCTGCCGCCCCCTCCGGGGACCCCATAGCCGCCATGACGGCTGGAGACAGCTCCCACCTTCTTCTTCTCCCGTGCGTCATACAGCGCCAGGGTCCCAAAGATGGGCTCGATCTCAATCTCGAATCTGTGGGTCAGAGCGAGGAGGGTCACCCGCGGCCCCAGCCCGTGGGCGTGGACAGGGCAGGGCTGTCTCCCACCGGGCCACGGGCTCATCCCAGCTGCCTGGCCCCTGCGTGGTTACACAGCAGGTGCTCCCCAAGTGTTTGTCGAGCGGCTGACTGAGCTGTTTCCGGGCCTGGAGAGCTTGGGGCTGGCCCGCAGCCTCCCTTTCCTGTCCCCCACCCCACCGCTCCGTCCTCCCTGGCGAGGAGAGGTGGGGGACAAGCAGGGGCCAGGCCGGGCCAGGGGCCAAGTCCACATCCTGTCCAGGCTCCGGCTCCATTCCCACACGCTTCTGGCTGCTCTTCCGCCCCCCTCCGCCCGGGGAGGACACCTCAGGCGGCTTGGCGGGAGCTGCACGGCCTCCTCGACACCTCCCAGGGGACGCTAGTGGCCGGGCAGGGCAGACGGAGCTTCTGCACTCTGTGCCTCAGTTTCCCCAGCGGCTCAGGCACATAGTGAAGGCGTGGAGGGGGGCGTGGGTTCATACTCACTTGAGTGACAGACACTTGACCAGCAGCCTCTGTCCAAAGTGTTCCCGGGGGGTCTCTGGGCGGCTGCAGCGCTCCACGGCCTCGTCCTGCCAAGGGTCGGGGGTGGGCTCGGGCGGTCAGCCTGCACGGCTGGGGCGCTGGGCACCACAGCCAGCACCCCAAGGCGGCACAGGGGGCTCCTCTGTCCGTCTGGGGCAGGGTCAGCAGCACAGAGGCGTCTGAAGTCCCCTTGACGTGACCATGAACTCTGACAGTTAGAACGGGCTCTCTCCAAACGCCAGGCGCGCGGGCACCCAAAACACACCGCCCGCCGTTCGGAAAGAGCACGGCGCACGAGCCGAAGCAGACTGCTGCGGAAAACCAAGCCTTGTGGGAGGCAGGGGGCTGCTGGGGAGCTCCGGTGGGGAAAAGGGTGTTTAAGAAGGGCACTGCAGGAGTGTTTTCAGTTTAGGGCGAGTTTCAGGGGGGATGGGACCCTGCCCTGAGTCAGGGTGCACCTGTACTCAGCAGGCGCCAGTCGGCACGCTGGGGCCGGTGGGTCACGTGTAAGACACAGTGGGCATTTACTGAGTGGTTAAATGAAAGTGCAGGAAGCCGGTGCAGTGGCTCAACTGGCTAATCCTCTGCCTTGCGTGTGCTGGGATCCCATAGGGGCACTGGCTCGAATCCCAGCGGCCCCGCTTCCCATCCAGCTCCCTGCCTGTGGCCTGGGAAAGCAGTGGAGGACGGCCCACAGCCTGGGGACCCTGCACCCGTGTGGGAGACCCGGAAGAGGCTCCTGGCTCCTGGCTTCGGATGGGCTCAGCTCCAGCCCTTGTGGGCACTTGGGGAGTGAACCAGCAGGTGGAAGATCTTCCTCTCTGTCTCTGCTTTTCTCTGTAAATTTCATCTGCCCTTTCATCAAGAATAAATCTTTAAAACAGAAAAGATGGACTGTACACCAGGTGCCAACTGGATGCAAGCACTTCCGGTGATTAAACGGGGAACTACAACGGAAGGCACTCGGTAAGCCCGGGGGTGCTGGGGTATACAGGCAGCGTGCCATCAGGGCATTGGTGCCCGCAGAGGCACCCACCTCGTCGGGCGCTGGGTAGAGGGTGAGCAGGGCCGGGGGCCGGTGCTGCCGCCGCAGGGCCTCATTGCGCCGGTCCACCTCCTCCGGGGCCTCCCGCTCCAGCAGCGAGGGCAGCAGGGAGTCGGCCTCCAGGTTCCTGAGGTCGAAGATGCCGGAGGCCCCGCTGCCACAAGGGGCGTCTTCCAGGGAACCGGAACAGCGCCGGGAGTCGTCCTGCTGGTGGAGAGTGCCAGCGCTGAGTGCCAGCTGTGTACACAAGACCCCGCTCGTTTTGCTGGCACATTTTCCACAAACTTCCATCCCCAGGAGCCTGCGTGCCACAGCAGTGACATGGTGGAGGAAGTTCCTCTCACTCCCTCCCCCCAGCCACTTGGAGCCTCAGCTGATCCTTCCTGGACCAATCACATCCTTCCCGGGCCAACCAGATCCCTCCTGGGCCAATCAGATCCTTCCTGGACCAATCAGATCCCTCCTGGGCCAACCAGATCCCTCCTGGGCCAATCAGATCCTTCCTGGACCAATCAGATCCTTGTCAGGGCAATCAGATCCTCCCCGGGCCAATCAGACCCCTCCTGGACCAATCAGATCCCTCCTGGACCAATCAGATCCTTCCCGGGCCAATCAGATCCTTCCCGGGCCAACCAGATCCTTGTCAGGCCAATCAGATCCTTCCTGGACCAATCAGATCCCTCCTGGACCAATCAGATCCTTCCCGGGCCAACCAGATCCCTCCTGGACCAATCAGATCCCTCCTGGACCAATCAGATCCTTCCCAGGCCAATCAGATCCTTCCTGGACCAATCAGATCCTTCCTGGACCAATCAGATCCCTCCTGGACCAATCAGATCCCTCCTGGACCAATCAGATCCTTCCTGGACCAATCAGATCCTTGTCAGGCCAATCAGATCCTTCCCGGGCCAATCAGATCCTTGTCAGGCTATCTGCCAGCTTCACGATTGGCTCAAGCCTCAACACACCCTTGGGTCTGGACCAATGAGATCCTTCCCTGGGACTGTGTACACTGTTGTTAGGGAAAGCGAGAATTGGTCCATGGACCAAGGCCCTGCTCCTGACCAACCCCAACTCAGCTCTGGGACCCCAGGTCTCTCCAATCTCAGGTCTCAGGGTCCCTGCTACCCGCCTGGGAGACCCAGACCGAGTCCCACCTTCTGATCTGCATGGTACAACCCTGGCTGCTGTGGGCACTTGGGGACTGAGTCTGTGGATGGCATGGCTTTGTCTTTCAAAGAAATAAAACAGTTGGGCCACGTGCGATAGCCTAGTGGCTAAAGTCCTTGCCTTGAACACGCTGAGGCCATCTGGGGAGTGAACCAGCGCACGGAAGATGTTTCTCTTTGCTCTCTATATCTTACGTGCCTCTGACTGTAACGCATTGCTCCCTGCAGTTCTTTTGGGGTTCAGATTAGTTCTCCATCACAGGGGAATGAAAGCCAGGGTTGCTCCCCTCAACACACACACAGAGCCGTGACACCCCTTGTGACGCCCCCAGTCCCCTGGCGAGGGGTTCGCTCACCGCGTCCTCGGGGCCGCCTTTCTCGTCTCCGCAAATGTCCTGCTCGAAGACCTGCCGGCTCAGGCCCTTCTGCCGCTCCCGCTGCGACTCGGTGGTGATGGGGCTGTAGGCCGCGCTCAGCCGCTGGTAGCTGGAGGAAGGACGGGGCAGCTGGGCAGGCGCTGGCCGCCCCCACCCGCTCCCCTGCACCCAGGTCCAGCAGGCGGGCAGCGGCGGGAGGACCAGCAGGAGCAGCTGGAAGCCCACCGACTGACCTTCTGTGCACGATGACCCAGTCCTGGGCGTACATGTCCACGGCAGCCTGAACCTGCCGGTCCAGTTTCCTGTCGGGCAAGGAAGGGGCAGGCTCAGTGGTGCCAGAGGGCGCTAGGGGAGGCTCAGGGAGGGTGGCCCATTCACACAGCCCGACCCAGGGCTTGAACTGTCGGATTTGGGGCGGGAGGCGTGGCCAGAGCCGACACACCCATCTTCTGGGATGCCAGGCTCGGTGGTCCGACTCTCCCGGGGCTGTAACAGCAGCTCCAGGTCGTCCGCAGGGAACTCCAGCAGGTCTCGGAGGGGCCCGGGCTCAGAGGCCAGTGGCCGGCTCACCATCTCTTCGAAGTCCAAGGGCTCGACAACCTCCGTCAAGGGCACCTGGGGCACGTGCAGGGAACTGTGGGTGACTGGGTGGGGAGTGGGGTCCTCGCCCCGGCCCCCGCCGCAATGAGGGTAGGGGTGGGAGCCATGGAGGGCGCTGGAGCCGGGAGGCGGGGACAGGGGCCAGCAGGAATCACAGCCTGGCCACTCTCCCATCCCACCCCACCCCCACCGGCTCGGCCCTCTGTGGTCTCCAGGAAGGAACTCCCAGCGTGGGGCTGCTGGGCAGGGACAGGAAACGGCAAGCTGGGAGGAATGGCCAAGGCCAACCCCACCCCTGGCCTCCAGGAAGTCGCTCCCAGCTCCAGCTGGGTGGTCCAGGCTGGAGTCTTCCCCCACCTGCCTGCCTGCCTCAGCCACCGCCCCACACACACCAGGGCTGCCTGCCCACCCGCACGCCTTCCCCCACCCCAACTCCTCGCCACGCCTGGCTGTTTCCCAGAGGGGCCAGGTGACACAGAGCCTGGAGGGTGGGGTACAGGGAGAAGGGGGTGCAGCACCCCAATCCTCACCCCCAGGGCGGTGCTGCTGCGCCTGCTGGCATGCGGGGAGCCACTATGTTCCCGGGACACCTGCTTCCGAACTTCCGCGGCCACCGTCCTGGGACGACAGGGAGAAGATGGAGGTTTGGGGTGTGTGGGGGGTTCAGGACTCCCACCAGGCAAGATGGGGCTGCAGCCTCCAGCAAGCCCCGGCAGGAGTCAGGGAGTCACAGACCTTGGGTGGCCTACGCCCGCTTCCCTGGGCCGGGCTGCGGGAGTTCCCCGCCACTGTCTCGTGCCCTTCTGCTGGCCATACCCGAGGGACACATGAGGCCAGCTCCAATGCCCGCCCTGGGGGGCAGAGGGACGGACGGAGGCCGTTGGACCATGGCCTCTGCCTCCCCATCCTCTGGGGACCAGTGCCGCACCCCTGCCTCAGGGTCCCACATCTGCAGCTCTCCCCCAGGAGGAGGGTCCAGCCTCGAGTACTCGGTTAACATTCCCTACCTGCACGTTGCTGGCAAGTCTGAATCAAGATCAAGACCGCCGTGTGCAAGAGGCTGGCACAGTGGGCAGAGCTCAGGAAAGTGGAGGCTGCATGGAGACCCCTTCTGTGCCTCCCCCTGCACCCCAACCCATTCTAGCCATCAAGTTCAGCTCCCATGGCAGCCTTGAAAGAGGTGAGGATGTGGGCCCAGCACAGCTGAAGTCCTCGCCATGCACGCACAGGGATCCGATCCAGGCACTGGTTCTAATCCCGGCTGCTCCACTTTCCACCCAGCTCCCTGCCTGTGGCCTGGGGAGGCAGTGGAGGATGGCCCACAGCCTTGGGACCCTGCACCCGCGTGGGAGACCCGGAAGAAGCTCCTGGCTTTGGATCAGCTCAGCTCTGCCCATTGCAGCCACGTGGGGAGAGAACCAGCAGATGGAAGATCTTCCTCTGTCTCTCCTCCTCCTCTCTGTATAATCTGACTTTCCAATAAAAAAAAAAAAGATAAAATAAATGTTAAATAAAGAGGCAAGGCTATGCATCTTTGGGTGCAGGGAGCCCCCACTCTGGGCTTTGTAAAAATGGAGAAGCGGGACGTGGTGGAAGGGGAGGCGGCACGGTCAGGCGCAGGTGGAGCTGCCCCTGTGCACGGTACCGCAGGTCAGAGAGGCCGGCCTGAGTCCTGGGGGTTCCACTTCTGTTTCAGGCCCCTCTGCATGTGTGCCCTGAGCAGGCAGCAGGCAGTGACCCCACACACTGGGCGGCTTTCCCCAGGAGGGGATTTCGTGGGCTGGGCTACCGTGGCCATAATCCTCCCAAGGAGATAAGGTGACAGCCCCGCGTGATGCGCGGGGGGCGGAGCTTCGAGGGGAAAGCCCGCGGTGGGTGGCAGCGCCAGGATCTTGGAGGACTCCATCCCCCGCGGCCTGATAAGGCGAGGTCTGTCCCCAGAGGGAAGGAAGACAAGAAAAACAAGAGCTGAAGTCGCAGGCGCTGAGTGCTCCCACAGACGGCGGAAAGGCAAGAAAAAAAAAAATGTTTAGGGCCTGGTATGGTAGCCTAGTGGCTAAAGTCTGCACCTGGCATGCGCTAGCATCCCATAGCGGCACTGGTTCTAATCCCAGCAGCTCCACTTCTCATCCAGCTCCCTGCCTGTGGCCTGGGAAGGCAGCAGAGGACGGCCCACAGCCTTGGGACCCTGCACCCGCGTGGGAGACCGGGAGGAGGCTCCTGGCTCCTGGCTTCAGATCGGCTCAGCTCTGGCCTCTGTGGCCACTTGGGCCCAGCTGCCCTGCTCATGGACCAGGGGCAATCAGGCCACTGGCACCCGGATGGAGCTCTCAGCTCGGACCCTGGTTATACCCTCCACGGCCACCCCAAGAACCCTCCTGCCCGAGTGTCCTCAACTACGCGACGTAGTGATGGGGACAACAAAGCCACAACAGCAGGCAGAGAGCGGGCTCAGCTGGACACTCGCCGGAGCGAGCCCGGTGCAACTGCTCACACCCTGGGGACGCAGCAGGCGACGGCTCCAGGCCCGCACCCCTGCGCCCAGGGGGTGACCCGCACGCAGCTCCTGCCCCCTGCTTGGGCAGCTGCCCAGTCCCACACATGGTGGGCATTTGGAAGGAGAACCAGGCCATCCTCTCTCCGCGCCTTTGAAATAAATAAACACAACTACCAACAGACACATCCCCAGGCTTAGAGACGAACAGAAACAGGACCACGGAAAGCGTGACAACCGCCTGGCCTTCCTGCCTCCCCTGGGGCCACGGCCCCGCTCTGCCCCCACAGCCCTGCCGGCTTCCCATCCCACATTCCCGGGCCATGCTAAGGTCCTCTCTCCCCCTCTCTCGCTCTCTCTCCCCCCACTTCCTGCCTCCTGCTCTGCCCCATGCACCAATTCTCTGTCCCCAAACATCCTTCACTCCCTCCCTCCCTGCCCCCTCTCCGCCCATCCCCGCTGGCTGGCCCTCCACGGAGCCCATCTCCGCGCGTCTCCCAGAGCAGGGCCTGCACCCCCTGCCCCCCAACACACACACACACAGAGGCCATATGCCCGTCACCTTGGCACTGTGAGGAAGTGACCCCACCCCGCTACGCAGACAAGGGACCCCACAATACTCCCAGGAGCCCGGCCCAGGCGCGATCTCTCCTCCAGCCGTAATGACTCGCCCAGCCGCTCCCCCTGCCCCCAGTCGGCCCACCAGCTGGTCCCGGGACCCAGCCCCCACTCCATCTATTCAATCATCCTGCAGCCCGTGCTGGGAGAGTCAGGAGGTGGGGGGTGGGTGCTGGCCACAGCTGTCCCCTGCCTCAACCCCCCAGCACCAGACAGCAGCTGGGCACTGCAGCCTAGAAGAGGCAAGGCATGGAAGTTTCCCGAAGGAGCCAGGTGCACCCCCAGACTCCCTCCCCGAGCCTAGAACCCACCCACCCTCGGGCTCCTCGGGGCGTGGGGACACCAGGGTCCAGGAGCTGGACAGAGGGTGCAGATGGTACCTGGTACTCCACCATCCCAAGACACCCCACCCCAGGCCGGGATTCCAGGGGTCCAGGAGCTGAAGTGGGGTGCAGATGGCACTGGGTACCCACCATCCCAGGACACCCCACTCCAGGCCGGGATTCCAGGGGTCCAGGAGCTGAAGTGGGGGTGCAGATGGCACTGGGTACCCACCATCCCGGGACACCCCACCCCATTCGACCCCACACCAGGCGAAGGGTCCAGGAGCTGAAGTGGGGGTACAGACAGCACTGGGTACCCACCATCCCGGGACACCCCACCCCGGGTCAGGGGTCCAGGAGTTGGACAGGGGGTGCAGACGGCACCCGGTACCCCACCATCCCGGGACACCCCACCCCGGGTCAGGGGTCCAGGAGCTGGTGTGGGGGTACAGACGGCATCCAGCACCCCGCCATCACAGGACACCCCACCCCGGGCCGGGATTCCAGCGTCCAGGAGCTGGACAAGGGGGTGCAGACGGCACCGGGTTCCCCCATCCCCGGACACTTCGCCGCACCCGGCTCCCTCAGGGAAGGGACTTGGGGTGCGGGGGACCCCCACACCCTCGGCGGGCCAGGGGCGGGCCCTCGGCGGGGCGGGGCCGGGCCAGGTGGGGGGCGCGGGCTGCAGTCGGGCCCCCACCTACCTGTTGATCTTGTGTGCGAAGGCGCGGCGCTCGGAGGCCGCCATGACGCCCGGGTCCCTCAGTCACCGCCGCGCTCGGACGCCGGGAGGCCGGTCAGGGCGGGAGGGCGGGGCCTGGGCCGGGGGCGGGGCCTGGATGGGGCGGGGCCGGGGCCGGGAGGGCGGGGCCGGGAGGGCGGGGCCGGAAGAAGGCAAGCCTGGGAAAGAGCGAAGCTGCAAAGGTGGGGCGTGGCCGGCGAAGATGGGGCGTGGTCGGGACTGCGGAGTGGGCGTGGCCACGCGTGGGCCCTGCCGCAGGGCGGGGCGGGGCCGGGGCGCTCCGGGGGCGTGGCCGAGGCAGACGGGGCGGGGCCTGGCTGGTTGTGGGCGTGGCCGTCTGGGACCAGCAGCGTCCCCACTGACCAGCGTCTCCCAGCCCAGCGAGCAGCCCTGAGGTTTTGGGTGAGTTTGGGGGAGCACTGTGCAAGAGTGGGGTCCCCGACTCCCGGGGAGGCGCCCGCACCACCTGCCAACACCGAACAGCACAGGTGGGAAACAAATAAAAGAATATTCACGGAAAATACATCCTTACCTGGTATTTTTTTGCATCTAAATAAGTGTTATCTCAAATACTTTTTGAGATTTTTTTTTAATTGGAAAGGTAGATTTACATAGAGAGACAGAAAGAAAGATCTTCCTTCCTCTGGTTCAATCCCCAAGTGGCTGCAATGGGCAGAGTTGAGCTGACCAGGAGCCAGGAGCCTCTTCCGGGTCTCCCACACGCGGGTGCAGGATCCCAAGGCTGTGGACCGTCCTCCACTGCTTTCCCAGGCCACAGGCAGGGAGCTGGGTGGGAAGTGGGGCTGTCGGGATTAGAACCTGTGCTCATATGGGTTCCTGGTACATGCAAGGTGACAACTTTAGCCACTAGGCTACTGTGCTGGGCCCTATATTGAATAATTTTTAAAAATTAATGTAAAAGGCCGTGCTCTTGCATCCGCTGGGTCCCCTGCCTCCCTGCAGCAGCCGGAGCTGGACCAGGCAGCAGCCAGGAGCCCAGGAACCCCATCCGTGTCTCCCCCAAGGCTGGACAGGCATGTCAGGGACTTGAACCTCCCCTGAAGGAAGCTGGACCCCAGCAACAGAGCCGAGACCCCAAGTTCCCATTCCGGTCTTCCCTCAGTCTCTGGGTCTTACGCGGGTTGATCGTGGCCGTGGGGCTCCCAGTCAGGTCCGAAAGTCTGAGACCCTGAGCCCGCGGGCGAGTCCCAGCCCCCGCCTCTAGGCCTCCTGTAGCATCCGACCCACGGGGTGGCACCCGGCCTGACATGTGCCAGCCACGCAGGCGACCCCGCCCCAAGTGGTCCAGCCAGTCTGTCCCTGCTGTGCATGAGGGGACATGTGGTGGAGGACGAGCCAGTGACTCCGTGGTGCTTTGCCACGCCCCGCCCCACCTCACCCCGTTGTGGGGGTGTAATTCCGCTGGGGGCCCCGCTCGCCTCACGCCACCCTTGCACCTGGCAGGGCTTCCCCACACACTGCCAGACAGTCCTGGCAGTGGGACTTCCCGTGAGGACTGACAGCGGGGTGCAGTGCGTCCCCCCACCCAGACCCCGCTGTGCATCCCCAGGCTAGCGGCTCAGCCTCTCTGGGCCTCGGTGTCCGGCTGAGGATCTGGGAGCGTTCTGCTCTTGCAGCCACCGGCAGCCGGAGGAGATGGCTGTCACCGGGGCTTCCTGGGCCCTGCCAGACCTGAAAATCAAGGCCTGGCCCGGCGCGGTGGCGCAAGTGGTTAAGGTCCTCGCCTAGCACGCCCGGGATCCCATATGGGCGCCGGTTCTATCCCAGCAGCCCCGCTTCCCTTCCAGCTCCCTGCCTGTGGCCCGGGAAAGCAGCCGAGGACGGCCCAAAGCTTTGGGACCCTGCACCCGCGTGGGAGACCCGGAAGAGTCTCCTGGCTTCGGATCGGCATAGCATCGACCGTTGAGCTCACTTGGGGAGGGAATCATCGGATGGAAGATCTTCCTCTCTGTCTCTCCTCTCTGTATATCCGCCTTTCCAATAAACAAAATAATAAAAATAAAATCTTTAAAAAAAAAAAAAAAAAACAATAAAAAAAGAAAATCAAGGCCTGACTCACTGGGTGGGGCTGGGCGGAGCGGGGCGGGGAGCGCGATCCAGGCAGCTGTATAAACAGAGCCCCTGGCTGGGCAGGGACTTTGGCCTCCCTCGGCTGCTGTGGGCACACCAAGGGACAGGAGCTAGGAGCTGGGGGCACAGGCGCTGGGTGGGCTTGGGCACGTGGGCTGCTGACGAGGTGAAGGTCAGCTTGAGACGCGAGGTGCGGCTCATCACCAAGGCAGATTGACAGAGAAGGAGAGAGAGCGAAACATCGCAGAATCTTCCACAGTGACTGAGCTGAGCTGACCAGGAGCCAGGAGCCAGGAGCCTCTCCCGGGTCTCCCACAGGGTGCAGGGTCCCCAGGCTGTGGGCCGTCCTCCACTGCTTTCCCAGGCCACGGGCAGGGAGCTGGGTGGGACGTGGAGCTGCCGGGACTCGAACTGGCGCCCAGGTGGGATGCCGGTGCTTGCAGGAGGACACTCCCTCAGCAGCCTTGCTCATTCAGCTGGCCAAAGCTGAGCCGGGTGCTGGTCTGGAACCTTCTCCATCCGCACCAAGCTGGGTTCTCTGAGACCCATTGGACCCGAGGGAGGTCCGACCTGGGCGCCCACTGCCCCCTCGTGGCAGCGCTGGGTATGGGCACTGGGGGAGTGAACCAGGGGATGGAAGATTCTGTCTGCCTTTCAAATACAAAGAAACATATATATTTTTAACTGCTGTGGGGCCCAGAACGGTAGCCTTGTAGCTCAAGTCCTCACCTTGCTCGCGCTGGGATCCCATATTGGCACTGGTTCTAATCCCGGCAGCCCCACTTCCCATCCAGCTCCCTGCCTGTGGCCTGGGAAAGCAGTGGAGGACGGCCCAAAACCTTGGGACCCTGCACCCGCGTGGGAGACCCGGAAGAGGCTCCTGGCTCCTGGCTTCGGATTGGCTCAGTTCTGAACGTTGCGGCCGCTTGGGGAGTGAACCAGGAGATGGAAGATCTTCTTCTCTGTCTCTCCTGCTCTCTGTATATCTGATTTTGCAATAAGAAATAAATTAAGTAAAAAAAATAAATCCTGCGATGTTGGAGTCCCCAGAGCCGCCCTTCTCAGAACTCCAGGGACTCCAGCCCTCCCGGCGGATGCCGAAGTTGGTGAATCCCTCGCTGCAGAAATGAGAGACCTGCAGATTGGCTGCTGGGGGCAAGGCTGCTTGTGGGAAGACAGTGGGTCCCTAGAGGCCCGGGCTCCCATCCAGGCCCAAACACCTGTGTGAGGGCCTGCGGTGTGGGCACTGGGGCCATCCAGGGCTGCGATGGGGCCCACGTGGCAGTAACATCAGGAAGACGCTGGACCCCCAGTGCGGGGTGTGTGCTGGGGCTGCCCTCCCCGCTGCGTGCGGAGCTGGGCCAGGAAGCAGGAAGCCTGAGGCCGAGCTGGCCATGCGGGACACGCTCACAAAGGGAGGCCAGGAGGGCAGGCCGCAGGCTTCCTGTCTTTCTCCGAGCCGGCGGCCCGCCCACAGGAGCGTCACCCTGGACGCCCGTGTGTCCCCCCCGGCACGTTTCCCCTCTGACATCGTTTGCTGGCTGAACAGCGCGGTGTGTTTCTGCATGCGACGGACAGCAGTGTGGCCTGTGCAGCCGACATCCGTGTGATGGCACAGCGGCAGCTTGGGTCTCCCCGCGGGTGCAGGGTCCCTAGGCTTTGGGCCGTCCTCCACTGCTTTCCCAGGCCACAGGCAGGGAGCTGGGCGGGAAGTGAGGCAGCCAGGACTCGAACCGGCAGTCCGACAGAGTCTGCCCACTTCCCAAGCCGGGGTGCCGCACCGCCAGCTTTCTGGGGTACACCTGTACCCCAGCTTTCTGACCAGACCTACTGTGCTATGCTTAGGGGACACAAACGTTCTGGATGCCACATCCCAGTGCCTGGCAGGGTGTGCCCTGTGCCCACAGCGATGCCGGAAGTACCTCCCGGGGGGGAGGGTCAGAGCCCTCTCTGTGACGTGACAAAGGGTCTCCCTGCAGCCCACCTGCTGCTGGGCAGCTCGGGGAGGCGCTCCCACAGCCACAAAGAGGGGCACACACCAAGGCAGCCTTGGGGCCCCTGCGAGGGGACCCGAGCCATCCTGGGGAGCCACAGCCCCACGGCCCGGGAAGATGCTGACCTTCACGGCCCCGGGCAGGCCGGGCTGGCCGCCGTGGCCGAGCCGCACAGGCCGTATTCCTGCCTGAAGAAGCTGTCTTCAAGCCTCAGCGGCCTGGTGCTGGTGCGTGTTAATACCTTCCGCATCCCCCACCCCCACCCAGGACAGAAATCAGCTCATCCATGCTGTGCCTCCCGGGAAATGCGCAATGTAGGGCAGAGTGGGGAGCCAGGGCGCGATGGGAGCTGTGAGACGCAGCGTGGTGGGGAGGGGGAGGCCGTGGGAGGGAGGGGGAGGCCGTGGGAGGGAGGGGGAGGCCGTGGTAGGGAGAGGGGAGGCCGTGGTAGGGAGGGGGAGGCCGTGGTAGGGAGGGGGGAGGCCGTGGGAGGGAGGCCGTGGTAAGGAGGCCATGGTAGGGAGGCGGGGAGGCCGTGGTAGGGAGAGGGGAGGCCGTGGTAAGGAGGCCGTGGTGGGGGAGGGGGAGGCCGTGGTAGGGAGAGGGGAGGCCGTGGTAGGGAGGCCGTGGCAGGGAGGGGGGAGGGGCAGCTTGAAACTGAGCTGACCCAGGATCTCAGATGGCCAAGTTGGTCTTGAAGTCAAATCTTGGAGGAAATCGAGCTAAGTAGGGGAAGTGTCTCTTTTAGATTTTTAAAAAATTTTTCCCCCTGTTAAACGTTCCTGGAAGTGGGTACCCTGAAATTCTTGCTTTCCTTGTCTGGAAGTTCCAAGAAAGCCACCAACCTGGGGAGCAGACGCAATCTCACCCAGACCTCCTCTGTCCTGGGGGGCCAGGACCTTTCCTCTCACACAGAGGGGCCTTCCACCTGCTGGCTGCAAAAGCCGGGCACTCCATCACCCAGGTCTCCCACGCGGGTGCAGGGTCCCCAGGCTGTGGGCCATCCTCCACTGCTTTCCCAGGCCACAGGCAGGGAGCTGGATGGGAAGTGGGGCTGCCGGGACTCGAACCTACCTGTATGGGATCCCAGTGCACGCAAGGAGAGGATTTTAGCCACTGGGCCATTGCCATGGAACCTCATCTGTGTCCTTTTCAAATAACAAAAGCATGAATTGCAAGGGTTCCCTCTCGTCAGCCCGTTACCACGGCAACCTCTGAGCTGGGTCACCTCCAGCCAGGGCTGCCCTCCTCGTCCCCTCCTGTCCCCTCCTGTCCCCTCCTGTCCCCTCCGCCTCCCTCTTCCCGGCGTGTCCTGCTGACCTCCCACCTCCCCTTGTCACAGGTGTCGGGCATCTTCCTCCTCGGCCTGGGCATCCACAGCCAGCACAGCGAGGCCACCCTGACCCGGGTCCTCGGGCTGGCCTCGGCCCACCTGCGACACGTCGGCCACCTGTGCCTGCTGCTGGGCAGCACCGTGGCCCTGCTCAGCGTGGCCAGCTGCCACGGGGCCGCCAAGGACAGCAGGGGCACTCTCTTACTTGTGAGCTGGATCTGCACCCACAACCCTCGGCTCCTCCACCATGTCCCATCTCACAGAAATCCTTCCCCACTCGGGCCCTGGTGGGTCTGGCTGGCAGCAGGGAGCAAACTGCCTTTTGCTTTTTAATTGAAAAAATGTGTATATATATATTTAGAGGCCGAAGGACAGAGCGAGGCAGAGCGAAAGATCTTCCATCTGCTGGTTCATTCCCCAAGTGGCCGCAACGGCTGGGACTGGGGCCAGACCCAAGCCAGGAGCCAGAACCCCCACATGGGGCCTCCCACGCTGATGCAGGGGCCCAAGGCACTGGCTCACCCCTCCGCTGTGTCCCTAGGCACATGAGCAGGGAGCTGGATGGGAAGTGGGGCACCAGGACTCGAACCGGCGTCCACATGGGTGCTGTGTCACAGGCCGAGGCTCAGCCTGCCGCGTCACAGCACTGCGCCTGCACGCCCACCACCCCCCTTGTCCTAAGGACCTCATTCCTTGATTACGGACGCGATCCTGGGCCTGCAATGTCCACGTTCACGCCCACCGCACACGGACAGCACTGCACCGTGGCTGAGGCGCAGGACGCCTTGTCCCTGCCTCAGGCCGCCATGTCACCAGGCCCTAGGAAGGCCAGGCTTGGCGGGGTCGGTGCCCGGCCTGGACTCCGGCCCCCTGCTGCCCTCCGGTGGCCGCGAGGGGAACAGCGGCCAAGTGGCACAGGCTCCTGGAGTGGGAAGCTGAAGAAAAGAAATGTATTTGAGGGCCTGGCACAATAGCCTAGCTGCTAGAGTCCTCGCCTCGCACACACCAGAATCCCATAGTGGCGCCGGTTCTAATTCCGGCTGCCCCACTTCCCACCCAGCTCCCTGCCTGTGGCCTGGGAAAGCAGTGGAGGACGGCCCACAGCCTGGGGACCCTGCACCCGCGTGGGAGACCTGGAAGAGGCTCCTGGCTCCTGGCTTCAGATTGCTGCGGCCACTTGGGGAATGAATCAGTGGATGGAAGATCTTCCTCTCTGTTTCTCCTCCTCTCCGTATGTCTGACTTTCCGATAAAAATAAGTAAAGCTTTTTAAAAAAAATTTAAATGTATTTGAAAGACAGAGAGAGCTCTCCTACCTGCTGCTTCAATGCCTGCATCTGCGAGGGCTGGGCCAGGAGCCAGGCGCTCCATCCGCTCTCCATGTGCACAGCGGGCGCCCAGGTGCTGCAGCCGACACCACCAGGTGTGTGCACCTGCTGGGAACAGGAGCCAGGACTCAGACGCTCAGGCACGACCGTGGCCAGACCCCCAGCCCCGCCCCAGCACGGCCTGAGAGCTGAGACACGCGGTGGGGCTGTGGGGAGGCAGGGCAGCCCCTTGCCCCGGAGCCACGGCCTCTGCCCACACCTGCCTGCCCGTGTTTTCCAGGGCTTTCTGTCCATGGCCATTGTCATCGTCATGGAGGTCACAGCCGCCGCCGTGGTCCTGTCCCTCTTGCCCGTGGTGAGTCAGGCGCGTGTGTCTCACTCACCAAAAGAGAGACAGGCACCCTCCCCCAACCCTGCCAAGCAGGCACCCGCTCCTGCAGACTGCTGGAAAGACCCCAGGGTCCCTGGGACCAGCCATGGCTCCGGGATGGCACCCAAAGCTGGCAGCCTCTGCTGTGCCCTGCGTGGGGGTGGGCAGGGAGCCGCCAGGAAGTGTCTTCCCTGGTGTGCAAAGAGGGAGACGGGCCGCAAAGGCGGGCCATGACTGATTGTATCTGAAGATCGGTTTATTTACCTGAACCGCAGTCAGAGAGGAAGATCTTCCATCGGATGGTTCACTCCCCAGGTGGCCGAAACTGCCAGAGCTGAGCCGATCCACAGCCAGGAGCCAGGAGCCTCCTCCGGGTCTCCCACGCGGGTGCAGGGTTCCCAGGCTGTGGGCCGTCCTCACTGCTTTCCCAGGCCGCAGGCAGGGAGCTGGATGGGAAGTGGGGCAGCCAGGACTCAGAGCCATGCCCCGTGTGATGCCAGCACCACAGCTGGTGGCTTAACCTGGTCAAGGTCAAGCGCATGTGGGAATGTGTGCATGAAAGAGAAGAGAGCTTTGGCCGGTGCGGTAGCCTAGCAGTTTAAGTTCTCGCCTTGCATGTGCTGGGATCTCATAGGGGTGCAGGTTCGTGTCCCCGCTGCTCCAATTCCCACCCAGCTCCCTGCCTGTGGCCTGGGAAAGCAGTGGAGGACGGCCCACAGCCTGGGGACCCTGCACCCGCGTGGGAAACCCCGGAGAGGCTCCTGGCTCCTGGCTGTGGATCGGCTCAGCTCTGGCCGTTGCGGGCACTTGGGGAGTGAACCAGTGGATAGAAGATCTTCCTCTGTGTCTTTCCTCCTCTCTGTATATCTGACTTTCCAATAAAAGTAAATAAGCCTTTAAAGAAAAAGAGAGATGACAGATTCATCGTGGACGAGGTGTGGCTTGCAGAGGCAATGCTGTGAACCAAAGCTCAGGCAAGTGGCAGAGTGGACAAGCGGCCCCGGGCACCTGCAGAGGGCGCCAGGCAAGCAGGGGGTGGGCGCATCTCTGCCCAAGAAAGTGACCCTCTGAAAGGTGACCTCCAGGGCCGCTGGGCAAAGTCCTTGCTGGGCACACACCTGCTCAAAACCTGCAGCAAAGCTACTGCAGGCAATGGGGCAAGGGACTCGGGTCCCCCTCTCCCATTGCTTGGGGGTCCCCCAGGAGAGCCAGGATGAGGAGGCAGGGGGAACAAAGACTCAGGGGTTGGATCCGTGCGCAGACAAGGAGCCAGGGTCTGGGGGCTCAGGGTGGGACCCCCAGGGATGCCCGGAGCAGAACAGCTGGGTCAGATGAGCAGGAAAACGATGCCAGCGTACAGCGTGGTGACACACATTCGGCGTCTGCTTGGGGCACAGGAGACAGGTGCAAGGGGGGCACGCACCACCTCCCCCCTCCAGCTTTGGCCAATGGGACGCCCAGAGCATGGGGGCGGGGAGCAGGGAAGCGCTCACCTCCCTGGGCTGGGAGAGATTTGGGGGGACACCCTTTGTCGCACAACAGCGAGCGAATGATGTCTGACGGACAGAGGGGGCGTTGGTGGAAGGATGGTGTCACTCCTTCAGTTAGCCAGGGGCATCGTGGGGCACGGGGTGACGCCAGAGGGCAGCTTGCCAGCTGGCCCACACGCTTATGGACCGCCAACATCCCTGCTGGGAGCCCCAGACAGTACCTCCCGTACGGGTGTTAGTCACGGCTCCACGTCGGGTCCCACTTTCAGTCTCACTGCTGGTCTCCCACGTCAGGTTAGCGACTTGACCTTGGAGCACACCGTGGTGACCCTGAAGAAGAATTACCGAGGCTACAATGAGCCGGACGACTACTCCTCGGAGTGGAACCTGGTGATGGAGAAGGTGGGGCCCCTGGGCAGTTCGGGGACAGGAAGGCGGGGAGCCCAGCTGTGGACGTGTGATCATCGGAGGGCCCTGGTTCAGGACGCGCACCCCTGGGACTCAGCAACGGGCCGAGGACGTAGGTCCCTGCCATTACGTGGGAGACCCGGATGGAGGTCAGGGACCAGCGTGGTCTCTCGCATTGTTGAACTGGTGAGAAACACCGACACAGGGCCAGCACATGGGTCGGTGCATTAAGCACCCTTCTGCAGCGCCGGCACCCCGTGTGGGCGCTGGTTCAATCCCAGCTGCACCTCTTCTGGCCCAGCTCCCTGCTAGTGTCTGAGAAAGCAGTGGAGGACGACCCAAGTGCTTGGGACCCCCTGCACCCACACGGGAGACCCGGATGAAGCCGCTGGCTTCTGCCTGGTTGGGGCCGAGGTAGTCACTGAGGGTGTGAAGTTGCACATGGGATATCCGAGTCTCTCTGTAACATCGTCTTTAATTGATTTAGTTGATTTATTTTCATTGGAAAGGCAGATTCAGAGAGAGAAACAGAGACAGAGAGGAAGATCTCCCACCTTCTGGTTCACTCCCCAAGTGGCCACAGTGTGCAGAGCTGAGCTGATCTGAAGCCAGGAGCCAGGAGCCTCCTCCAGGTCTCCCACGGGGGTGCAGGGTCCCCAGGCTGTGGGCCGTCCTCCACTGCTTTCCCAGGCCACAGGCAGGGAGCTGGGTGGAAGTGGGGCAGCGGGGACTGAACTGTGGCACTGTGACGTGGGATGTGGGGGTCCCTAGCAGCTTCCCCTAGTCTGGTCCCGGGCAGAGGGGCTGAGTGCGCAGGCGGGGTCTGCTCACGCATGGCGTCTCCCAGCTCCAGTGCTGCGGGGTGAATAACCACACCGACTTCGTGGGCTCCGCCTTTGAGACAAGCACCGGCCACAGTTACCCCAGGGGCTGCTGCCGGTCCATGGGCACCGCAGCCTGCGACGGGCACGACGCGTCCTCGGCCGTCATCCACCAACGGGTACTTGGGGTGTGCCCGGGACCTCCCCTCTGCCTGCGCCCCCAGGAGAGCAGCACGGACTCCCGCAGGACAGAGAGTGTTAGCTCAGGGCAACCACACAGCGGGCAGGGAAGGCTTTCTCTGGCCCCATTACACAGATGCCAAAACTGAGTCTCGTGCAAGGGAAATGACCCGGTCAGCATGACACAGCTCCGGCACAAATCCCCTCCCCCGAGACTGGGGACCACGGACTCGTGCTGCAGCGTGCACAGCCCAGGGGCCTGTGGCACACGTAGGTCAACCACCATGTGACGCCAGCACTGCCACAGGGGCACAGAGCTGGCCGGGAAGTGGAGCAGCCGGGACTTGAACCCACGCCCATACGGGATGCTGGCCTTGCAGGCGGTGGCTTAAGGCACTGTGTGGCCAAATTGATGCATACATATGCATATATTTAAAAATTACCTACGTGCAAAAGGCCGTGTGGCTTCAGCTTCCAGAGCCCGCCAGCAGGTCTGCTCTGCTCCCCAGCCCCGCCAAATCTGTCTTCCTCATCTCTGAGCTTTTGCCTCCCGCTCTCTAAAATGGGGTAACACCCCCAAGAGGGCCATAGGGAAGCGTGACTGAGGGAATGCATGCCAAGGTGTCACATGCCTGCGGGTCCTTCCTATGTAAAGAGCACTCAGCAATAACTAAGATGCAGGGTGCTGGCAAGGCGTACAGCCATCGCCACACGCATCCCATAGATGCCTGGTGTCTTTGGGAGAATCTGGGGGGCAGAGCCCATTGGGCTCATTTATAGAAGGAGAATGTGGAGGTACAGTTGGGTTCCTTGAAAGCCACACGGCCATGATGATCACACGGGGTGGGGGTGGTCTGGCCTCAGTGGGCTGTCTGTGGGGGTACGAGATGGGGTCAGCAGTGATGCTGGGATAGAGCCGGGGGAAGGCCAGGCCCTCGTGGCTGCTGTGTCCCCTCTTGGAATCCGGGAGAAAGCCGGGTGGCCTGCCTGGTGGAGGCAGTCGTAAGTCCCACACCGACTGGCTGTTTCTCGCTGCTCTCCTCAGGGCTGCTTCTCCAAGCTCTTGGAAATAACCAAGAGGCAGAGCTCCGTGCTGTCCGGGGGTTCGCTGGGGGCGGCCGTGATGCAGGTAAGATCTGGCCCCTGCGTTAAAGCACCTACTGTGTGCCGTAGCCGGTCTGGCTGAGCAGACCCATCCCGGAGCTGGCATTCAAGGTGGGGTTGGGGAGGAAACAGGCTGATGTGGGAGGGAGGAAGCACGGAGGGCTTCCTGAGGGAGGAGGCGCGGGGCGGGAAAGCCGTGTGAGGTGATGTGGGGAGCAGGTGGTGCAAAGGCTGCGAGACGCACGTCGGGTCTCTGCTCGGCCCGCAGGGCACCACGGGCAGCACCAGCTCTCTCCACCTGGGCGGCAGCTGGGGTCCTGCGGCTCCACTCGCCAAGCCTGAGAAAAGTAGCTAAAGACAGCTCAAGTGCTCTGGGTCCCCGCACCCGTGCGGGAGGCCCGGAAGCTCCTGGCTCCTGGCTTCAGACCAGCCCAGCTCGGCCCGGGCTGGTGCAGCCACTTGGGAGCAGAGCCGCCTGGAAAACCCCAGCACTGCCGCGTGCTGGGAGACCTCTGCCCGTTTGATGCCACCCGGGGCTGCCCAGCGCTGGTGCCACCGTGTCTCCTCTCGTTGCAGCTGCCGGGCACTCTGGCCGCCTTGCTGCTGTTCATGAAGCTCGGCTGAGCCCAGCCCTGGAGGGGACGGCGCGGGGCCGCCCACCGCTGCTGCGCCTTTGGTCTCTCTCAGAATTCCTCTGTGGCACTCACTCCGTTTGGAAGGGAGTTGGAGAATTTAAAAAAAAAAATAGTCAGCCCCTGTCCCTTTGGCCTCCTCTGCCCTTGGTTTTATTCTGGATATCTGATTATGATTTTAGCTTGAAATAGACAAAGGGATGGTATGACAGCAAAACTCACTAATCTTCCGCCTCCAAGCACTGGCATCTGCTAGAGGTGAGGGTTCGACTCCCGGCTGCCCCACTTCCCACCCAGCTCCCTGCTTGTGGCCTGGGAAAGCAGTGGAGGACGGCCCACAGCCTGGGGACCCTGCACCCGCGTGGGAGACCCGGGAGAGGCTCCTGGCTCCTGGCTGTGGATCGGCTCAGCTCCAGCCATGGCAGCCACGTGGGGAGTGAACCAGCAGATGGAGGATTGTTCTCGGTAACTGCCTTTCCAATAAATACATCTTGAAGAAAAGCAAGTGAGACCAGCCTTCGCTGCTTGGCTGGAACGTAACCTGCTTCGAGCCCCCCTCCCTCTGCCCAGGTCCTCTCTCCTCTAGCCTGCCGTGGCCTGGCCTTCTCCAACGTCCTAAGGGCTGGCACCAGGCACGTGGGCTCAGCTCGCCCTGCCCGGCCTGCCCTGGCCCACCTACCTCCCACTTCGGCACCAGAGGTGACTGAATTCCTGGGCACTCAGCTCCCTGCTGGCGGCTGGTGGTCACAGCACCTGCTCCTCCTCTTCCTCCCTGCACTTCCTGCCCATCTCGGGCACCTGGGGCTGTTGCCAAGGTAACCCGAGCCTGGGCGCTGTGGGCTGGGCGTGGCTATCGCTGCAGGGGCATTCTCCCCTGGTCACAGCTGCGTGAGCCCGGGGCATCAACGCAGAAGGAGCGCAAGCTGCGTCCGTCTGCGTCAGCATTGTTGCCGCCTAGCTCCCTGCAGGGCACTGGGGACGGGCACCGTGGCACAAGCGGCCGCCCTTCGCCTTCCGCGGGCTCCACCACCATCACTCCAGCAGGCCTTGACAGCATGGTGAGAGGGCATCTGGGCTGGGTGCATCCGTACGGGCACCGCCTCAGCTCTGGCCGTTGCGCTCACTTGGGGAGTGAATCAGCAGACAGAAGATCTTCCTCTCTGTCTCTCCCCCTCTCCGTATATCTGAGTTTCCAATGCAAACAATTGTTATTCATTGTTTTAATGATTTCAACAGCCAGGGCTGGACCAGGCTGAGGTCAGTAACTCCAGAACTCCATCCGGGTCACACACCTTGGGGTCAGGGACCCACGGTCCTTGAGCTGTCACCTGCCATCTCCCAGGGTGTGCCCGAGCAGGGAGCCAGAATCGGCAGCACAATCAGAAGTCCTGAACCCAGGGCCTCTGAGTCGCTTTGCCAACTGCCTGCCATGGTCTCTCGGGCACCCAGTCCCCTAGCCCGAGGCCACACGGGTGACCCCAGTCCCAGGCCGTCTCATTAGCATTCACAACACTTCTCTCTTTCTAAGGGTTTTCCAAGCTGCTCGCCAGGAAGCACCGGAAAACCAGAGACCAAATATTTACTTTCTGTCACACAGCAGTTCGCAGCAGAGCTGGGTGTGGCCTGCAGCCCAACAGAAGGAATTGCCAAGGTTCCCCAGCAGGGAGGGGCGGGGCAGGCCAGCTCACCGTGTGGCAGAGGGGGTGCTGCAGGTTAAGCTGCGGCTTGGGGGCGCTACGTCCCCGGGAGGGGGCCGGGCTGGATTCTCCACGGCAGACCCAGCTCTCTGCACATGCGCACTCTGAGGAAGCAGGTGTCAGACTCAGGCTCCTGCCGTGTCACAGGGGACGGGGCGGGAGGAGACCCAGACGGGGCTTCGGGCACCAGCCTGGCCCAGCCCCGGCTGCTGAGGAGTTAATCAGGGATCCTGGTGTATGCAAGGTGGGGACTTTAGCCACTAGGCTACCATGCCGGGCCCTAGAGAGACAGAGATCTTCCTGCTAGAAACACTGAACGCTCCACAGAACTTTCTAGATCCAATGCCATGGCCACAGGCTGTCTCTAGAGTGAAGGCTCCATTGCTCCCCCAGCCGCCCTCTCTTGGCCACTGGCAGGACGTCACCCCCAAAGGCTTTTCCTGGAAGCCCCATTTCACTAATGGAAAGCAAGAACAAATGCATTTGAATGCAGTAGCTTTAATTTACTCTCCCCGCCGCACCCCTGCAATGGCAAGTGCCTTGTCTTCAGAAACGGACTCCAGGGCAGAGGGACCGCGGCAGGGGCAGCAGTGGGCGGCCAGGAGCGCCCGGTGGTGCTGTGTCCCAGACAAGTGCCAACCCCGAGCCAGACGGACTCGTCGCTCCGACACGCAGGGTGAGACGGGCAAGCACAGCCTCAGATACCAACAACAAACACAGAAGCCCCGACGCCGTCCCACCTGGCAGCATCCACAAACCCGCCCCTCACCCAGCAACTGCCTGCAGCAACGGGAGGGAGCCGGCCCCGCCGTGGTCCGCACCGGGGGCCCGCACGCCGTCTGCCCCTACCCAGGGAGGCAGCTTTTGCCCCAGCCTTTGCTTTGATTTCTCTCTGGAACTCCCTCCCCTGCTGCCGGGACCCAGCAGGACCTGGGTCTGGGTTCTGTAAGGACCAGTCAGGTATTAAACCCTCCACCCACCGCCATGACCTTAACAACTTGCCTTACTTGCAAACAAGAATACATTGTCTACATTGCCTGGAGAGGAACCCCAGGGGCTCTCGACGGCAACTTTGTTGAAAAATCCTTGCCCAACAACTCATTCCGGTGAAGCCCAAGGCAGAGCCGACAGGCGCAGCAGCCGGACCTCAGCTCACTGCAACCTCAGGGCCACAGAATTAATCCACAACCGCCCGGCCCCTTCGCAATGAGGAAGTCACTGGACGACACTCTAGTCTAAGGCAGGCTGTCAAACCAGCCCTTGCTCGGCGTGTTCCAAAATGTTCCCTCCAGGGTCCGCGGGTCATCTCATTTGTGGGGATACAGACACTGCAATGTTTGCATCTGGCACCTGTCAGCAGGGCTCCCTAGAAACACACCTGAACCTGAGCCTGACCTTCCCGCGCCCAGAGGCCCCCAGGTGCCCCCCAGGTTCCCCCAGGTGCGGGCTGGCACGCAGGCAGGCCGGCAGGTGGGGGTCGGGTGGATGGAACCCCGCGTGGCTTCAGCCTTAGCCCCATCCCCCAGCGAGGCATAGAGCCACGTCAGGTTACACAACCCCGCCTCCTTGTCTCCCAAGCACGTGTTGCAAGGAACTCCTCCATCCACAGCAGCAGAGAAAGCTGGCAGCAGAGAGTGCGGGCACTCAGGGAGCTTGCTTAACACTGTTCTAGCCGGATGTCAGGTTTGGTAAGATCTTGCCTCAACCCCATCCCCCACGGGCCTGGACATGAAGGGGCAGCGCAGCCTCCTGGCCACTCCGAGGTCAGCCCTTGGCCTGACGACTCCCCAGGCATGCGGACAGCAGGGGCCAGGCAGCTGTCAGCCTGATAGGGCCACGAGGTTCTAGAATTCAGCTCAGGATGGGCGACGCACTGGGTAAGCCAGCAAGTGGTTGTCGGGTCCTCTGGATTCGGGGCAAGCTTGGAAGGCACTTACGGGGGGAGGCCGGGGATCCTGAAGGCAGAGTCGGGGGGAGGGCGGGAAGCTTTCCACCAAAGCAAACAGTGAACCAATACTGATTTCCCAAACGGGCAGGCTGCAGGCCGACAGGGCAGGGGGGCAGCCATCAGGACCAACGTCTGCTTTCTGTCCTGGACCCTTGGGGTCTGAGAGGTGGATGGGAGCTGGACGTGGGGGAGACCTGAGATGCCGCAGCAACCACCCCCCTTTGCAGCACTGACCCGGATGACCTACACACTGCACGATGCCACACCTGGTCTGCCAGTTGCTAAGTGTCAGTCAGTGCCCAGGACGGAGGGCACCGGGAGGCTGGTTGTCATACAAGCAAAGTCTCCTCTGGTGGGCCACTCCAGGAGACCAGCCTGGGCCTGCAAAAGCCACAAGCCCCAGACTGCGCATGTCCCCACGATCCCAGGCTGCGAGGTGGGGCCCCCGGCCCACCCCTCTGCTCCCCAACAAGGGACTGCAACCCTGCACCACGGTGTCCCTGAGGAGACACAGCACGGAGAGCAGTGGACAGGGAGGGGACGGGGTGCACCCTGACTTCAGAGACAGCCCCTGTGGCTCACACCCACTCACAGCCCCCATGAAGGCTAGAGAGGACCCAGCAGGCGCGGGGGCGTGGGGAGGCAGGGACTGACCAAGTCTAGCAGCCGCAGCTGCTGGGCTGCGGGGGCGGCGCGTCCCCCGGGGCGGGGCCCTTCCCGTTGCTGCCCGGGCTGGAGCTGGGCTCCAGGGACTCGGTCATCTTCTCACAGATGACGTCCACCAGGCGCTCGAAGACCTGCTTCACGTTGATGTTCTCCTTGGCGCTGGCCTCGAAAAACTCGAACCCTGGTGGGGATGGGTGGGGAGAGAAAGGCTGTGAAGGCAGCCCTTCACACACACACACACACACACGCACACGCACACGCACACACACACGCACGCACACACACCCCCACACACACCAAGGAGCGGGCCGGGGTAGGGAAGGGGCAGGGCCGCTCTGTGACCCCAGGCATGGCTGCTAAGCCCCGTCCCGTCCCATTCTGCCCTGTTGAGTGCCATGAGAGCTAGGCTCAGTAGCTTCACCTGTGCCGTGGGCAGGAGGGAGGCGCTGCCTGTGGACAGACAGGAGCTGCACAAGCCCTGTTCTAGGGGCCCTAAGACAGTCTGTCTGGAGCCCGGCGCCGTGGCCTAACGGAGCAAGTCCTTGTCTTGCACGCACTGGGATCCCACACAGGCGCCAGTTCTAATCCTGACTGCCCCACTTCCCACCCAGCTCCCTGCCTGTGGCCTGGGAAAGCAGTGGAGGACGGCCCACAGCCTGGGGACCCTGCACCCGCGTGGGAGACCCAGAAGGGGCTCCTGACTCCTGGCTTCAGATCAGCTCAGCTCTGCCCATTGTGGTCACTTGGGGAGTGAACCAGGAATTGGATGATCTTCCTCTCTTTCTTTCTGTAAATCTTTCGAATAAAAATACATAAATTTTTAAAACATACATTAAGATTGATCTATTTATTGCAAGACACTGAAAGAGACAGGAAGGTCTTCCATTTGCTAGTTCGTTCCCGAAAACGGCCGCAGCGGCCAGGGCTGGACCAGGCCCGCTCAGGCACCGGGGCACTCCATCCGGGTCTCCCGTGCAGGCGGCCATGATCCACGGAAACAGGTGCTTGAGACAGGCACAGGTTTGAATCCCAGACGCGCTGCTTCTAACTGTTCCTCCTCATGCCTGCCCTTGGGAGCCAGCCGCGGACGGCCGAGTGCTGCCCCCGGTGCGGGAGACCCCGACAGAGCACCCGGCTCAGCCTGCCCAGTACCCCGAGCCGGGGGGCACTCTGCGGGTGAACCAGGCCACGGGAGAGTTCTCCGTGACATGAAATGGATTCAAATGGATGAAACGGATTAAAAATCAAAAGCGAAACGGGAGGATCTCACACACCCAGTGACTGGTCTAAATCCCAGGCCGGGGCAGCAGGTTGCGTTTTTGGGGTGAATTACCCGACGGAAGCAGACACAGGGCACCCCCCCATGCACATGCTTCCCTGGACAGAGCCCAGAGCCGGGGGGGACTGTGGGGGCACTTGGGGCCTGAACGGGGGGCAGTGGGCAGGTCGGTTCGTTCTGGAAGGCCCAGGGTCCCGTGGCCCAGGCAGGCACTGACCGAGGTCGTCGGCGAGCCTCCTGCCGTCCTCAGCTGCCACTACCCGCTCGTCCTCCAGGTCGCACTTGTTGCCCACCACGATGACCTGGGCATTGTCCCAGGAATAGGTCTTGATCTGTGTGGCCCTGGGGAGGGGTGGGGCCGTGAGCCAGGGCAGAGGGCAGGGGTCAGGGGTCAGGGGCCAGGGGTCAGCAAGCACGTACCAGTCTTGCACGGCGGCAAAGGACTCTTGGTTGGCAATATCATACATGAGCAGGAAGCCCATGGCCCCGCGGTAGTAGGCCGTGGTGATGGTACGGTAACGCTCCTGGCCCGCCGTGTCCTGCAAAAGGGAGGGGTCAGAGGGCGCAGGTGGTCCCGGCCCGTCTGACGTGGGCTTCCCCCGTGCTCCCGGCCCGTCTGACGGGTGAGGCCCCCGTGCTCCCGGCCCATCTGACGGGTGAGGCCCCCGTGGTCCCGGCCCGTCTGACGGGTGAGGCCCCCGTGCTCCCGGCCCATCTGACGGGTGAGGCCCACGTGGTCCCGGCCCGTCTGACGTGGGCTTCCCCGTGCTCCCAGCCCATCTGACGGGTGAGGCCCAAGTGGTCCTGGCCCGTCTGACGGGGAAGCATGGATTCAGCCCTAAGCAGCTCTGTCTAGAGGAAAGCCCCACGACTCTGATCTTGAATGGTTCCAGTGTCAGCAGTAACGGGCCTCTCCGAGATTTGTCTCCGCCAACCATCTTCAGCACCACAGACAGCAGCCACCTGCGTCTGGGGGTGCCTTCCCAGAAAGACGGGGGACGGGAGGAACCCTGGTCAGCAGACCTCCCAGCGTGCAGAGAGGACCCCCAGAGCTGGAGTCGGGTCCCAGCTCCGCTTGTAACTCCAGCTCCCTGCTACGCACACCCCGGGCGCACCCCCAATGGCTCAAGGCCCTGGGTTCCTGCCTCCCCAGGGGAGACCGGCAGCAGTTCCAGGTTCTCGGCTTCCACGGGGCCCAGTTACCGTGGATGTTTGGGAAAGCGATACCCCAGACAGCACCCCCCAACCCTGCACTCTCACCCCGTCAACCTCAACCCTCGCCACAGATTCACCCAGATCTGCAGTTTGATCCTCTTGTCGTTGCGGTAGATGGTCTTGACTTTGAAGTCGATGCCCACGGTGCTGACGAAGGCGGGGGTGAAGGAGTCGTCGGCGTAGCGGAACAGGAAGGACGTCTTGCCCACGCTGCTGTTGCCGATCAGCAACAACTTGAACATGTAGTCGAAGTTCTGGTCGGCCGCGTCCCGGGCGCCCGCGGAGGAGGGGCCGTCTCCAGCAGAAGCCATGCTGCCAGGAGCCCCAGGATGGCGTGCTCAGAGGTCTTCCCGAGGGAGAGGCTGCAGCCCTGAGGAGGGGAACCAAGACAACAGGCTTCAATTCCCGCCTGCCGACTCAGGCCGGGTGCAGGGCCCAGCTCTGCCACGTGCGGATGCCCTGGAAGCCGGGCACATGATGGGGGTCGGAAGCTGCTACCTGCCGGGCAGGTGGCTTGGCTGGGAGTCCAGAATGAGTTTCTTTATTCACTCAACAAACATTTGTCCGGGGGGCCAGACACTAGTCTTGGCAAGCACACAGGTGTGGGGATGAGGCAGGAAAAGCCGGTGGGGCGAGGCTGTGTTCATTCCAGGGGAAGCGGGTTCTTGTTCGTAACAATTAGGGGGTACACAGTGGGTGCTCCATAAATGCAGCTGCTGTTGGCACATTTGTAAAAGGCCCAGGGCAAGACGTCCTTCCCGCCATAAGGCCCAGAGGCCCAGCAAGGAGTTTCAGATGCAAAACCAATGGGAGGGAGAGAGGGAGGGGGCTGGTGGAGGGGGTGAAAAACCACAGTCTGGGACACCCCGATCCCCCATCCAGGCTGCTCTGCTTCCAACCCAGCTCCCTACGGATGCGCCAGAGCTGGCTGGAGAACTTGGGGACCAGTGTGGGAAGCCTGGCCTGAGTCCCCGGCTCGTGGCTTCTGACTGGCCCAGCCGCCCTGGGGAGAGTGAAGTGACGGATGGGAAAAAAAAAAATCCCTCTGGATTTATTGGAAAGGCAGATGTACAGAAGCAGAGAGGGAAAAAACAATGCATGCCCAGGCCAAGGGCGTGCGACGGGCCCCCACGTGTCTCCTCCTCAGGTGCCCACTGTGGCTGAGGACTTTGCCCCCAGGAGAGCAGCTGGTGTAGGCCAGGTGCCAGCTGTCTAGAGCCCCCTCCGCCCCCAACGCGGCCTGCGTGCTGACCTTGGTACTTGTTCATCTACGGGGGTGTCTGCCCTGCCCTTCCCCTAGCCCAGCCAAGCCCCTGCCCTCACCCCTGACACTGTGCGGAAGCCCTTCCAAGCCCCCAGGTAGCCCCTGACAGGTGGGTCCCGCCACTTCCTATTTGCCAAAGAGGCTGGGCCTGCCTCAATGCAGGAGCCAAGACTGACTCAGCCCTGCCCAGCCCAAGGAGGCAGGACAGTCCTCCGGTCCAGGCAGGCATCCCAGCCACCTCTACCCACTCCACCCGCAACACCAAAACATCATGACCGCCCCGCACCGGCTCCTGGTCTCCCCACGTTCCGGGACAGACCCCACACCACCACGGCCAGCCTCCCTGACACTCCTGGGTTCCACGCAGTTCGGCTGGCCATTCAAGGACACGCCCCGCCCGTGGAGCTTTAGTTCATTTTAAACTGGGACCCAAGCGGCCCCACCCCAGGTTCCGGGAGAACGAGTTTGCAGGAGGGGCAGGCAGGAAGCCACGTAGGACCGGGCTTCCCTCCCAACCCCCATCCCCAGCTGACAGCGCTAGCCAGCTAGGGCCCACCTGTCCACAGCCCCCACCTCCTCTCCGCCAGGCCTTCCAGCCGGCCCGCAGACACCAGGCAGAACCAGGTGAGCCTGTCCCGGGTGAGCGGGAAGCAGCGGCGGGGCTTGGCTCTGGCCCTGCCCTATGCATCGCCGCGCTGCATTTAGGACCCCACCGCCATATGGTCCTGCTCTGCGAGCGCCCAGCTGGGCTCTCCGCCCGCCCGCGCCCCATTCGCGCTCCCTGCTGAGCCCAGAAGGGGTGGGGGCGAAGGCAGAGCAACCCCCACCCACCCCCGCCACCTTTGTTCCCCAGGACTCCCCACTCCCTCCTGCGTCTGCACCTGCTGGCGGTAAGCGCAAGGACCGACCAGGGCGCGCGCCCTCCGGGGTGGGGCAGGTCACCTGGGGCCTTGGGGTGCCGCCCCCACAGGGTCTTCCGGTCCCAAACGCTGCTGCAAGCCTGGGCCGTCCCTGGCCGAGACCCCGCTCCCGCCGCCGCCTCCGCAGCCGCCCGCAGCCACCCGGATCCCAGGCCCGGCTCCGCCCGGACAGGGGAGGACGGGGCGCGGCCGAGCTCGGGGCGGAGCGTTGGAGAAAAGCAAGTAGGAGGGGCGAACGGCTGCAGGAGTGTAAGGAGTGTGGGGGTACACTTGGAAAAATTTCGTGGAAAAGAAAATGGAACTAAAAGGTGAGCTGTTTGGGTGCAAAAATGGTTCAACACTGGCTCAGCGCAGCAGCCTAGTGGCTAAAGTCCTCATATTGCGTCTTGCACGCGCCAAAATCCCATAAGGGCATGGGTTCCCTATCCCAGGGTCCCAGTATGGGATCCCAGTGCATGCAATGTGAGGACTTTAGCCACTAGGCTGCCATGCTGGACTCCAGTCAGGGGTTCTAACCATCCCAAGTTTGGCTGCCCTATCCACTTAAGCAACTTCTACACCTCTCTGAGCTTGCATGGCCTTTTGGGAGCCGCACACATCCTCCGTGGGAAGCCAAGCGGACTGAGACCAAGCCTGTGGGCTAGCAAGGGCTGAGGGAGGGGAGTTCCCAGGTCAGCCACCAACCAATGTGCTTGTCTCCACGGCCACGTGGAGGTGGGCCAGGGGGGCGTGGGCTGCAGCGTCAGCATGGTGACGCAGGTACTTAAAGACATCCCCACCCAGGTTCGAGTCTCGGCTGCTCCACTTCCCATCCAGCTCCCTGCCTGTGGCCTGGGAAAGCAGTGGAGGACGGCCCACAGCCTTGGGACCCTGCACCCGCGTGGGAGACCTGGAGGAGGCTCCTGGCTTCTGGCTTTGGATCAGCTCAGCTCCGGTCGTGGCAGCCTTTTGGGGAATGAAACCAGTGGGCGGAAGATCTTTCTGCCTCTGCTTTTCTCTTTAAATCTGCCGTTCCCATAAAAATAAATCTTTAATAAAAAGGAAAAGGAGTGGGGAAACTGAGGCACTGGTGCCTCCCTCCGCCCCCTCCCCAACCCCCGGCCTCTCCCACAGGGGACGGACACAGTAGCCGTCATTTCCAACATGGCATTTATTGACACGCAGGGCTAGATGCTGCGCAGACCGAGGGCCAGCCCCACGAGGCACAGCCCGTTGCTCACGAGACAGCCCAGGTTACACAGGGACGACATTCCGTGATAGCGGAAGAAATTCTGACGCACAGCTTTGTACTTGGGGTCCTTGTCCCGCAGCTGGCGGTAGAGGTCGGGGCCCTGCAGGCTGCCCGCCACCTCCCCGCCCAGGCCACGCTCCTTCTCCACCGCATGCATGACCCGCATGGCGGCCGTGGTGCGGGGCTCCAGCCACAGCGCGTTGGTGGCAGCCAGGAACAGGCTGAGCAGCAGCAGACACAGCTAGTGGCAGGGAGGGTGGGGAAGGTTGGAGAACATGAGCTAGACCTAGGCCAGGTGGGGGTCAGGCCAGCCCCCTCATCCTCCAAGGACAGAAGACCCCAAGTTAATGGCTCCCATTGCCCCTCCCTCATTGCCCCCAAACACAGGCAGGACAGCTTTCATTGGTCTCCAGGGAGTGGAATGGGAATGGCAGGTTCTAGTTCGTTACCCATCATGCCCTGCTGTTACCCATCATGCCCTGCTGTTACCCATCATGCCCTCCTGATACCCATTGTCCCTTCCTGTTACCCATCACCCCTCCTGTTACCCATCACCCCTCCTGTTACCCATCATGCCCTGTTTTACCCATCATGCCCTGCTGTTACCCATCATGCCCTGCTGTTACCCATTGTCCCTTCCTGTTACCCATCACCCCTCCTGTTACCCATCACCCCTCCTGTTACCCAACATGCCCTGCTGTTACCCTGCTGTTACCCATCATGCCCTGTTTTACCCATCATGCCCTCCTGATACCCATTGTCCCTTCCTGTTACCCATCACCCCCTCCTGTTACCCATCATGCCCTGTTTTACCCATCATGCCCTGCTGTTACCGATCGCCCTTCTGTTACCCATCATGCCCTCCTGTTACCCATTGCCCCTTCCTGTTACCCATCACCCCCTCCTGTTACCCATCATGCCCTGTTTTACCCATCATGCCCTGCTGTTACCCATCGCCCCTTCCTGTTACCCATCACCCCCTCCTGTTACCCATTGTCCCTTCCTGTTACCCATCACCCCTCCTGTTACCCATCATGCCCTGTTGTTACCCATCACCCCTCCTGTTACCCATCATGCCCTGCTGTTACCCATCACCCCCATCCTGTTACCCATCATGCCCTGCTGTTACCCATCGCCCCTTCCTGTTACCCATTGCCCCTCCTGTTACCCATCATGCCTTCCTATCTCTGGGAGTAAATTCTTCCACACTCTGCAATCAGACCTCACCTGCCCACAACCATCACAGGGGCACACGGAGAAACCAGAGACCCAGAGTGGTCCCTCAGCTTGGGGCTAGGGAAGCAGACTGAATTTGGGGGATGGGAGGGCTGGAGGGAATGACATGCTCCCAGTTGGGCTGGTTTTGTAATACAAGCTGGGGTCAGGGCCCCGGCCTTGCTGAGTCACCACATGCTGGCTGCAGGCCCAACTGGGGGGTGGGGGGCGATGCCAAGGGGGAGTAACAGCCTGTGCCGACACTTGGGGTGATGGGCAGGGCTGTGCACAGCTCGAAGGGCCACAAGGCCCCGTTCTGACTTCACAGGGAAAGGTGGCAGCACCCCCAGCACCCCCATGCCAGGCCCCGTCTTAGGCTCTTCTTGGGAAGGTGTGAAGCAAACGCAGGTGCTTTTGGGGTGCGCCCCGCCTACCTTGCTGGTCTCCCAGAAGGTGAGCTGCTCCCAGGCTCGCAGGGGAGCAACCACGCAGAGGTTGAGGAATGCACAGCCCACGGAGATGTGAAAGTAGTAGGGGAAGAGTTTGCTCTGCACCTGGCCGAACGTGTGCCGGGGGAGGGCTCGGAAGAGCAGGAAGCCTTGGGGAGCAAGCGTGTGTGAGCGAGGGAACAGGGGTTGCCGCCTCGGGGCCCCCTCCTGCCCTCTCCGGGACAGCCCAGAAGGGTCCCTTACCCGAGGCGAAGGTGACCCACATCTGCATGCCCCAGACGCCGGACAGTGCCAGCAGGTGGATCACCTTCAGCAGGCCACCGGGGTCCCCAGCTTCCTCCATGGTTGTCGGCTAGCTCTGAGAAGGCAGCACGGGGCTGGTTCAGAACCTGACCTCGCCCTATGGCCTCTAGAACCCTGTTTCTTCAGTGCAGACTAAGGTCAAGGCCAGTCCAGCAGATCAAGCAGCGTTCAGAATTTGGGGTGAGGGGTGGGGTAAGGAGGGTAGAACAGGCCTGGGACCCCCCCACACAAGCCCCTCTCACCCCGAATTATGCTGCAAACACAACTCTAAAACTTAGACCATTCCCCCCACGTTCTGGCAGCCACCGCCCCCCACCCCGTCACCGTCCCACGAGCCTCGGGAGACCCCCAGCCCCCCAACCGCTTCTCGATCAATCCCTGACCCCACCGATGGGAAGCCGCAGCACCCGCAATCCGAAACCTCAGAGCGGCCCGACCGGCCCAGTCCGGGACCCGACTCCTGCGCACCCCGAACCTTCTCCGTGCCCTCCCCTCCCGGGCGTCACCGCCCCCAAACCCAGAGCTGCTCCCGCCTCCCGGCTGAGCCCCTCCACCAATCGAATCGTGGATCTGCCGCTGCCAGTCCCGCCCTCCGAGCTGTGGACTAATAGACTTGCAGAACCCGGGCCCGGAGTCCCGCCCCCCAGGGGGGTTTCATCCAATTGCACTGCGGCGGCTTCAGAGCGGGCGGAAGCGGGAAGCGCCGAGGAGGTTGGGCGACGCGCGGCGAGGGGGCGGGGCTCAGCGGCCACGCCCCTCTCTGTGACTCCGCCTCCCCGTCCGCGCGCCCTGCAGGACGGTGGCTCCCCGGGATCAAACCGGAGCGTCACAGCCGCGGACTGGCTTCGCGGTCCCTGATGGGAGAGCATGAACAGGTGGTGGGGGGTGGGTGCAGGGGCAGGAGATCGGGAACCCGAGCGGACGGGGCGTGCAAGCACGGCCACGCCCTCGTTGCTGGAGAATTCTCCGGGAGGAAGCCGGGGCGGAGTGGGATGGGATAGGGACCAGCAGTGCACCTGCTGGAGGTGGGCGCTCCTTGGGAGCAAAGCCAGAGTTCGGGAGACAGAGAGATCTTGCATCCCGCTAGTTCACTCCCCAAGTGCCCACAGTGGCCGGAGCTGAGCTGATCCGAAGCCAGGAGCCAGGAGCCTCTTCCGGGTCTCCCAACGGGTGCAGGGTCCCAAGGCTTTGGGCCGTCCTCCACTGCTTTCCCAGGCCACAGGCAGGAAGCTGGGTGGGAAGTGGAGCTACCGGGATTAGAACCGGCGCCCCTAGGGGATGCACGCACAAGGCCGGGCCCTGAGTTTTGAAAGGGTGTGTAGGCAGATAAAAACTGAAAGAAGGACAGGAGGCAGAGGGCACCAAAAGTTCTAGGTTTGGCGCCCGTCACATGGAAGCGCATCCCAGAGGTCTTGGTGGGAGGGTGTCAGCGTGGGAGAGAGGGCTGACGGCCGTCCCCACCCGACTTCACAGCGACCCTCTTCTGGCCGGCCTACCCCTCGACCCTGACTGCCCCTTGCCCTGCTGCTTCTCATCTCCCTCGCCCTCCAACTCGTGTCTGCCTGTGAACGGAAAGTGTGACAAGCACTGGGGTTCGTGGAGGGCTGGCGCTCCACGCGGGGGCTTGGGGGAGGAGGGCGACCGGGGTCCAACAAGGCAGGCATCTCCCCCTTGCCCTGCTGCCCAGGCTCCGCCTCGGACAAGGCACTGGACTGCACCGCCCGCTGGCCCAGGACCCCAGAGCAAGAGACTGCGGCACCGCCTGCTCCCGACGACCTTGAGAAGGACCAGGGGTGGAGGCTGCCGTGGGGTCTGGGGCCTGCGCCGTTTGGGGCCGCCCCTTTTCCCTCCCAAGACTCACAGAAGGGACGCTGTCATGAACATGAACTCTTAAGGAAACAACACAACAAGGTCGCTGGCAGCGGGGAGGGGGCATGGAGTGGAGGGGCTGCAGGGAGGGGATGCAGGGACAAGGGGGAGCTGCCTGGAGCCCGCTGGTTTCAGCACCTAGAACAGCGCCCCGGCAGGTGCCATGCTTGGTGTCTGGTGTCTGTGGGTGGGTTGTGGGGCAGGTGCCATGCTTGGTGTCTGGTGAGGTGTCTGTGGGTTGTGGGGCAGGTGCCATGCTTGGTGAGTGTCTGGTGAGGTGCCTGTGGGTTGTGGGGCAGGTGCCATGCTTGGTGAGTGTCTGGTGAGGTGCCTGTGGGTTGTGGGGCAGGTGCCATGCTTGGTGAGTGTCTGGTGAGTGTCTGTGGGTTGTGGGGCAGGTGCCATGCTTGGTGAGTGTCTGGTGAGGACGTGCTTGTGGGGTTGTGCTGTGTGCATCTGTCCCCCGCCTTCCCCGGCTTGAAGGAGCAGCGCCATTATGGAGGGAGCAAGAACACGCCACGAGGACGCACCTGTCACGGGGAGGGAGAGGGTGCGTGTGACCGTGCCTACAGGAGCTTTGCCTGCACTCACGAGTTGGAACGCTCAGCGTCAGGAGGCACAGAGTGAGGGTGGACAGAGGAGGCAGCCCAACTCTCCTCTTGTGTCTCCCCCTCTCTTCCCTAGAAGGCCTTAGAGACCAGCTCTTGCAAAGTGAAAGGTGAGACTCCTTGGTCCCCAGACAAGGCCATGCGGGGACACCTGCCGTGGCCACACACACACCCCTGCCCCAGCCTGAGCCGCCCTGCCTCCTCACCCCACACACCATGACCCCGAATCGGACGCTCCCAGCCCCCACCCCCAGGCCAGCTCAGCTTTCTCCTCTTGCCACAGTCAAGTCTGCAGCTATGATCGCTGACAGTCAGAAGTTCCTGCGTTGTGAGCTGGAGTCGCTGAAAAGCCAGCTGCAGGCCCAGACCAAGGTGAACCCAGTCGCTCGCACCTTCTGGTCACAGGCCCCGCTGCCCCCTGGCTGCCCCCTGAGGTTCAGTCCCCCTGTCTCCCTGCATCCCCCCAGGCCTTTGAGTTCCTCAACCATTCAGTGACCATGTTGGAGAAAGAGAGCTGCCTACAGCAGATCAAGATTCAGCAACTGGAGGGTAAGGCCAAGGTTGACAGGCTCCAGGTTTGGGCTTGCAGATCAAGGTCAGGGCCAGGATCAGGTACGCTGGACTTGGGGTTCAAACTGGGGCATCACCTCTCTGCAGAAATGCTGAACCCCGCCTGTCGCCAGGGAGAGAAGGAGGGTCCTCAGTGGGGCGTGGAGCAGGGACGGCAGGAGTTGTACGGGGCGCTGGCGCAAGGTCTGCAGGGCCTGCAGAAGACCCTGCGAGACAACGAGGAGGTCCAGCGGGCCCGCACCACCCGCTGCCTGCAGCTCCTGGCCCAGGAGATCCGAGACAGGTGGGTGAGGGAGGGAGACCCAGGGAGGACAGGGGAGCCCCGGGGGGGGGGGAGGTCAGAGTCTGCAAGGCTTGAAGAACGGAGGCTGGAGTTTGGGGTGGCAGGGGAGGATGCTGGCTTCAGGGAGACCACACGGCTAAGAGAGGAGGCAGCTGGAAGTGGGGCGGGGAAGGAGGCCAGGGGAAAGTCGCAGCGTGGGAGGGAAGATCCCAGGAGGTAGGGAGTTGGAGGCTGAGGGTGGGGTAGGGGCCAGGAGGAGGGGACAGGACCAGGGTGGGGGCTGGCAGAGGGAAGAAAGGGCAGGTGCATGGGGGCGGGGCCAGAGTCTGGGGGAGGGGAGGGAGGGAGAGGTGGGGGAGGGGCTGGCCACCTGAGCTGGGCCGGGAAGGAGGGTCACTTTAGACCGTCCCCTCAGCAAGAAGTTCCTGTGGGAGGAGCTGGAGCTGGTGAGAGAGGAGGTGACTTTTATCTATCAGAAGCTCCGTGAGTGTGGGGCTGGGGGGAGCCTGGGGGTGGAGGGCGGGGTTCCTCCTTCACCACCACCCCGCCCCCAGGAACCCCCTCCTCCCCCACACAGAGGCCCAGGAGGACGAGATCTCCGAGAACCTGGCCAACATCCAGAAGATGCAGAAGACCCAGGTGAAATGTCGAAAGGTGAGTTTGTGGGGTGGGTGGGGTGGGGGCGTGCTGGGCCAGGCTGGGGATGGGGGTGGGGGGCGTGCTGGGCTGGGCTGGGAGGCCAGGCTGGGAGTGGGGAGTGTGGGGGCGTGCTGGGGATGGGGGGTGGGGGAGTGCTGGGCTGGGGTGGGAGGCCAGGCTGGGGATGGAGGGTATGGGGCCAGGCTGGGGATGGGCAGTGTGGGGGTGTGCTGGGCTGGGTCTCAGCTTTCCCATCTGCCTAACTGGCACACACAGGAACATGGAGGAACCCTGGTCGGGGTACCAGCTGCCCTGGGATGCTTTCATTTTGTAGGAGAGTCTCCCTCCCCCCCTCGTCACCCCAGAGTGCACGTCTGTCCCCTGCCCCCACTGCCCGTGCCCATGCCCTCCCCCTCTCCCTCAGGTCCTGACCAAGATGAAACAGCAAGGGTATGAGGCACTGGCCTGGAATGAGAGCGACGAGGCCCCGGGAGGCGGCGGCTGGAAAGATGACCTGCAGAAGGAGCTGAGCGATATATGGTGACTGACCCTGACCTTGAGAACACCCCCGCTGCCCCCCCCGCCCGGCAGGGGAGCCTCCCCCACCTCTGACTTCTCCCCGCAGGTCTGCCGTGCACGGGCTGCAGAACTCCGTGGACGGCTTCACCATGTCCACGGGGGCCCGCCCCGTGGCCTCCAGCCTCCGGGGTGAGGGGCGCGAGCTGAGCAGGCGGAGGTTGGGCAGTGGGGTGAACTGTCCCACACTGGTCAGGCAAGGTCTCAGGGTCCATGGTGGGGTGCCATTCATTGGGCCCGACTGAAGGAACTCCTGGGGGGTCGGCTTGTGATGAAGCATCAGTGCCGGTTCCAGGATGGGGGAGGACCCACAGTGGGAGATGATGTAGGGTCCGTCAGTACTGGACTCCGCACTGGGGTCCCCTCCATCCCCCTCCCCCCTCCCCCCACAGGCCACAAAGGACACAGGTGCCTGAGCCCGCAGCTACCTTCCTGGGATTCGGATTCGGATTCTGAACAACAGCCTTTCAACAACAGGCGGTCCTTCCCACCCGGTGCGGGGGTCCCCCAGCCCCCTCCCTGGGGGCAGGGGAAGAGGAAGGCCACCCCACCCCACCCCAGCTTTTAGCTTCATTTTCTGTCTCTCTCTGCAGCCTGAGCAGCTGGGACTGCTTGCCTCCTGAAGACCCCCCTCACCCCCTGCAGAGCGAGAAAAAATAAACTAGCAACTAAGGAGATCCTCCCTGACCCCCGACTCCCCCAAACTGTCCCCTGGCCTTATCCCAGCGTTGGGGACCCCAGGGGACAGCACGAAAATCAGAGGAACCGGTTGCACAGGCTCATCCACACGGCCAGCCTTGCAGCCTCCATTTTCCATTGGGTTTGCAGGCAAGCTGGTCTGCTGCACTACTGCCCGGATGGGGGGACAGTGAGGCCCAGGGTCCAGCTCAGATGTCCCGCCCCACATGCTAATAGACGCGCTGAGGCCCCGCCCCTCGCTGCCACAGAGTCTGCGCAGTGCCGCCGGGGGTCCCCCCCTCCCCAACACCTGCTCAGGCCAGCAGCATCTCCGTCGCCGGGGGACCAGGGGGACCGTCCGTCCGCCCCGCCTGTGCTGCCAGGGGAGGGGACGGGTGGTCACCGAGGGGGACGGGAAGGGGGTGTGGGGGAGGGGGGTGAACGGGCAGCGACGACCACCGCGACAGCCATCCAGACCCGGTGAGGGGAAGGGCTTGGGGGTGTGGGATGTGGGGGTGCCCCTCCTGCCCCCCCACCTCCGGATCTGTCAGTCCAGGAGCCTCTGGGTCCCTGGAGACCCAGCAGTCCTGAGGGGGAGGGGAGGGGGAGGGAGGGGGAGGGGAGGCAGCGCCCAGGGGCTGGGGGAGGGGGAGAGAGAGAGTGTGTGTGTGTGTGTGTGTGTCTCTACTCTGTAGGTGGTTGTGTAACTGCCGTGTGTCCAGAGCGGCTAGGGCTGGTATTCACTGTGTGTGTGTGTGACAGGCCGCGAGTCCCCATACACTGGCTACCGTGTGTGTGTGTGTGTGTGTGTGTGTGTGTGTGTGTGTGTGTGAGAGAGAGAGAGAGAGACAGGCCGCGGGTCCCCATACACTGGCCACCGTGTGTGTGTGTGACTGTGTGACTGTGTGTGTGAGACTGTGTGTGTGTGAGACTGTGTGACTGTGTGTGTGAGACTGTGTGACTGTGTGTGACTGTGTGTGTGTGACTGTGTGTGTGTGAGACTGTGTGTGTGACTGTGTGTGTGTGACTGTGTGTGTGACTGTGTGTGTGAGACTGTGTGACTGTGTGTGTGTGACTGTGTGTGTGACCATGTGTGTGTGACTGTGTGTGTGAAGGCACAGGCCCCCATGTGTGACTGTGTGTGTGACTGTGTGTGTGTGACTGTGTGTGTGAGGGCACAGGCCCCCATGTGTGACTGTGTGTGTGACTGTGTGTGTGTGACTGTGTGTGTGACTGTGTGTGTATGACTGTGTGTGTGTGACTGTGTGTGTATGACTGTGTGTGTGACTGTGTGTGTGTGACTGTGTGTGTGACTGTGTGTGACTGTGTGTGAGTCTCTGTGTGTGTGTGACTGTGTGTGTGTGACTGTGTGTGTATGACTGTGTGTGACTGTGTGTGTGTGTGACTGTGTGTGTGTGACTGTGTGTGTGTGCTCGTGGCTCGTGACTGTCTCCAGGTGGCCACAGGCGTGTGTGTCTCCTACTGGCCGTTGTCTGTGTGTGTGCCCTGGGTGTGCAAGCAGCAGTGCGGTTTCTCTTGTCTGCGTGTGTGTGGCTGTGTCACCCACCGCCTCCTTCTGGGGGTGTGACCCCGTGGCCTGCTCTGTGAACCCCCCTATTGTGTGTGCCAGGACCCTTCCGGGGGGCAGGAAGCCCCGACTCCCCCCAGGGTGCTGGTGGTGTGGGGTGAGGGCTTCAGTGGGGGCTCCCGGGTGGGGGTGGGGCAGCCGTGTTTGATCTGTGTGGGTGACAGGCCGCTTGCACAGCATGCCGTGTGTGTGTGTGTGTGTGTGTGTGTGTGTGTGTTGGGAGGGGGGCTAGAGGATGCTGGGGATCCCTGGTGATCAACACCCCCCCATGTGACACTGCAGAGCCAGCCTCCTGGATGGGGCCCTGGGTCCCAAGAGCCCACCCATGCCTTCCCCAGCCTCGGCTTCCACATCTGTGCAATGGGGGTGACCGTCTCCGCCCGGCTGGCCATCCGGAGGGGCTGTGAGCACCAGGGTGGCGTGGGAGTGGCCGTGGCGGTGGCAGCCTATGGGAAGCCCTAAGGGATTTTCACGGGTGAGAAGGGGCGTGACTCAGTTGGCTCCCCCGAGTCCCGCGGTCGGGGCGGGGGGGGGGGGGGGAGAACCGGAAGCCGGAACGGCTGGCAGGAGGGGGCGGAGGGGAGAGTGACAGCTGGGCAGAGGGAGGGCCTGGCCATCAGCCCACCACCAGCACCGCGCAGACCTTGGGGACAGAGCCACAGAGCGGGGTGGGGGACTGTGGGAGCCACGGGGAGAGGGGGCTCAGGGCAGGGGAACCGCTAAGGGAAGAAACACTCACAGAAGTCTCAGGGGGTGAGATGGGACCCCCGCCCCCCTGGAAGCTGGAGGAATCAGCCTGAGGCCTAGCTGGGAGGAGGGTATCCCTGTGGAAGGACTAGAGGCAGAGACTGTTCTAGAATCTACCCTGGGAGGGCTCTGTGCTGCCCAAGGGCAGAGTAGGGGGCCAGTGAGGCGGGGGCAGGACCTGGGTGGTGGAGGCGTGGCCAGAGCCTCCAGGGGGCGTGGCCAGAAGTGGGGGTGGGGTGCAGGGTGGGCATGGGGTGCCAGGAGCTAGGGGCTGAGTTCCCACTAAACCCGAACCGGGCTTCTCTGCAGGCCGGGCCTTCACCATGGCTGGAGGGAGACCTCTCCTGAAACGAAGCTTCTCCATCATCCCCTGCTTTGTCTTTGTGGAGGTGAGCACCCCACCCTCACCCCCACCTGCGTCCCGCTCCCTAAGCCCTTCCGGCCTCCGCGTCCTCACCCATAAAACGGACATAACCTAGAGCCCCTCTCTGCTCGCTGCCCCACGCGGGAGGCGCCGGTCCCGTGGCGGCTCAACGTATTTTTCTCTTCGTTTTATTTGCATCAAGTTTGTTGTTTATTTCATTGCCACGCAAAGCCCGGCCTGGCACAAACAGACCGCCCATCGCACTTCACGCGTGCGGCCATTCAAGAGTCTAGCCTGACGAATCCAATTTCTCGAAAATCATCTTGGATTTTCAACAGCCGCCACCAGGGGTAGTCCCTTCCCACTGCCTGCAGGTTGGCAAAAGAGCTGCAAGTACCAAGACTCCTGGACATGAACTTTTGTTTTTTGCCTGCTTAGTTCTGGCCACAATGTATTTCCCTAACAGTCCAAGCTAGCTGAACAGACAGTAGAGGCTCGTCCCCCTCCCCATCCCCTCCCCGTCTCCTCCTGTCCCCCCTTCCCGTCTCCCCCTCTGTCTCCTCCTGTCCCCCCTTCCCGTCTCCCCCTCTGTCTCCTCCTGTCTCCCCTCTGTCCCCCCTCCCCATCTCCTCGGCTGGCTGCTCTCACATCTCTCTCTCCCTCTCTCTGTCTCTCCCCGCCGCTGCCCCGGGCCAGTCAGTGCTGCTGGGTGTGGTGGTCCTGCTGGCTTACCGCCTGGAATTCACGGACACCTTCCCGGTGCACACGCAGGGCTTTTTCTGCTATGACAGCACCTACGCCAAGCCTTACCCGGGGCCCGAGGCAGCCAGCCGCGCGCCCCCAGCCCTCATCTACGCCCTCGTCACAGCTGGGCCCACCCTCACGGTCAGACATGAGGGGTGGCATGGTGGGTGGGTGGGTGTGGGGGGTAAAGGGGGCTGGCCCAGAGCTGGGCTTGAAGGCCAGGGAGACCCCACCGTGGTGTCTGCTCCCCGCCCAGATCCTGCTGGGGGAGCTGGCCCGGGCCTTCTTCCCGGCTCCCCCCTCCGCCAGCCCCATCATCGGAGAGAGCACGATTGTGTCTGCGGCCTGCTGTCGCTTCAGCCCCCCACTCCGAAGGCTGGTTCGCTTCCTGGGTGAGGCTTGGGCTCTCATGGCCCTTGGGCAGAGGCATGCTGGGGGCGGCGGGGGCACACAGCAAAGGGCCTTGGGCTCTGGGACAGAGAGAAGCGATGCCAGGCTGCTTTAAATGAGCTCAGCCATCGCGGGGTCCGTGGGTGGAGAGGACACTCGTGGTGGGGGCCTGGAGAGGGGTACCTGGCTTAGCAGCGCTCCCAAGAGCAGAGCGACGGATTGGACGCAGCTCAGGCTGCCAGGAGGTGCTGGGCAGGGTCAATCGGGGTTTTAGGGTCCTAGTCAAAGGCTGTATGCGCCGAGGAGGGTATCTGGAGGATGTTGGCCCGGGGGGATGAGTTCCAGAGGCTGTTTTAGGGTGGCGGGCAGTCACAGGTAGAAACGGGGTGAACCTCCACCAACCCCTCATTGCGGTCCCCGCCCACCCCCAGGGGTCTATTCCTTTGGCCTCTTCACCACGACCATCTTTGCCAACGCGGGCCAGGTGGTGACGGGCAACCCCACGCCGCACTTCCTGTCCGTTTGCCGCCCCAACTACACGGCCCTCGGCTGCCTGCCGCCCTCGCCAGACAAGCCCGGGCCTGACCGCTTCGTCACGGACCAGGGCGCCTGTGCTGGGAGCCCCAGCCTCGTGGCCGCCGCACGCCGCGCCTTCCCGTGCAAGGACTCCGCTCTCTGTGCCTACGCGGTCACCTACACGGCGGTGAGCTGGGGCCCCGGGGGGATGGCTGGGTGGGATGGTGGGATGGGGGATGGCTGCATGGGGTCATGGGATGGGGGATGACTGGGTGGGATGGTGGGATGGGGGATGGTGGGATGGTGGGATGGGGGATGGCTACATGGGGTCCTGGGATAGGGGACGGCTGGTTGGGGTCATGGGATGGGGGATGGCTGGGTGGGATGGTGGGATGGGGGATGGTGGGATGGGGGATGGCTGCATGGGGTCATGGGATGGGGGACAGCTGGTTGGGGTCATGGGATGGGGGATGGCTGGTTGGGATGGTGGGATGGTGGGATGGTGGATGGCTGCATGGGGTCGTGGGATGGGGGACGGCTGGTTGGGTCATGGGATGGGGGGATGGGGGATGGCTGCATGGGGTCGTGAGATGGGGGATGGGTGGTTGGGTCATGGGATGGGGGATGGCTGGGTGGGATGGTGGGATGGGGGATGGCTGCATGGGGTCGTGGGATGGGGGATGGCTGGGTGGGATGGGGGATGGCTGCTTGGGGTCGTGGGATGGGGGACGGCTGGTTGGGGTCGTGGCGTGTTGAGCCGGAGGCCACGCGTCCCCCACACCCCCAGTGATGCCTGACCTGACCGCCTCGAGGGGTTCTTGGGTCTCACCCTCCCCTTCCTCCCGGCTCCCCAGATGTACATAACTTTGGTGTTCCGCGTGAAGGGCTCCCGTCTGGTGAAGCCCTCTCTCTGCCTGGCGCTCCTTTGCCCTGCCTTCCTGGTGGGCGTGGTCCGTGTGGCCGAGTACCGCAACCACTGGTCCGACGTGCTGGCCGGCTTCCTGACCGGGGCGGCCATCGCCACCTTTCTGGTGAGTCCGTCCCCTAAGCCCCTCACATGCCCGTGTGACCCACCAGGAGCCCGGTACCGCAAAGGTCATGTCACCAAAGAACTGCGAAACCACCATCATGGTCCAAATGTCAAAACAAAGCTAGCGCAAGCCCTGCAGCCTCACTTCTTTGAAAAGTAGGGATGGCTGTAAGGACCCCCACAGGGGGCCAGCTTCGGGCTTCAGCATGGGTCCTCAATCCGCCCCCCTGCTCCCCCACCCACCTCTCTGTCCCAGGTAACATGCGTGGTGCACAACTTCCAGAACCGGCCCCCCTCAGGCCGAAGGCTCTCCCCCTGGGAAGATCTCAGCCAAGCCCCCACCATGGACAGCCCCCTCGAAAAGTTAAGTGTGGCCCAGGTAAGGGGGGCCGGGGGCTGCTCCCGGCTGGAGAGGGTGGTGGGTGGTGGAGGGGTGGCGGTCCAGGTAAGGCAAAGGGGGCCTCTCAGTGGTGGGGTTGGGGAGCTGTGCACCTGCTGAGCCCTGCCCGGGGGGGCTCTGGGTCCTGCCCGGGGGGCTGCGGGTCCTGCCCGGGGGGCTGCGGACTGCGGCCGGGGCTCTGGGATCCTCTAGCCCCGCCCTCTGCCTCTTGATCTCAGGAACCCGAGACCTGCAGACCGCATCCGACACCGGCGCGGCTCACCCCATCCAGTGAGTATGGGGGAGACTTGGAGGGTGTGGAGGGACTTCCGGTGGCGCCTCCCTGTCTCCCCAAACCAGGCTCCTGCCATGCTAAGACCTCTCCAACCCCCCACCTTTTCTTCGTTTAGAGCCGCAGAACTGCGCCCTCCGTGGCCACCTGATTCCGAGCTGCGTGTCCTCCAGGGCCCCGGCCATGTGCTCGTCGCCCCGTGTGCCCCGTCCTCGCCTGAGGTCTGAGCCGACGCCCCTGCCGCTGCCCCTGCCCCTGCCCGCGCCCACCACCCCCAGCCAGGGCCCTTCGCCTTCCTCCCCAGGTCCTGGGGGGCCGGGCGGGGGCGGGGGGCGCGGCCGGAAGCTGCTGCTCCCCACGCCCCTGCTCCGGGACCTGTACACCCTGGGCGGACTGTACCCGTCCCCTTTCCACCGGGACGACTTCAGCCCTTACCTCTTCGCCAGCCGGGACCACCTGCTGTGAAGTCTCTCAGCTCCCCCCACACCCCGCCATGCCCGCCTCTGCCCTTCCCACAAACCCCGCCACGCCATGTGTGTGCGTGAGCTGCCGTGTCCTTGGACTCCCTCCCTCCAGGCCCCGAACCAGCCAGGCCCACAGGTACAAAGATGGTGGGAAGGATGCTGGGGAGGTGAGGGGTGACTGCGCAGGGCTTCTGCCTGGCCCTGGGGCCTCCCCTGGGACCAAGCGCAAGGTAGAGCCCTCCTCCTAAGGGTTGCCCTTGGAAGGGCCAGTGCCTGAGCTGCGTGGGCGTTAGGGCAGCCCATGCAATTCTAACCAGGACTGCCCCAGCCACTGCGAGCAGACCTGCCTGAACTCCCCAGGCGAGAGAGGGCGATGGAACAGCCGGTGGGTGGGTATGAGTCCAGTCTCTGGGGAACCGCCCATGTCTACACGTGTGCCCGGGAGGCTGGGGGCCGCAGGGCTATCCTCCTTGGTCGCTGGTCCCCTTCCCCTCCCCCACAAGCAGGGTGGCCAGCTGGAGGGCGCAGCGGGGAGGGGACAGGCTCCCCACCCCTTCTGAGTCCCCCCCACACTCCCTACTTAAAGCAGGGCTTGCCCCAGTCCCAATGTTTTGGGGTTTCAGGGTGCTGTGTCTCCCAGCCTGCCCATTCCCAGGTCACCCCCACCCCAGAACCGTTCTGATACTTCACAGGGCTGTGAGAAAGTTCTTTCCCCCACTGGAGCTCACACCTCCCCCCCTCACGGCTCCCTGCCCCCTCCACCCTGTACCTCAGCCTGCTGCACAGGTGCCATCACGGTGGGCGGGGGGCAAGGTAGGACAAAGAGGTGGCCCTGCCCCTCCCCCTGCAGCCCAAGGTGGTGGGCAGCAGACACTGCCCCGCCCCCACCACTTTGCCTGCCTTCCCCCCATGTTTAATAAAGACCTGTTTGTAACACAAGCCGCCTGCACTCCCCCCGGGGGTCCTGGGTCTGGGTGGCTGGGCTGAATGAGGGCCAGCGAGGAGGCAGCGACTGTGGGCACTTCCTGGCGCTCTCTCTCTCTCTCTCTCTCTCTCTCTCTCGTATTCAGCTACGATTCAGACACCCCACCAGCACCAAGGCGCGCAGGCATGACGCACAGGACAGCGGTCATTCACTCATTCATTCCTCAAACGGGATGGCGCCTCTCTTGGGTGCCAGATCGTCTCCACGCCCACAGGCTGCTGGGGGGCACCACCACGCACTGGGTGGCAGAGAGGCCCCAGAAGGTGTGGTGTTTGGGGAGCACCCTCATCTCACACAGAAGGCAGGGTGAAGGCTCTCACTGGGGTCTCCCTTGTAAGGCCCCAGTCTCATTCGAGACGTGCTCCTCTCTCGACCCAAGGCCCCCTCAAGGATGCCACCTCCCTACACCAACACCCTGACGGGTTCAGACTGCAACTGTTGGGGCTGGCGCAGAAGGCTAACCCTCCATCCTGTGGTACCAGGACCCCATGTGGGCGTCGGTTTGTATCCCTGCAGCTCCACTTCCCACCCAGCTTCCTGCCTGTGGCCTGGGAAAGCAGCCAAGGACAGCCCAAAGCAACATGTCACAAGATCTTTCAAAGACTGAAAGATTCTGAGTTCTGAATCTCAGCCTCAAGGATTTAGGCAAAAGGGATGTCTGATAGGTTGGATATTGACAAGGATGAAAATGACGGGACAGCGGTCCAATGGGGGACCAAGGGTTTCCACCGTAAAGAAGGGAGTTGGGGAAGCAATGGGAAGGCAGAGGTGCAGATGTCCGGCTGGGGGCAGCGAGGTCCGTTACGGGTAAAGGGAACAGCAGGTGCCAAGACCCCAAGTCAAGACAGCACCTGCGTGGTCCACCGAGTGACAGCGAGTGGGAGGGGGTGGAGGACGAGCAGGGCAGGGGAGAGGCTGGGGTTGGTGGTGTGGCACACACGCCTGGCTGGAGCCCCCCAGGCCATTTGGGGTGGTCCCTTGGGGCCTGCCGCTGCTCCTGCCGGTCAGCACCGCGGACAGCGCCTGATGCAGCCCCAGGTGGGTGCTGTCCGGGGTGCTGGCGTCCATGGCACCCTAAGAAGCCGTGTTCTGAGGGCCTGGTCCCCCGCCCCGCCCCGCAGCCGAAGGGACCGACTGCAGCCCAGGCCTTGGTCCCCACAAGTTCACAGTCACCACGAGGCTGCTGTGACACACACTGCGGTGCTGGCATCCCCACCGGGGCACCCTGTCGCCCGCGTGGGAGGCCCAGATGGACTTTCTGGCTCCTGGCTTCAGCCTGGCCCAGTCTCCCCTCCCGTCCTTGGCATGTATGGGGTGGGGGGCGCGGGAGGGAAGGGGAGGCAGGCGTGACTGCGGATGGGAGCTAGCTGGCTTGGTTTTCTCCTCGGGTGTGTCTCAAATGTCACCAAGGCTAGCACAGGAAGCACTCTGTGAGCATCGCATGTGGGGGGCAGGCGGGCGCCCCGTGCCCAGTGGGCAGGGCTGGGAGTGCGCCTTGCGGGGTGCGGCGGTGCTGGGCACGCAGCGTGTGCGTGCAAGGTGGAAGGGAGGGGAACGGACACGGGATGCTTGAGGAGACCGTGGGAGCCCCCGTCTGCCAGCCAGCGGCCGGCGTGGGTGCACAGGGACGCGGGGGAGCTGTTTCCTGGGCCCCAGGAGGAGACAGAAAGCCCTGGAGATCAATCCTCTCCTGCTCCCCCCGATTTCGCCGACGCGTCTCCAGGCAACCGCATCCCTCGGCGGTTGCCAGGACAACGCAGGCCTCGAGCGGCAGCTCCGGGCGGAAGTCGGGGTGGGGGGTGGGCCCAGAGCCGCCGCTCCCGCTCACTCCCTCCTCTCCTTGATATGCATGTATTTTAATTTATTTATTCTTGATTTTCGAGAACCTGTGTGGGCTCCGGCTAAGGGGCGCCGGAAGTGAATCAGACAAACGCCCGTTTCTTCCGACGCCGGCTCCTAGTCAGGGCAGGAACTAGCATGTTGACGGACAGCCCGACTCACCAATGAGAGGCGTCCCTCGGGGCGGGAGTTGGTGCCCGCGCGCTCCCCGATTGGCTACAAGTCGGCGGCGAATGGCGGCCGCGCTGAGGCGAGTGCTCAGCCGTCGTCCCGAGGCCGCGCCGGGGCAGGAGGCCGCGCCCGGGCCGCCCGTGCTGCTGCTCGGCGCCGCCGGCTCCGGGAAGACGGCGCTGCTCTTCGCCGCGGCCCTGGAGGCGGCGGGAGACGGCCGCGGCCACGTCCTCTTCCTGACAAGACGGCCGCTGCAGAGCCTGCCGCGCGGCATCACGGGAGCGGCCCGCGAGCCCTGGCGGCTCCAGGTAACCGCGTGGGGGCGGGACCCGTCGCGCCGGCCGGCCAATCGCGGCAGGACTCGGGTGCCGGCCGACCAATCGCGGCAGGATTCACGTGGACTGACAGGGACCGTGACCCATGGTGGGGGAAAGTGGGGGAGGACGGGCCGGAAGCCACCGCGAGGGAGGGCGGGAGTTTTGTGAAGATTGACTGCGGCTATGCCCAATGAGACGGAGACTTACGAGGATTGACTGAGACATGATCCTATCATTGGGCCGAGTGGGGTTAGAGGCGGGATCACGTGGGGACAGCCGCTGCTCCAGGGTGGCAGCTGACTTGAGAATTCTGGTGGGAGGTCTTTCGTGGGAAGATGTCCCTGAACATTTGTTCACTTAAAAAAGGAAAACAAGTTTCCCCCGACTAGCCAGGACACTGCGCCCGCCCGCACAACACTGAATTGAACCCGCTAAACCCACTTATTTATTTTTTTTTACCTTCTAGAAAATTCGCTTCCAGTATCCCTCCTCCACTCAGGAGCTGCTGTGGCTCCTGTGCTCGGCCCACGAAGGCCGGGGACCTGCCCCGTCCCTCTTGCTCCTGGACGGCCTGGAGGAGTACCTGGCCGAAGACCCCGGCACCCAGGAAGCCGCCCACCTGGCCGCCCTGCTCCTGGACGCGGCCGCCCACTTCGGCCGGCGGCTGGGACCCGGCCGGGAGTGTGGGCTGGCCGTGGCCCTGCAGACCCCGGAGGAAGGGGACGGCACGGATGGCCTGCAGCTGGCCGTGCTGCAGCGCTACCTCCCCGCCCAGTGCTGGCTGCAGCCCCAGGCCGCGGGCCCCGGGCGGGAGCCCAGCTGCCTGCGAGCCTGCCTGGACCCGGGGGCGCCGGGGCCCCGCTCCGAGTGGACAGTGACATTTGGAGAGGATGGCGAGATGACGGTCACCCCCTGGTGCGGCTCGATCCAGCCTTGACCCTCGTGCCCCGCGGCCGGGTCACTCACCCTGGGATGTGTTCAACGCGAGCATAGGACGTTTCTTCTCGTATTGTGACCTGTGGCAGCCAGGCCTCCCTGGGTCTAAATAAAAACCATTTCCTGCAGCCGGAGCTGACGTGCGTCTCCTCTGCTGGGCAACTGCACCCCAGCGTGTCCGTCCGACAGCTCGAGACAGGCTTTATTATTGGGAGCAGAGAAGAATCAGCTAGAAGCTCGTGCGAGTGTTCTTCAGCCTTCCGTGGGCCTGGCTCAGGTCACGCGACTGGCCAACAGGACTGGAGAAGGCAGTCTCCATTTGTGGCTCAGCTTTGTAAAGTGGCTCATGGGATGAGGAGAGACAGTAGGTGGGAATAAAGACCCCGAGTGACCCTAAGGTGGGTCCAGGCTGAAGCCAGGAGCCATGAGCTCCATCCGGGTCTCCCACGTGGGTGGCAGGGGCCCAGACACGGGCCCTGGAGCGGAGTGGAACACCTGGGGTTTGAACAGGTGTCACACCGCTCACTCCTGGCTGTTTCGGAGGGGGTGACGCTGAGCCCAGGGGCCCTGGGGGAAGGTGTGAACCCACGTCGTCATAGAAAAGTACATGTCTTTTATATATACACAGAAAACTCCACTATACGTAACAATAGCACGAGGTTGAGTTTCCCTGAGCTGGATGGATTGGGCAGCCCCCTTCAAAAGTTCTGGTTCTCTGCCCCCGCCCGACGCACCTGCAGGTGTCCGTGCTAAGAGCAGGCCACGTAGCTGGGGGGTGGAGGCTCGGAGGCCGGCCTGAAGCTGTTCTCATAAGGGTTAGTGTAGGGGCCGGCCTCCGGGGAGCCCCCCGAGCTGTAATCCGCAGAGATACCCGAGTCGGACACCACCAGATAAAGATACTGGAGGTGGGGTGGGGTGGGGGGCAGCGCAGGGGCTGGCGCACGTGGGTGCAGGAGCTGGGAGCTGGGGTCCAGGATGGTGTATTCAAAGCTGCCGGCAGAAGCCCCTTCTGCCCTGGGCTTCATGCCCAGGGCCCCCGAGGAGGAGCACGAAGACGCTTCTGAGCCTTCATCCACAGCTGCTAGGTCGGCGCTGTCTCCGGGCCCCGACGGGGCTTGGCTGGGCGGGCTCCGCGGCAGCAGCCACTTGTCCAGCACCAGGTAGGAGTCCTGGGCGTGCTCGCCGCCCACCGGCTCCAGCAGGGGCCCCGTGTCGTCATCACTGCCGGCCTCCGGCTCCACGGCCTGCACCGCTGCCCCCCAGGAGTGTTCAGACAGGACTTCCAGGGGGGCTGGGGGGGCCTCCACGTCGGGGGTGCACGGGCTCCACCACAGGCAGCCTTCGTTCTGGTACAGCCAGAGCTAGGGAGAGGGGACTGAGTCACCCGGGACCTGGGCAGCCCTCAGCCAGGAGCCATTCCTGGGGTGGCTCAGCCTGGGGGAGGGGCTCCGGCAGCTCACCCACCTGGAAGTCTCCCTTGTGGACAGTGAAGAGGCCCTCAAACTCGCTCTCCGGGCTGGGAACGCCAGGCCAGATTTTCTGCTTCACAGCCCTGCAAGACCCCGGGGGGGGGGGGGGGGCGGAGACACGCACCCCCACCTCAGCTCCCAGTCTTGCGGGGCACAGCCACTCCTGGGGTTCTGCAGGTGTTAGGGTCCCCTCCTCACAGGCTCCTCCTAGCACCCCACCCACTTGTCCCCCATCCCATCTCTGGATTGGGGGGGTCGCTGCCCACTCCTCACACAGCCCTGCTGCCTTTTAAAGCAATCACTCCTTCCTGTCCCTCCGCGCCCCACCCATCTCCGCAGACACCCCAGCAGCGAGGGGTCGGAAGGGGCACTGCCCCTGTTCAAGGCCAGCCCCTGCCATCTCTGGGCAGCGCAGGGGACGGACCCTGGGGAGGCTCACCGGCGATGCGACAGCAAGGTCAGCACGCCCAGCAGCAACAAGATGAGCACGAGGATGAGCGACAGCGTCAGGATGAGGGGGTCCAGGTCTGGGGCCGGGGAGGCGGTGGGGAGGTCAGGACGGGGTGGCAGTGGGGTCAGCCCCGTCCCTCCCCGGCCCTGCAGCCCCGTGCCCCCCAGGCCTCTCTCACCGCTGGCGGTCAGCAGCGCCGCAGGCTCGGACCAGGCGCTCCAGAAGCCGCCGAAGCTGGGCTCGGCCATGCGCGCGCGCACGGCGAAGGTGTAGAGCGTCCCGCCACGCAGGTTGCTCAGCACGCACTCCGTGCGACCCTCCAGGATCTCCACCTTTGTCCAGGGGGACCGGGCTATCAGAATCTTGAGGTGTGACCAATGAGAAGAGGGGGCGCCACCCAGGAGGGCTCCAGGGCCAGTCCGGGCGAGGGACAGAGAAGGCGTGTAAAGGCCGGGGCAGGCAGCATCAAGGGCAGTTTTCTGTGGGGGGCAGCTCACCCTCTGCACCCCGCCTGCACCGCTGCCGGCAGAGACGTCCACCTCATAGCGGATGTGGGATGCCATGGGTGCCCCGGGCGGCGGGTGCCAACGCAGCACCACGTGGCTCCCGTCCTCGGCCTGTCTGGCCAGCAGGCCTGTGGGGGCGTCCAGGAGCACTGGAGGAAAAGGGGGTGCGGTGGGTCAGGCGATGGGCGGGAGGCTGAGGCCTCACCCTCCACCAGCACCCGCCCCCGCTCCCTTTCCGTGGGCAGGTGCACGTACCCACTTCGTTGATGTGGATGATACGGCTGTAGCGCTGAGCGCCCGAGGCCACCGCCGTGACTCGCAGCTCCAGGGGCACGAAGCTGGACGTGTCGGCCGTGGGCAGCGAGCACCAGAAATGCACGGTGCCGCGGGCTGTGGCCGTCTGGTGCAGGCGACATAGTTTCCAGGGTTCTCCCCTGCAGTGGTCAGGGACAATCAGCCGGTGCGCCCACTGGGGGGGGGAAGGCTGGAAGAGGGGCGACCCAACCTTCCCACCCTGCGCGCGTGACCACGGTGCCACCGACTCACTCCAGCTGGTAGGAGAAGCTGTAGTTGGCCGGGCCCACCCCGGCCACGGCCACTTCTTCCCAGAAACACACCAGGTCCTCCAGGCGCTCAGTGAAACACAGGAGGCTTTCGGCCCCGCGGGCTGCGAGCAGGGCCGCTGCGGGTGGGGGAGGACCAGGGGGTGCAAGGTCAGGGCAAGCCGAGCCCCCTCCTCCTTGAGCTCCCACCGCCTGGACCGCGCGATAAGAAAGAGGCCGGGTCCCGCCCTCTAGCCCTGGAGGGAGTGGCCAAGGGGGGTGGTTACCCCAACACACAAGCACACACGGGGCTCCCCAAAACTGCCTGCCAGCGCGCAGGTCTCCCCGTTCCCGGCCCCTCCATCGGATACACCTGCCCCCCAAGGCGCAGCGACCCCGACGCCAGCGTCCCGCCCCGGCCTCACCCCAGGGCTGCGGACGTGCGCGCCCTTGGGCGGTGTGTGTGTGTGTGTGTGTGTGTGTGTGTGTGTGTGTGTGTGTGTGTGTGCGCGCGCGCGCGCGCCCCCAGGCAAGCGGCCCCTATCGGCCCTCGCAGGCGCCCTGGCCGCCCGATAGCGCCAACCGTGCCCTCCCGGCCCCCCGCCCTGCCCTGCCTGCGCCTGGGGCCAGGCCCGAGGGCGCCCCGCTCGGGCAGGGCACACCGTGCCGCCCACCGCGTTGCCAGTGGTGGTGCTTGGGGGGAAGACCCACCTGCTCCCCTGGTCCCCTTCTTCTCCAAAACCCCTTTCAGAGCCGGGAGTTGGAGGTGGGAGGCGGAGGTCCCCCCACACACTCGCTTAACCGCTCCCAGGGCCAGCACACAAATGAAGTGGGAACTTTATCCCCACCCGCCTGAGAACGTGAGGGTCGCAGACCTCTGCCCTCAGCACCCACCCCCCCGGCACCGGGACCCAGTTTGAGGCTTCAGACACCAGCACGGCACCCCAAGTCTCCTTCTGGCTGGCTGCGGGGGTGGGCGGGTGTTCCAGGTCTTAACCCCTAGCTCAGCCCCCCAACATCGCCCTGCAGAATCCAGCGTGCACCTGCTCTGTCCTTACCTTTGCTTTCAAACTTGGGGTCCTGGAGGTTGGGAGGGGGCGCCCAGGCGGCCCCCGCGAGCAGGAGGCACAGGGAGCTGACCAGGGGCCAAGGGCGCTCCATGACGCAGCCTCCGCGCCCCCCACCCCCTACCCTCTGCCACCCCTTTCCAGGGGCACCGGGCCGGTCTCCCCTCCACCACGCCTCCCCGAGGCGCCGGCCCACAGCTGGGGCAGCCAGCACCTGCGTCCGCCGGACACAGCTGGCCGAGGCCCGGTGGCCCAGGGCGGGCTGCGGGCTCCCCCCAGGAGGCGGGGCCGAGATAGGGGCTCCCCGGGCTGCAGAGCGCGCGCCGCGGGAGGAGGGCGGGATGCAGGGCGCACGCCGGCTCGTGCGTCACACACAGGGCGCCTAACGCGAGTACCTCCAGCACGGCCAGGTGACTCTGCCTTATCTGACCAGCAACCTTCTCATCTGTAAAAAGAAAATCGAGTGCGGTGGCACGTCAGGAACATTCCAGAACCCCAAGCTGCCGATGCTATCGCGTCCGTCAGCATCTCTTCCTCTATCTGCAAATCTAGTCAAGAAAAAAAATTTTTTGTTAAGTCAGAACGAGACAGTGTGGAAGGTTAAGGCAGGACATGGGGGCTCAATATGCACAGGTTTGCAAAATCACACCCTTTCCAGTGTGCTAGACTGTGCTCGGGCATGTGGGGTTGTGTGTGTATGGAAAAGGTGTGTTTACATGTTGTATTTTATAGACAATGCGCAGTCTTTAAGTTAAGGCTGAGGGCACAGCAGTACACACACCCGCTCCGCTTTGGCCCAGACCAACCAATCGCAACGCTGGCATTCTCTGCGACCACGAAGGGCCCAATGAGCGCTCCCACTGGGACTCCACCTGAAGTTACCGGTTCCCTATAGGATGATGGGCGGGCAGGTAGAGCAAGGCGGCGGACATAGCCTGCCGGGCTGTTCCAACTGGTCCTAAAGTAGGTGTTCCGTGGAGCAGGTGCCCCAGCAGCATAGGAAGGAGACTCGCTTCCCTCTGGGAACTCGCTTCCCTGATTAATCTCCACTACCACCACAGCTCGCAGCTAACCCCGTCTGGGAGGCAGCGGACAGAGGTTTAAGTCCTGGGGTGCCTGCCCCCAGACATTGCAGCCATGTGGGGAGCAAACCAGGAGATGGAAAAATCTCTCCCCGTCCACCTGCTCCTCTCTCTGTGACTTTCAAGCTAACACGGCCCAGATGCGCTTCTGGCTGCCATCACAGGTGCAGCCTCTCGGGCCGTGAACCAGCGGAGAGAAGATCTTCCTCTCTGTCTCTCCTCCTCTCTGTGTATCTGACTTTCCAATAATAACATTAAAAAAATAGAACCTTTAGAAAAAAAGACTTACATGTTTCTATTTGAATGACAAAGTTAGAAGAGACAGGAAGGAGGTCATTCCTCTGCTGGTTCGTTCCCCAAATGGCCACTGGGCGTGGTCCCGGCCGGAGCCACGAGTCAGGAATTTCATCCAGGTCTCTGATGGAGGTGGCAAGAGCCCCGAGCACGTGGGCCACCTCCTTCTGCGTGTGTGGGAAGTGGAGCAGGCAGGACTTGAACCAGTTCTAGGGATGCTGGCTCCACGGGCGGAGGCTTGGCCCTACTCTGCACACCGCACGCAGCGGCAGGCCCCATCGACGACGGACGGGGTGGGAGGTGAACAGCAGGTGGCCGCGTCGGCCAATCCTGTGTGAGTTGGGGAGTGATGCCACTGCCATCCTGGTGACCTCTTTCTTTCCTGGATCCGACGGTGCCTGAAGCCAGACCCAATGGACTTGTCCATGACACGAGCCGTTCCTTCCCCTTCCTGGTTTTTAAAAAACCATTTCTCTGCAGGTCTGGCCACTTGAGCCAGAGAAGACCCAGATGAAGGCAAGGAGGCACAGGCGCCTGGGAGATGCCCAGGGCGGCAGGAAGGAGGGGAGGAGGTGCTCAGACCGGAGACACGGCGGCAGCGGCTGCTGACTGGTCATCTGGCGGAATTTCATTTATTCATTCGGGGGGATGGGAATGGGGGAGAGGTGGCTGTTATCGCTGGGGAAAGAGGAAATGCTGGCCAGCGTCCGGCCATAACTCTCCCTCGCTCGGCCGACGTCACCCAGCGCTGCTTCCGTGTGTGTGTGTGTGTGTGTGTGTGTGTTGAACTTGGGCCCAGGTGCACAGGTGGAAAGCAAACAACCCAACTCCCACTGTGTCACCAGCGGGTGTCTCCCGGGAGGGCGTGCCCTGTGTAGGTTGGGGGTGGTATTCCACAAGGCTTTTCTACCCCCCTCACCCAGGGGGGCTGACACCTGCGGGATCCGGGCAGGCTGCCAAGGTGACAACCACAGGGCTGGGGTTCATGGGCAGAAGCTGCGGGAGCAAGGGGGGTGGGATTTGCAGTGTTACAAGAGCCAAAACATAAATAATTACCCTCTCCCCGTCCCCCGGAAGGGGTGGACCGTGGGGTCCTCTGTCTGCATGGTGATGACAGCCAGATCCCAGGCTGTTCCCCCCACCTGCCGAGGTGCCTGTGTCCCAGAGAGAGGCAAGACAGGGCAGGCTCAAGTTGGGGAGCCTGAGGGCGCAGGCGGGGCCCCCTCCTTCCGTCGCAGCACAAAGTCCCCGGGGCTGCTTGGACGCATGGCATAGAAGACGTTAGCGTTGTCTGGAATCAGGAGCTCTGGAAGGGAGTGGAGACGCGGTGAGGGGACCCGTGCCTCATCCACAGATGGTCCAGGCAGCTCCCCTCCACCTGCCCTCAGGAGGAGCTGTGCAGCCTTGGGGGTCCCCCAGCGAGCGCCCAGCTCACCACCAAAGCCCAGACAACCCAGGACTCTTGCCAACAACAAGCCCAAGCCACCATTTTCCACCCTATACCCACCGAGGCCCAAGTTTGGGCAAAGTCAGTTCCTTTCGCATTCCAAGTTCCGGCGCCTAACGTCACTAACTTGAGATCTAAACAGCTTGTACACCGCTTGACCTGGGAGCCTCTCGCACCCCAGGGACCTCAGGAAGACAAGCTGGGGCCCACAATGTGGTGCAGGGGGTCCAACAGCCACCACAGCGCAGGCATCCCATAGGGGCGCCGGTTCGAGTCCCAGCTGCTCCACTTCCCACCCAGCTCCCTGCTAACACGCCTGGGAACCCAGCAGCGGCGGACGGCCCAAGTGCCTGGGTCACTACTAACTACGTGGGGAGGAGACACGCGTGGCCTTCCTGGCCCTGGCCACTGGTCATCTGGGACGTGAACCAGCAGGTGAAGATGCTCGTCTCACGCGCATGCGTCCTGTCTCCCTCCCTAGTACCCTGCCTTTCCAATTCATCTTTGAGAAAGGACGCCCCTGGGTGTCCCTGCCTTTGAGCAGGACGCGCCATGACTGCACGTGACTGCACCACGGCACGCCGCGGCCACCGACACGCTCTGCCCTGTCTCCCGGGATCTGCGGGGGACCCCACCGACCCCCCAACAGTGAGCTCAGGCTTCATTCCTGCACACCCACTGTCCCCAAGACCGGCTCCACTCACCCCTGTCCCCCGACAGCACTTGGGAGAGCTGGTAGTCCCGGGCCTGGGTTTCCGGTACGTTGTGTTTCTGCAGCGCACGCTGCACCACGCAGGGGGCTTTGTCCTGACTTGTCAGCTGAGAGAGAGAGGTGAGGGGGGGTCCCCAGTCCCGGTGGGCTCCTGGCAGCACCCCTCTTCCCCGCCGGCTGCGCCCCTCACCAGGATACTCCGATACAGGTTCCCGTGGTCGTTGTCCAGGCTGACGCGGATGACTCGGTACCCGGAGGCCTGCTGCTGGCCGGCGGCCAGGGCGCTGCGGCCGCTGCTCAGCTCCAGGGTCAAAGACTGCGGGCCTGGCAGGTCGGCGCTGCAGGGCAGCTGTGGGCAGCGGAGGGCAGCGAGGAGAAGGAGTAGAGGCTGCTAAGGGGTGGGCGGCCAGAGGGCCCCTCTGCTAGGGGTGTTGCTGGTGTGTGTGTGTGTGTGTGCGTGCATGCAACTCTGAAGCCACATGATTCTCACACACACTTCTGTCTATACTGCCGGAGCCAGTGCAGGTGGCTCACTCCCAGTTAGAGATGAGCGCATGTTGGAAGGGCATACTCATAGCCCCACCCTGCCCAGGTCAGCAGGTAACTCCCCACGACTTCCAGGGCACCCCCTGGCTCACATGCCAGCCCAACTCCCATGCCCACCTTTCAGAATGCGGGTTCCCAAGAACCACTGTCCCCCATGCCTAAGCCAGCCTGGGGTCACAGCTGCAGCCCCCACAGAAGCCGCCCGAGCCCTCGGACCGGCCCTGGGAGAAGCTCCAGGCTCCAGAATGCAGCCTCAGGGCTGGGCTAGTCTTCCGTGCTGTGCGCATGCCTGGCCCTATTGCCCTGTCCCACCTGTAGCAGCAGGTGCCGTGGGACCACACACACACACACACACAAAAGCTCTGCACCTTGGTGCTGCCCTCCTGGGGTCCCGGTGAGGCTGGGGGGCTCCCTGGAGGTGGGTCCTTGGTTCTTGGACTCGACGGGGGGGATGCTGGGGACAGACTGGGGGAGGGGGACAGGATAGGCAGAGCTTGGCACACCGATGCCCTTTCGCTCGCCAAGGACTTCCCATCCCGCCCCCTCTTGTCCCTTCCTTGGGGGCGGGACGCTCACCTGGGGCTGGGTGAGGAGGGACTCCCAGCGAGAGACGAGCTTTTTTCTCGGGACAGCTTCCTACGCATGGGAACCGAGCAGGGAGCGGGGTCAAGGCCAGACGTGGCCCTGGCTGCCTCCCCTCGGCCACCCCAGCGCTGCTATCCTCCCACCCGGACACTCACGCACTGAGGCGCTTGGTGAGGCTGAGGTGTCGCCGGACACGTGGGGAGCTGGGGCAGGACGCAGCCGGGGGCTCGATGACACGGGAGACCCGGTAGCTGAGGGGCCAGTATGAGGATGGAGCGGTGTGGGGAGGACCAAGCAGGTGGGGGTGGTACGAAAAATCAGGAGTCTCATCAGGGGCTGCCATGCCTACATCCCCTGTGGGCGCCGGTTCAAGTCCCACTGCCCCACTTCCCACCCAGCTCCCTGCCTGTGGCCTTGGAAAGCAGTGGAGGACGGCCCAAAGCCTGGGGACCCTGCACCATGTGGGAGACCCGGGAGAGGCTCCTGGCTTCTGGCTTCGGCGTGGCCCAGCTCTGGCCATTGCGGCCATTTAGGGAGTGAACCAGTGGACTGAAGATCTTCCTGTCTCTCTCCTTCTCCTATAGCACTCCCTGTGGCAGTGCGTCAATGGCTGAAGCCAGATGGCCAAGGAGGGGTCAGACAGGGTCGGAAAGTGGGGCAGAGGACACAACGTGGGTTGGGGACACGCCCAGGGTTCTGGGTACAGTCGCTGTGCAGTGAGACTGGAGGCTGAGAGAGAGGCTGCACACGGCGGGAGGGACCCCGGGTGAGCCGCCGAGGGGGCCAGGCCACAGCACAGTCACCTCTGCTCCTCGCTGAGCTGGCGCTGGGCACGCAGGGCGGCCAGGACGGCCGGGCGGGGACTCAGGCTGTGACTGCCACAGCGCCTCTGTAGCTGCTGGATGCGGGCCAGGATCTCCCACTCCTGCAAAGGGGAGAGAGTGGGGAGCCCCTGGGACCCCCCACCTCAGGCCACACCCCACTGCGGAGGGGAGACAGTGGGGAGCCCCTGGGACCCCTCCATCACCTCAGCCCACACCCCACTGCAGAGGGGAGACAGTGGGGAGCCCCTGGGACCCCTCCTCCACCCCGCCCCACGAGCCCACTGCGGAGGGGAGACAGTGGGGAGCCCCTGGGACCCCTCCTCCACCCCGCCCCGCGAGCCCACTCACCTTCCTCCTCTTCTCGAAGTTGATGAGACCCCCCTGGGAGACACAGTGTGTCAGAACTGGAGTTTCTGAGGTTGGGGGTCGGCTGGGGTGGTCAGTTGGGGGGTCAAGGTCAGGGTCAGGGTCAGACCTCCAACATATCCGGCAGGGCGGTGTCCAGCATGACGAGGTCCGTGAGAAACGTGCCAAGGTAAGGAATGGGCCCTGGGGACGGCTTCTGCAAAGTGCCAGCTCCTGTCACCTTCAGCTGCCGCCACCCCCACGTCCTCCCTGGGGGCTGTCTGACCCCACCACTCACCGTGGTCAGGCTGCCTTGGGGGGCGCCGTCTTCTTGGGGTTCCTCCGTAGCCTGCTCCTGGGGGCAGAGAGGAGCGACTCTGGGGTGGCGTCTGACCAGGGTCACCAGGGGCATCCAGCTGCCGCCTTCAGCCAGCGGGAGCCCCTGCCTTTCCTTGGGGAGGCCCTGACGACGGCCCCAGGCAGCAACCCCTACACCCCCAGCATGCAGCCATTTTGCGGCGTGAGGGGTGGGGTGCACCAGCATGAAGCGAAATGGAAAAGCCGGAGCCTGACCACAAACCAAAGTCCAACATCAATTTTGTTGGAGGAATAAGGCAGGCAGTTCCAGAGCGTGAACCAGCAGGGTGTGCCAACACAGGTCCCCACACCGGTGAGGGACATGGGGGGCAGGCCACTCGGGTGCAGGGAGGGGGCAAGCCACTGGGTGCAGGGAGGGGGCAGGCCATCGGGGCACAGGGTGTAGGGAGGCTGTTGGGGTGCAGGGTGTGGGGAAGGTCGTGAGGTGCAGGATAGGGGGGAGGCCGTGCGGTGCCTGGCTTGCGGGGAGGCCGTGGGGTGCAGGCTTGCGGGGAGGCCGTGGGGAGCAGGGTGTGGGGAGGCCGTGGGGTGCAGGATAGGGGGAGGCCGTGGGGTGCAGGCTTGGGGGGAGGCCGTGGGGTGCCCCCGGCTCTACCTGGGACAGGATCACTCTGCAGCTGACATGGTTGTTCTCGTCGGAAAAAATTTGCGAGAGTTTCCGGAAGGTGGACAGGGGTTCCCTGGGGTGACAGGAGAGGGGCGTCCAGGGTCCGGGCAGGTGGAGTGGGGCGTGGTCCTGGCAGGGCCGGCTGGAATGGGGCGCGGCCAGGGCTCACCTGCTCACAGCCGCCCAGCTGCGTTTGAGCCTGTAGACCGGGTTGCACTGCAGGGCCGACAGGATGGCACGCAGCGATGCAAAGTTTCGCAGCTCACGGCAGCGCTGCAGGCCCGGCAGAGGCGCGGTTCAGACCCCGGAACCGACCCTGCCCCACCAGCCGTCCAGCAGCCCCCCTCCATGCCTTGCTCCTGGCTGCAGACCCCACTGGCACAAACCCAGCCCCCTCTCCTCGAGGACACCCCACCACAGGCTCATCCTCCTCCCAGCCCCTCGTGCCTGCCTCCCGCGGCCCCAGCACACACCTGAGCGATGTGGATCCACTTCTCCATGCGCTGTGCCCTCTGCGGGGCCGTCTGGCCCGGCGCCCCCAGCACCGAGCCCAGCACACAGCCGGTCACCATGTTGAACTGGGCCACGGTGGCACGCACAGTGGGGGCCACGCCTGCCGCCCCGGGCCGGTCCCGCTGCGACCACACGGAGCCCAGGCACTCACAGGGTCGCACGCGCTGGAAGAGCTCCTGGACCAGTGAGGTGGGGGTCTCGGGCACAGCCCTCCCCTTCTGACCTGCTCCCACCTTCTCCCCTCCCCGGGGTCCCGGCCTCACCACATCCAGAAGGGTCAGCTGCTCGGCCACTTCGTCCACGCTGAAGTCCAGGAGTTGGGGACCTTCCTGTGAGACCCCTGCCTCCTCTTCCTCACTGCTTCGGGGGGAGGCTGGGCTTCCGGGCCGGGCGGCGGTGTCAGGGGCCAGACCTTAGAGAACAGTTACATTAAAGAGAGGAGAGAGAGAGGAAGATCTTCCATCCGCTGGTTCACTCCCCAGGTGGCCGCAGCAGCCGGAGCTGAGCCAGTCTGAAGCTCGGGCTCACGCACGTGGGAGACCCAGATGGGGCTCCAGGCTCCCGGTCTACGCCTGGCTGAGTGAGGCAGCCGTCTCGGGGAGTGAAGCGGAGGATGGAAGATCTTTGTCTCTCCTTCTTTCCTTAAGTCTGCCATTTCAATAAAATAAATGTTAAAAAACAAAAACAGCCAGCACATTGGCTAAGATGCCAGCTGGGGTCACACAGCCCAGATCCGCCTGCAAGCCCAGCTCCCTGCCCGTGGGTACGCTGGGAGGCAGCGGACGGAGGCTGGAGGGCTTGGGTCGCTGCCTCCCACAGCGGGAGAGCCGGGTGGGCACCTGACTTCAAGCTGATCCAGCCCTGGCAGGCATACGAGCAGGAACAAGTAGGTGGGTGATCTCTCCTTGTCAACAAAACCCTAACACACTGCACCCCCATCTCTCACCTGCCCACGTTGGGGGCTTTTCTTCTTGCTGTTCTTGCTCAACTTCCTTCAAAAAATCTTCCAGAAGTTTCTCTGCATCCTGGGCTTCTGGGCTACCTGGGGCTGCCCAGCTCAGAAAAACCTGGACCCTGGCCAGGTTGGAGTGAGCAGGGGGTTCCCGGAAATCCTGGGGGTGGTCCCGCAGCCAGCAGCCCAGCAGCGACACCACGGCCCTGACCAGAACAGGGCAGGACTCAGAACCAGGCCTGGGGGCTTCTGGAACCTTCCAACCTTGACTGTCAAGGGCTGGGGGGGACCGCCCCTCCTCTGGGGACCGCCCCTCTCCCCTGACACTTCCAAAGCACGGGGTGCTAACCTCAAGTTCTTGTTGCAGCCCAGATCCTGTCCCCGTAGCCTCTTCAAGTCCAGCCTGTTAGAAAGCCCCACCCCTCCAGTCAGGTGGGATGTAGGGAGCAGACCAGGGGCTCCCGGGGAGGACAGGACCCGCGTCCTGCGTGAGGGGCGTGTGCCCAGGAGGGCATCTACCCCTACTGACCCAGGAGGTGGTGGCGGAGGCGGTGGCGGCAGCAGAAAGCGCAGCACGCGGCCCGTGGGCACGAAAGCCCGGTGGGTGGCCAGGAAGGCGGGCACGAAGCCAGGGTCCTGCTCCCGGTCTCCGGACACAAGTTCCCGCAGTAGCCGCTCCAGGGGCGCGGCCCGCAGCGCACGCACCTTGCTGGTGCGGTAATGGAGGAAGGTATCTGGCACCGCAGGGGGAGGCTGGGGGGAGCAGGAACGGTGGGAGGGGTGGTGATGGGGAGAGAACGGGCCGTGGGAGGGGCCAGCCCTCCTGGGATGCGCGACCTGGTCCCGCCCACAAATGACCCCTTGCAAACCGGGTCCTCCCTGGGGGGCCACACCCCCATTCCTACAGACATCTCTCAGCCGCTTCCTCCCCACCCCGCGCCCCCATCTGTCCTCCCTGACCACTTTCAGCTGCAGCCACTGCACCTGCCACCCGCCCCCTCCTCACCCCCTGTGTGTCCTTCATCAGCCCAGGGGCACACGGGAGCCCACCGCCTTCCTGCCTTTCCGTTCCTTACCCTCATCTACCACTCACCTGTCCCCCCCAGGCCCCCTTCCGCCCTCACCTGGTCGCCTCCAAGCCACGCCCTTCCCTTCAAGCCCCATTGCACCTGGCAGCTCAAGTTCACTCACCCCTGCCCGTCTCTCCGGCCTTGGCACTGAGCCCCACCCTCACCTGGCCGCCTCCCCCACCCCATGCTGCACTCCTTCCCCCACCCCGAACCCCCACCCAACCTCGCACACCGACCCTCTGCTGGCCTCACCTGGCCGCCTCCTCCACCCCACGCAGCACCCTCACCCTGCAGCCCACCCCACGCAGCACCCCTCGCTCTGCCGGCCTCACCTGGCTGCCTCCCCCACCCCACGCAGCACCCTCACCCTGCAGTCCACCCCACGCAGCACCCCTCGCTCTGCCGGCCTCACCTGGCTGCCTCCCCCACCCCACGCAGCACCCTCACCCTGCAGCCCACCCCACGCAGCACCCCTCGCTCTGCCGGCCTCACCTGGCCGCCCCCGGGCCCTTCCTTCCCCCGGCTCAGGTGCTGGCTGCGCTGCCGACGCAGGGAGACGCTGTACACCGCACCGTCCTCGATCTCTTCACCCCAGTCCTGTACGGGCGCCTGCACGCGGATCGGGCTCAGGGGACCCAGGGTGGGCGGGAGGGGGATGCCCGGGTCTACGTGAGCCCCCTGCAGCTGCACCCACCCCAGCCCAGACTTTCAGCTGGAGTCTCTGAATCTGGAGGTCCCCCTGGGGGGTCCCTGGGCACAGCCTAGCACCCCCTTCTGTGCTTCTCCAACCCACCCCAAACACCACCAGCACCCCAACCCTGGCATTACCGAGTCCCCAAGATTGGAGAACTTCCCCAAAAGACAGGGGTGCCAGGGCCTGGACGCTTGACCTGAGGTTATGGCCGGGAGGTGGGGTTCACTGGGGAGATGGAAGTGCTAGCCCCCTGGGGTGTCTCACCAGGGCGAGCTCCCTGCCCGAGCGGGTGCCCGCTGACCGCTCCATGGTCCGTGCTTTTCCAGCTCCACGGTGCCGCTGAGTGAGTGAGCGAGGCGGAAGGGCCAGCGGGCAGGGCAGTGGGCAGCGGCAGGTGGCAGGGGAGGCGGGGCCTGGCCAGTGGGGTGAACCTGTGGGGCTCTCGGATGGACCTCAAGGAGGAGTCTCGGGATGGGTGCCCCGCAGGGGACACCTCTGTCCCCAGGTGTGGGTGAGCTGGCAGTGTCAGGGGCGGGAGGGCCCAGGTGTGTGTGCAGGGGAGGGACGCTGCTGTGGGTGAGTCACTCTTGGGTGGGAAGCAGCTTGCCTCCCCCCACCCACCCCGGGGGGGGGGCAGCCATGGGTCACGACGACGCAGGGGCAAGAGGCCACGCCGACTCCCAGGAGGCCAATGCGTGACCTTTATTGCGCCATCCGGGCGCTGCCCTCCAGGGACCCGACCGTGGGAAGCAGTCGACCCGGGGCCGCCCAGCCTCGGCCTCAGGCCTGCGCTGGACCCTTGCTGCTCCGTGTCCAGGACCTCGGCCAGCCTCCCCCTGCCCGCTCGGAGGACCCCGTGGGCGAGCTCGGAGGGGCCACACTGGGGGGACGGGGTGGGGTGGGTGCAGCTTATGGCTTCCGCGAGCGATTGCGTTTCTTGCTGCGGGTTTCCACGAATTTCTGAGATCGGAACTTGAGCGCCGCGCGCGTCACCACCTCGCTGTCCTCGTCCTCGCTGTCCTCTTCGTCTGGCGGTGGTGGACAGGTGGGTGGGCTGGACTCTGGGCACGGGGGACCCCCTGCCCCCTGTGCCCACCCCAAGCCCTGGACTGACCGAAGTACTTGTCCTTGCTGCCGGCCAGGGGCAGGGGGACGCGGGTGTTGTACGGGGGCAGCTTGCCCTCCAGGGTGGCGTAGAACTGGGTGGAGGAGGGACAGGACCGAGGGGTGAGGGGACCCCTTCCAGCGCCCCGGGTCACTCACCGATCTGGGTCAGACCCCAGTGTCCACCGCCCCTAGCCCCGCCTTCTGAAGGCCTGGCGGCAGGCGTGACCCCTAAAGCCTGACCCCCGTCCTGGCCCGGTTCTGGCGCCGACCCCAGGAAGTGTTCAGGGGGCAGGTGGATCCCACCTACCCAGCCACGCCCGCTGGGAACCTGCCCTGCCCTGCCACGCCCACTGGAGGCCGGGCTCCGCCCCCAGAGGCCCCTCCCCTCCAGAGACCCGCCCCTTTACTAACCAGGCCCTACCCTCAATTCTCCAGCCCCCCCCACCTCGCAGGCCCCTCCCTCCCCATCTCCAGCCCCGCCCAGGCCCCGCCCCATCTCCAGCCCCGCCCCTCACAGCCCCGCCCCCGCCCCAGGCCCCGCCCAGCCTTCGTAGACCCGCCCCTCACGTTCTCCTGCCCCATCTCAGGCCCCGCCTCTCCATCCTCCAGCCACGCCCAGGCCCGCCCCCGTCCCGGCCACGCCCACCAGGACCCGCCCTCCCCATCTCCAGCCCCGCCCCCCGTCCCAGTCACGCCCACCAGGACCCACCCTCCCCGTCCCAGTCACGCCCACCGGGCCCCGCCCCCAGCCCCGCCCCCTCTCCCGGCCCCGCCCCGCACCTCCTGGGTCGCCACGTGGCGCAGCAGCTCGGGGATGTCGTGGCTGCTCAGCTCGGCCTGCAGTTTGAGCAGCTTCTCCCCCACGAGGCGCAGCAGCGCGGGCACGTAGTCAGCCGCCTTGGGGTCCAGCTCCTTGTCCTGGTAGTGGTCGTCGTCCTGCGCGGGCAGGGGCAGCGGGGTCTGCCGGGGCAGCGTGGGGTGCGCACGGAGCAGCCCCCTCGGCCCCTGGCCCCGGTGCGCACGGAGCAGCCCCCTCGGCCCCCGGGCCCCGGTGCGCGCGGAGCAGCCCCCTCGGCCCCCGGGCCCCGGTGCGCACGGAGCAGCCCCCTCGGCCCCCGGGCCCCGGTGCGCACGGAGCAGCCCCCTCGGCCCCTGGCCCCGGTGCGCATGGAGCAGCCCCCTCGGCCCCTGGCCCCGGTGCGCACGGAGCAGCCCCCTCGGCCCCTGGCCCCGGTGCGCACGGAGCAGCCCCCTCGGCCCCCGGGTCCCCAGTGCGTGCGGAGAGCAGCCCCCTCGGCCCCTGGCCCCGGTGCGCACGGAGCAGCCCCCTCGGCTCCCGGGCCCCGGCGGCACCTACCCCCGGGACGTGGTCCAGCTTGCGGGCCAGATGCTCCAGGCACTCCCTGGCCGTCTGCAGGGCGCGCTGGGTGCGCTCCAGCTGCTGCTGCGCCTCGCCCAGCCGCTGCTCCTCCGCCCGGAGCTGCCCCTGCATCTCGGCCTGCAGCTTCTGCTGGCTGCGGGGGGCGCAGGGCGGTGGGCACGGGCCGCAGTGGGCGCACGCCCCCCAGCCCCGCCCCGGGGGCCTCACCTGACCCGCGCGCCCTCGCCCGAGTACTTGACGTTCTCGAACTCTCGCTGCAGCCGCTGCTTCTCCTGGCGCAGCGTCACCAGCACCCGCTCGTTCTCGCCCTTGAGCGTCTCCAGCTGCGCCAAGGTGTCGCCCTGGGCCAGGAAGCGCCGCACCACCGACTGCGGGGACACCGGCACCCCGGGTCAGAGCCCCCCAACACACGCAGGGGGCCCACGCCGACGGCTTCCAAAACCAATGGGGGGGAGGGCCCTTTCTTGTCCATAGCAAGCTTTCCTTTAAAAAATAGGATTTATTTTTATTGAAAAAGCAGATGTACAGAGAGGAGGAGAGACAGAGAGGAAGATCTTCCGTCCATTGATTCACTCCCCAAGTGAGTGCAACGGCCAGAGCTGAGCCAATCCAGAGCCAGGAGCCAGGAGCCTCTTCCGGGTCTCCCATGTGGGTGCAGGGTCCCCAGGCTTTGGGCCGTCCTCCACTGCTCTCCCAGGCCACAGGCAGGGAGCTGGGTGGGAAGTGGAGAAACTGGGACTCAAACCAGCACCCATATGGGATCCTGGGGCATGCAAGGCGAGGGTTGTAGCCACTAGGCCACCGCGCCAGGCCCTACAGCAAGGTTTTCACAAAAGCTCCAGGGAGGTGCATATTCTAAGAAGACTCTGGGCCGCGGGTGCACGTTAGCTGCGGCTCAGTCAGGAGTCAGCCAGGGCCGGGGAGCATCGGACACTCAGGCATCCCCCTTGCCAGGCCAGGCGAGATGTTTGCTCGGCGCACTGCTGGGGTCGGTGTGACGGGTGTGGAAGACAGGAAGGTGTGAAGGCTAAGGTTGCGTTGCAGGCAGGACCCGGCCGACGTCTCTACAACGCCTGGACGCAGCTCCGCCTCCGTGCACGGACACCGCGCGGCCCCACTGAGAACCTTTCCACCGAGAAATCCGAGTGGGCCGCAGGCAGCCGGCTAGGGCTGGCCGTGGCTGGTGGCGCGAGACGGGGCGGGACTCACGTGCGTCTCGGCCGCGCCCGTGGCGTCCTTGACCTTGCCAAAGACCATCTCCAGCTGGTGCATGGCCCAGCGCTGCCGCAGCTCCTCGTCCTTGCCGAGGCGCCCCTCGTGGATGGTGTCCTCGGACTGCAGGAGCAGGTGCTCGCGCTGGGTCTGCAAAGCCGGGGGTTGGTCCAGGCGCCCGCCCCGGGAGGGTCACCCCACGAGGGTCACCCCACGCCCTGCTCGCCCTGCTCGGCCGGGAAGGGTCACCCCACGCCCTGCTCACCGCTTGGCCCCGGGAGGGTCACCCCGCGCCCTGCTCGCCCTGCTCGGCCGGGGAGGGTCACCCCACGCCCTGCTCGCCCTGCTCGCCCTGGGAGGGTCACCCCGCGCCCTGCTCGCCCTGCTCGGCCGGGGAGGGTCACCCCGCGCCCTGCTCGCCCTGCTCGGCCGGGGAGGGTCACCCCGCGCCCTGCTCGCCCTGCTCGGCCGGGAAGGGTCACCCCACGCCCTGCTCACCGCTTGGCCCCGGGAGGGTCACCCCGCGCCCTGCTCGCCCTGCTTGGCCGGGGAGGGTCACCCCACGCCCTGCTCGCCCTGCTCGGCCGGGGAGGGCAGGGCGGCAGGCGAGCCTCGCGGGGGCGCGCACCTTGCGCTCCATGCGCTCGCTCTGCTGTTTCTTTTCCTCCGCGCGCCTCTTGCACTCACTCACGTAGCGCTCGCGCTTCTTGCGCTCCCGTAACACGGTCTCCTCCAGACTCTGCAGCTGATTCTGCGGGCAGGCGGCCGGGGAGGTGCGGGAGAGAGCGCGGGGTCCGCGCACACGCAGTCACTCGGGGGCCAGCTCTGCCCACGCCCGCCACACACACACACACACACACACCTTGGCGGTGTCCCGGGCGTGCAGCGCGGCCTGGTTCACCACGTGCAGTTCCGCCAGTTCCTGTTTCGTCTTCAACATCTGGGCCTCGGCGGCGTCCAGCCGGTTCCCCATGGCAAGGCTCTCCTCCTGGGGGCGTGGAGAGGTGGCAGGGCTGCTGTCCCAGGGGCCAGGCGGTCCTTCCCCGACCCCCGCCGCCCCTGCGCGGAGCCGTCCTGGTGTCCCCCCTCCGCCCGGCCCCCCGTGCACCTGCAGGTACGCCTTGAGCTGCTGGTACACTTGCGTGATGTGCCCCGCCTCCTCCGCCTTCATGCGCGCCTTCTCCAGGCGGTTCTCCAGGTTCCGCAAGGTCTAGGGGAGCAGCGGGGAGCCGGCCTGAGCTCGCCGCCCCCCCGGGGCCCTCGGCAAGCCGCCCGACACCCCCGGGCGGATGCTGGGGTGCCTGACCTTGGCCACCTCCGTGCTGCTGTCTCGCACCTCCAGCACCTCCAGCTGGCGCAGGCCGTGGCGGAGCCGCAGCTCGTCCAGCCACTTCTGCCGCAGCCACAGCTGGTGGCGCGCCGCGTTCAGCTGCTTCACCTTCTCGCTCAGCTGCCGGTCGAGGTGCTGCAGGGCTTGCTGGAGAGAGAGAGAGAGAGAGAGAGAGAGAGAGAGAGAGGCCTGGACACCGCACCTGCTCCATCCTGCCCTGCCTCTCCTCCCACATGGACTGCGTCGTGTCCCCCCAGATGTCTACAGAAATTGCAGCGCAGCGCGAGCGGCTGAGGCCAGAGTGGGGAGACCAGGAGGTCATGGGGTCTCCT